CCGGGGCCGGTGCCGGCTTTTCAACGACGCCTGATCTTTCCACCTACACGCTTCTGTGCGTCTGGGACGATATGGCCGCGGCGCGCAAGGCGCTTGATACCGCCGAGCCTTTTGCCCGCTACCGGGCACGCGCCGACCGTTCCGCAACGCTTCTCATGGCCGCGACGCAGACAAGAGGGCAGTGGAGCGGTGCCGAACCGTTTGCCGTCGATGCGGGAACGCGGCCGCAGGGGCCGATCGTGGCACTGACCCGCGCGACGCTGCGCTGGTCGAAGCTGGCGGCTTTCTGGTCGCTGGTGCCTGCGATCTCCGATATGGCCGAGGCCGACGCGCACCAGCATTTCATGATGGGCATGGGCGAGGTGCCCTACAAGCACCAGATGACCTTTTCGATCTGGGACGACGAGGCGGCGATGCGTGACTTTTCGCTCAACAGTCCGACCCATGGCACCGCCGTCCGGCGTGCGTGGGAGGAGGGCTGGTTCGCCGAATCCCTCTTTGCGCGGTTCAACCTTCTGGGCGTCGAAGGCGCATGGCCGGGTCTCGAGCGGTTCGCCTCGGGCGCCGAGCCGGTGACGGACGACATGCGATCGCGGCAGGCGGCCTGAGACGATGGACACGATACGCGACACCGACCCGATCATACCGGCCATCGCCGAGGACGGCTCTTTCTATCCGATCGGCAAGATGCAGGCGCATCGCGAAGCGGTGTTTCACCTGGCCGTCTCAGTGTTCGTCTTTTCGGGCGAGCATCTGCTGATCCAGCAGCGCGCGAAGCACAAATATCATTGCGGCGGCCAGTGGGCGAACACCTGCTGCACGCACCCTCACTGGGACGAACCGGTCGCCACCAGCGCGGCGCGGCGTCTGCGCGAGGAGCTCGGCTTCGGCGTTCCGCTCACCGAGCGACACGAGGTGGAGTATTCGGCCGATGTCAGCAACGGGCTGCACGAGCACGAGCGGGTGACGATGTTCATCGGCCATGCGGATCGCGACACTCTCGTGATCCGGCCCAACCCGGATGAGGTGGCGGCGGTGCGCTGGGTCACGGCGGACGAACTGCGCGCCGACATGGCTCGCGATCCTGAAGCCTATACGCCCTGGTTCCGCATCTATTGCGACCGGTTTCCGGACCTGAAGATCTGAGCGCCAGAGCGCTGCCGAACCCCCCAGGTTGCCGACACGAAAAAACCTCCGCTTCGCGTCCGAAGCGGAGGTTGCAGACCGGCCCGATGTTTGGAGGACAGTGACCGGCCGTCCGGTGCCGCCGCAAAGCCGGCGCCATGGCGCGCCGCCGGCCGTGCGGCATGCCGGGCAGGCGGGGTGCGCCCGCCCGGCAGTTGCCCTGATTTCAGTTGCCGTCTCCCCAGGACGACCGGGTCGAATCCGGCGTGATCGGCCACCAGCTGGCATCCTCCGGCACGATGCCGTGCTTGATGCCCCAGGCCGTCCAGTCGTCGACCACCGTGCCGGTGAGCAGGATGCCGATGCCGCCGGTCAAGACGCACAGCATGGCGAACCACCAGGCCCAGCGGTGGATGGACTCCATCGTCGCATTGAAGCCCATCGTCCAGCGCCAGAACAGCGCGCCGCGCTCGGCGGCCGTGCCCCGGTCGGTGATCTGTTCCAGTTCGCGCTCGGCGCCGTAACGGCTGGTCGCCAGAATGGTCGCGCCATGCATGGCGAACAACAGGGCCGATCCGTACAGGAACACGATCGACAGCATGTGGAACGGGTTCCAGAACAGGCTGCCGCCCCAGATCAGCGAGAAGTTGTTGGTCCAGTCCAAATGGCTCAGAATGCCGAACGGCACGGCCTCGCTCCACGAGCCCATGGCGATCGGGCGGATGAAGCCGAGCACCAGATAAAGCCAGATCGCGGCGGCAAAGGCCGCCGGCACGTGAAGCCCCATGCCGAGTTCCACCGCACGCCGATACATCCGGGCCCACCACAACAGGATCGATGTGGTGATGAAGAAGCCGGCGATCAGCCACCAGCCGCCCTCGTTGAGCGGCGGCATGACCTTCAGCCCGTATTCGGGCGGCGGCGGGTCGAGCGTAAGCCAAGGCATTTCGAGGACGAAACGCACCGGGTTCCAGTCGACCTGGACCCAGTAGTTCAGGCCGATGATGACGAAGCCGATCGTGAAGGTGACCAGCGAGGCGACGCCCAGAAAGCCCAGATAGATGGGCCCGAGCTGGGCGTTGCCGATCTTGCCGATCCACCAGGAGAAGGTGGCCGACTTGGTCCGGTCCATCCCGCTTTCGATCGGAATGCCCATTTCAGGCTGCGTGCGCACCTGAACGGTGGTGAAGATGTTCTGATATTCGGGTAGCAGGCTCATCGTTTCATCCTTCCGCCCATCTCAGCGAGAGATTGCGCAGCGGCTCCCACCATTCGATCCACGAGCCGCCATAGATCGGCCCGGCGGAAATGAAGATGCAGACCGCGCTCCAGAACCCGGCATTGAGCGCCAGTATGAGGCCCAGCCGGTGGATGCCCAACGTACCGATCGAATAGCCGATCGTGTCGCGGAAATAGGTGTCTTCGTGCTCGGGCGTCTTGACCTCGGCGGGCTCCTTCTTCAGCGAATTGTGGTTGGACGGGTTGGCGGCTGAAAGGATCAGGCCGCCATGCAGCGCCAGCGCGAAACAGGTCGTGAAGAAGAATGTGATCGCGATCATGTGCGCGGGGTTGTAGTGGAAATTGCCGTACTGATAGCCGGTGTCCCACACCCATTGCAGGTGGCTCATGATGCCATAGGGGAAGCCGTGCCCCCAGGCGCCGAGCAGGAGCGGCCGGAAGACGACCAGCGTCACATAGGCGAAGATCGCCACGCCGAACGCGAACGGCACATGATAGCCGATGCCGAGCTTGCGACAGATTTCCACCTCGCGCAGCGCCCACGAGACGAAGGCGCCGACCGCGCAGATCGTGATGATCTGCCACAGGCCGCCTTCTGACAGCGGTGCGAGCCCGAGCCCGTACTCGATGGGCGGGGGGTTGATCGAAATCAGCCAGATGTTCCAGGTGGGGCCCAGCGATGCACCATAAATGATGAGCGCCGTGCCCAGAGCGGCAAAAAACACGGTCGTGACGCCGAAGAAGCCGACGAAGAAGGGACCGACCCAGAAGTCGAACAGGTCCCCGCCAATCAGCGTCCCGCCGCGAACGCGATATTTCCGCTCAAAACTGAGCATTGCCATGGTTAGCCTCCAAAAGCGGATGCCGGCAGAGAGCCGGTTCCGCCCAATAACGGTTGATCGGCGGCGGGCAGACCTGCGGGCAACGCGTGCCCTTCGGCGATGCCCGCCACCTTTTGTGTCGCAGCGTCAGCCGAGCATGCGCGGCGTGGCCGCCGGCAACTCGCTCGTTTCCATAGCTGCACCCCCGACGGGGTTGCCTTCGAGCCAGTTGTAGCGGTCCGTGCTGAGCAGAACGAAATGAATCAGAACTGCCAGCGAGAACAGGAAGACGCCCTGTACGACCAGCGTTTTGCGCGGGTCGAAGACCATCCAGATTCTCCACATGTTGCTACTCCTTTACGAAAGCATGGGCAGGAGGGCCGACACCGTCTGGTTGACGCTCTCGAGAGATGCGTAACCTTCCGGTCCCGGAATCCAGGGCCGCCAGAACCAGACAAGAAGATGCGCCACCACCGCGATTGCGGTGAAGATCGCAAAACCTTGCATGTAGAAGCCGTGGAACTCCTGGGCTTCGCTTTCCGTCATGCCGGACAGCGAAACGCTTTGTGGACTAGACATATATAGACCTCCTAGTCACGGTTGCCGCGGTGCCCCCGCGGCGGGGTGCTTCGGGACCGGTGCTGGCACCGTTCCGTCCGCGTTCACCGGATTTGACCCCGGTGAATTCGACATCGGTCACACCAAAAGGGCGTAACCGGCGGCGGCGCGGGCCGAAGACAGCGCCTCCGAAAAAACGGTCTCGCCGACCGGTGCCTGCGCGCCGGTGCGCTTGAGCGCGGCCGCGGCGAGGCATGGCAGGAACGAAACGGCCACGAGCGCCCGGTATTCGAGCCGGTCCCGCCGCCGCACGCTGCGGTGATGGCGGGCGGCCTTGATCGATGGCATCGGTGTCGTCATCGCGTCACTCCTTTCGCCCGCGCCCGGCGCGGACTTGCTGGTGGCCGGTCATGCGGCCTTGCCCGTCACGGCCTGAAGCCGCGCGCGTTCGACATGGGATCGGTCGACACGCTCGGCATTCTCGTTCTGGGCAATGGTTTCGGCGGCATCGCGCAGGTTCTTGGCTGCGGAGATGCGCACCAGGACAGGTTGCGCCTCGACGATCCGGTCGAGGTCGGATTGGGCTTCAACGCTCCATGGCATGGAGCGGTTGACGCGGGCCGGTGTCGCCTCGACCGAGTCGAGATCGGTGGCGAGCGGGATGATGTTGAACAGCGCGTCGAACAGGCCGTTGCAGACTTCCTGGATCATCCAGGAGGCGCCCGAATAGCCCATCACAGGGGTGCCGGTGTGGCGGCGGATGATGGCGCCGGGAAACGACAGCGGAATGTAGATCGCCTTGCCGCCGGTTTCGGCCAGATACATGCGCTCATTGTAGGAGCCGAACAGGATCAGCGGCGGCGTGTCCTTGATCGCCTGCCGGATCGCCTCATTGTCGGGCTTGATTCCGGCGCGCCGCGGATAGGAGAAGGTGCAGGGCAGGCCCATCTCGTCGGCGAGGAAATTGCGGACGCCGCGCTCATAGGTTTCGCTGGCGACGATGGCGAAGGAGGCGGTGGCGAAGAAATCCTGCGTCACCGAGCGCCACAGATCCCACATCGGTTTCAGCGTCGTGTGCTTTTCGCGCTCGATGAACGGTTCGGGATCGAGGCCCAGCATCTCGCCGAGCGTGCGCAGGAAAGCCGTGGTCGAATGGATGCCGATCGGCGCCTGCAGATAGGGCCGGTCGAGCGCCTCGCACAGGCCGCGGCCGAACTCGCGATAAAGGCACACATTGGCGTGCGCGTTGGCGAGCCTGGGCACATCGGCAAGGTGCGAACCAAGCGGGAAGGCCATGTTGACCTCGGCGCCAATGCCCTCGATCAATCGCCGGATCTCGGCCAGATCGGACGGCATGTTGAACGTCCCGTAGATCGGCCCGATGATGTTGACTTTGGGCTTTTCGCCTTCCTTGACGTCCTTCGGTGGGCGCACCTTGCCCTTCTTGGGGCCAAACTCCGTCCACAGCCACTTGATCGCGCGGTCGGCGGACTGCCACTGGTCCTCGTCGATCGTGCGCGGCAAAAAGCGCTGGATGTTGGTGCCCTCGGGCGTCACGCCGCCGCCGATCATTTCGGCTATCGAGCCGGTGACGACGACCGCCGGAAGATCGGGATCGAGCACGGCGCGGGCGTTCTTCATGGACTGTTCGGTGCCCGTCTGGCCCAGTTCCTCTTCGGCAAGGCCGGTGACGACGATCGGCAGTTCGTGCGGGGGCAGGGCGTCGGTGTAGTGCAAGACCGATGTGACCGGCAGGTTCTCGCAGCCGACGGGACCGTCGATGATCACCTGCAGGCCCTTGATGGCGGTGAAGGCGTAGACCGAACCCCAATAGCCGCCGGCGCGGTCATGATCGATGATCAGGGTCATGGCGCGGCTCCCGTGATGACGGGACTGCCTCCCCCTTGAGGGGAGGCACGAGAAGCAACCTTCGGGCTTGCCCCGAAGCGAAGCTGATCGAGTGGGGGTAACAATTGGCCGGTATCGGTGACTTTCACCCCCACCCGGCTCTGTCGCGCTTCGCGCGCCACTCGCCGATGTCCCCTCAAGGAGGAGGTTGGGAGCGATGTCTTGACCATCTTCATGTGCCCACCGCCTCGCCGGAATCGACGGCGTTCTTTGCGATCTTCGTGCGGGCGGCATATTTCTTGCGGAATGCGGTGTTGATTTGCGGCGTGTCTTCCCAGACGCCGGCCGTGTCGCCGGTGCCGACGCCCTCGAAAAACGCGGTCATCGCGTCGAAACGCGCCTTGTTGGCGATTGCGGCGTTGATCACGGTGGCGATCGAGCCGGCACCGGCCGGGCCCATCAGCGGCCGCGCCGAGATCAGGTTGGTGAAGTAGAGCGCCGGCGTCGAGGCCTGTTTGGCATGCTGGACGACGGGTGTCGTGCCAATGGCCAGATCGGGCTTGAATTCCTCGAAGGCGGCGATGTCCTGTTCGAGCGAAGCGCGGAAATTGACCTCGACACCCTTGGCGGCGAGCCATTCGGCATCGTCTTTGGACCAAGGCGTTTTCGGGCAGGCCGTGCCGACATAGCGCAGGTCCGCGCCCGCTTCGACCAGAAGCCGGCCGACGAGCAGTTCCGACCCCTCATAGCCCGACAGGGTGATCCGGCCCTCGATGGGGTTTGCGGCCAAGGCGCCGCGGGTGGCGTTCACGAAGGCGTTGCGCGCCGCGTCGATCTTCGCCTTGGCGACATTGGCCTTGTCGCCGATGGCCTGGAGCCAGGAATCGACGCCCTCGGCGCCCACCGGGGCGGAACCGACGATGGGCCGGCCGGCGGCGGTGAACTCGCGGAAGCTCGCTGTGTAGAAGGGATGGATGCCGGCGACGACGGCGCAGTCGAGCGCCGCATACAGTTCGCGCCATTCACGCACCGGAACGACCGGACCGCATGCCAGGCCCATCGGCTCCAGCATCTGGCCGATCACCACCGGATCGGCGGGGAACATCTCGCCGACGAGCGTGACGGTCGGGCGTTCCTCGATGCCCTCGCGCGGCGCCAGAACCGGGCCGGCGGCAGCCTCGGTGCGGGCATATTTCAGCATCGCGCCGGAGAGAACGTCCTTGGCCTCGGCATGGGTCGGCACGCCGAAGCCGGGCACGTCGATGCCGACAATGCGCACGCCATCGATCTGCTTGGGCAGCGCCTGCAGCGGGATGCCCGATGCGGTCGGCACGCAGAGGTTGGTGACGACGATCGCGTCATAGTCTTCGGGCTTGGCCATCTCGTGGACGGCATCGCGAATGTCTTCGTAGAGCTTGCCGGTGACGAGCGTTTCGGAATTGAAGGGCACATAGCCGACCGAGCGGCGCGCGCCGTAAAAGTGGCTGGTGAAGGTCAGCCCGTAAACGCAGCAGGCCGAGCCCGAAAGGATCGTGCCGACGCGGCGCATTCTCAGGCCGACGCGCAAGCTGCCGAAGGCCGGGCACATCGATTGCGGCTGCTCGTGCGGGCCCTTGGGATAATCGCGCTCGAAGCCATCCATCAGTCCGGCATTGCCGGCGGCCTTTGCGGCCGCCTTCATCTGCTCGGGGCCGGCATGGCAGCCAGCACCGTCGATGGCCGATTGCGCGGCGGCCTGACGCGCCAGTTCCGCATCCCTGTCGGGCGCAGGCTCGGCGTCCTTGGGGATGTGCGGATCGCGTATGAGCGTCGTCGTCGCCATCTCAGACCTCGTCGTAGACGACTTCGAGCGACGGCTTGTCGATCTTGCCGGCAGCGCACATGTCGTCGATCGTCGCGGGGGTCAGGACGAAATCCGCGCCGGTTTCCTCGGTGTCGAACAGGGCCAGCAACCCGTCCTGGGTCAGAGGCGCGGGCTGGTGCGGCGGCGCTTCGCAGAGGTTGTCGGCCAGTACGCCGAACAAGTCGCCCCACTGGCCTTCGGGATAGCCGATGATCTGGTAGTTGGCGCTCTTGCGGCGGATGTCCTCATTCTGCGGGATCGCGGCGAGCACCGGGATGCCGACGGCCTCGGCAAAAGCGGCCGCTTCGCCCGTGCCGTCATCCTTGTTGACGACCATGCCGGCGACGCCGACATTGCCGCCCAGCTTGCGGAAATACTCGACCGCCGAGCAGACATTGTTGGCAACGTAGAGCGATTGCAGGTCGTTGGAGCCGACGACGACGACCTTCTGGCACATGTCCCGTGCTATGGGCAGGCCGAAGCCGCCGCAGACCACGTCGCCCAGGAAATCGAGCAGGACATAGTCGAAATCCCAGTCGTGGAAGCCGAGCTTCTCGAGCGTCTCGAAACCGTGAATGATGCCGCGCCCGCCGCAGCCGCGCCCCACTTCGGGACCGCCCAGTTCCATGGCGAAGACGCCGTCGCGCTTGAAGCAGACATCGCCGATGGCAACTTCCTCGCCCGCTTCCTTCTTCTTGGACGAGGTTTCGATGATGGTCGGGCAGGCCTTGCCGCCGAACAGGAGCGAGGTGGTGTCCGACTTCGGATCGCAGCCGATCAGCAGCACCTTCTTGCCGGTCTGGGCGAGCATGTAGGAAAGGTTCGCAAGCGTGAAGGACTTGCCGATGCCGCCCTTGCCGTAGATCGCGATGATCTGCGTTTCCTTCTTCACCTCACCGGTCGGGACCGGATCGGGCTCTTGCGCGGCTTCGTCGCGCAGCTTGTCGTACATGTCGGCGCCGGGCCGGCTCATGGAGTCGGTCATGCGTCTTTCTCCCAGGTCAGAACCATTTTCGTGCAGGCCGGATCGTTGAAGGCCGTCCGGTAGGCCGCGTTGGCGTCTCTGGCGGACGCTTGATTGGAAATCAGGCCCGAAAGGTCGAGCTTTCCGGCCGTGACGAGATCGAGCACGGCATTGACATCGCCGGGCTGGAACTCGGCCGCGATGCGGATCGAGGCCTCGCGCATGAAGGCGGGCGGGAACGTGAAGCTCAGCGGCGTGCCGTAAAAGCCGGCAAGGACGATCTGCCCGCCGCGGGCAAGGCGCGGGACGCACCGGTCGATGATCGCCGGATCGCCGCTGGCATCGATGATCGTTGCGTAATCGCGGCGGTCGTCGTCATCGCCATTGGTGACGGCATATCCGGTCGCGCCATCGCGGCGCGCCGGATTGATCTCCCAGACCGTGGGCGCATCAGCGCCCAGCGCCATGGCGATCCGGGCGAGCAGCCGGCCGACCACGCCATGGCCGACTATGAGGCCGGGCAGGGCGACACCGGGCAGCGTCAGAGCATGATGGGCGGTGGCCGCAAGGGCCAGCAGCACGGCGTCGCGGCCGAGCGTTTCGCTGACCGGGTAGACCTTCTTGCCGCCGACGACGACTCGCGCGGCGCTGGCGCCGAACAATGGCCGGACATCCTCATAGCAGCGCGCACCGGGCACGAAGACCAATTGTCCCTCTGAGAGGCCGCACCCGTCCGTCACCTCCCGCACGCGGCCGACGCCTTCGTAGCCGGGAACCAGCGGGTATCCCATGCCCGGGAAAGTGGGCATCGTGCCGTCCCAGAGCATCTTCTCGGTGCCGGTCGAGATGCCGCTCCACAACACATCGACGACGGCGTCGCCGGGCTGCGGCGCGGTCAGGCCCACATCGCGCAGGGCGATGGTCTCGGGCTTTTCCAGAACGATCGCGTGTGTGTTCATCGCTTACGGGCCTGTCCTCGATGAGAGGTTCAGACTCTGCCTCCAAGCGTCATCCTAGAATTACATCCAAATGTGTCAACTAATTTTTACACATTTTCGACCACGACCCCTATTTGCGTGCGGACACAAGGCCGGCGACCACTGGCATTCGGGTTCGGCGTTGTCGCATGTGCCGGAAACCAGCAGCCTGAAGCAGGGCGAAGATGTCGTCGGGCGCACGGCAGCGGCCCGAGCGCATGGCCATCAGATAGAAGGTGAAATAGGCGGCGACCTGCCGCGCACCGGGCGCGTCGCCGGCCATCGGCTCGCCGATGATCAGCGTGTCGCCGTCTTCCATCGCCTCGTGAATGGCTGACAGGATGCGCAAAGCAGCGGCATCGTCATGGTCGTAGAGGACGCGGATCAGCGCATAGCAATCCGCGTCGCGCGGCAGCGCGTCGTCGAAAAACGATCCGCCATGGACGGTCAGCCGCCCGGAGAGCGGCCCATTGGCCAATCGCTGGCGGGCGGTTTCGGCAACGGCGGGCAGATCGAACAGCGATAGCTCCAGGCTGGGCCAGCGGTTGCCGGCGGCCGTGACGAAGGCGCCGCTGCCACCGCCGACATCGAGAAGGTGCCGATGCCGGTCCATCGGATAGGCATCGAGCACTTCCTCGATCACCATGTCCTGGCTGATGCGCATCAGTTCGGAATAGGCCGCGCCGTCTTCGGCGCCGACCGTGCCGCCGACATAGGACCAGAAGCGGGACGTTTCGGTTTCGGCCGGAGGATCACGCAGCAGCGCGACCGGATCGGCGAGGTCGCGATAGACGGCACCATGGTGCCGGATCATCGCGGTGATGCCGGGGCTTTGCGTGAGAACGGCGCCATGATCGTCGAGCGTCCAGCGCCCGTCGCTCGTGCGGGCGACGAGGCCGATCCCTTCGGCGGCGCGCAGCAACCGATCGGCGGCATCGCCCGGCAAACGCACATGGCGAGCAAGGGCGGCAGTGTCTTTTGGATCGTCTTCGAGCGCCGCGAACAGGTCCAGTTCGACACAGGCCAGCAGCACTTGAGAATTGACGAATCCGGCAGTGAGGGCAAACAGCTCATTGGCACGCTTGTTGGTGATCCGCCGGAGGATCGGCCAGTTGCGGGCGCGGCGGCGGAATGCCCGATCGGCGATCATCCGGTTTCGCCAAGTGCGAATGCGGTCGGACAGCGACGCGCGCGAAGGGGTTGCCTTGCGGCTCATGGCTGGCTCCGGCGGGGCATGCGCAGCGTCGGCCATGGCCGTCAGGCGGCGCGGCTCGCAAGGCTCTCGGGCATCAGCCGCTTGGCTTCGCCGGCGATCAGGTCGCGCAGCATCGGTGCGCCGGGGCAGTCGGGTACGGCGGCGACGGTCCGGCCGACCAGGTCATGCAGCCTTGCGATCGTGGCGTCGAGGCCACCGGCGGCAACCGCATTGGGCCGGCCGTTGGCGTCGTCCTGCCCGCAAGGCTTGCCGATCTCGGCTTCATTGGCGGCGAAATCGCGCAGATCGTCAGCCACCTGATAGGCCGCGCCGAGCGCGTCGCCCATTGCGCGCCAGGTCTGCGGGTCGGCGCCGGCGGCAATCGCGCCGGCCATCGTCGCGCCGGTGAACAGCGAGGCGGTCTTGGCGCGGTGATATTCGACCAGCGGGATCTCGTCCTCGCTCTCCCATGCCTGGCCGGCGACCAGCCCGTGCGGCATGCCGACCGCCTTGGCGACGGTTCCGGTGAGCGGTGCGATCAGGTGGGGGGTGCCGACGCATTGCCGGGCGATGGTTTCAAAGGCGGCGATGATCAGCGCATCGCCCGCCAGAAGCGCCAGCGGCTCCGAAAAGGCAGAGTGGACGGCGGGCTTGCCGCGGCGGATATCGGCATTGTCGAAACAGGGCATGTCGTCATGGACGAGCGAGGCGCAATGCAGCAGTTCAATCGCCACGGCAGCGGCGTCGGACGCCTCGGGATGGTCGTCGCCGCACGCCATCGCAACGGCAAGGCACAGGCGCGGGCGCACCCGTGCTCCGCCGGGAAACACCGCATAACGCAGGGCCTTTGCGATCTTCGGCGGCTGGTTGCCCGCCGTGGCGTGCTTGATCGCGGTTTCAAGGGCGCGCTCGATCCGCTTTTGCATGTCCATGGCTGGCTCCCGATCCGATGCCGTTCGTCAATTTACAACGACATAAAAGACTGTAAAGTAAAATTGACACAACGGCGGAAAATGTCAACGCGGCATGAGCAGACACGCGCAGCGCGAGCGGATCATCGTCATCGGGGCGGGCATGGGTGGGTTGGCCGCGGCGATCGGTCTGGCCGGACATGGCTACGATGTCCTGGTTCTGGAGAAGGAGGCGGCGCCCGGCGGCAAGGCGCGGCACGTCATGGTCGGCGATGCGGCAATCGATGGTGGGCCAACCGTCTTCACGATGAAATGGGTGTTCGACCGGCTGCTGGAAGGATCCGGGCAGCGGCTTGAGGATGTGGTCGACATTGGCATGGCAAAGGTTCTGGCGCGCCATTTCTGGACCGATGGCACGAGGCTCGATCTGCACGCGGATATCGACCGGTCGGCCGAGGCGATCGCAGCCTTCAGCGATGACGCCAATGCGGCGGGCTACCGCCGCTTTTGTGCCGACAGCCGGCGCATGTTCGAGACGCTGAAGGAACCGTTCATGGCCGACCAGCGGCCGAACATGGCCCAGTTCCTGTGGCGGATCGGGCCGCTTTCGATCCACCGGCATCTCGCGCTCAGGCCGTTTCAGACGATCTGGTCGGCGCTGGGCGGCTATTTTCCCGACCCGCGCCTGCGCCAGCTCTTTGCGCGCTATTCCACCTATGTGGGCTCGTCGCCCTTCATGACGCCGGCAACGCTTATGCTCGTCGCCCATGTCGAGCAGGACGGGGTGTGGATGGTCGATGGCGGCATGCATGCGCTGGCCAAGGGGCTTGTGCGGCTCGGCGAGGCGCGCGGCGTGGGTTACCGGTTCGGCGCCGGCGTCAGCCGCATCGTCACCCATGAGGATCGTGTCGTCACCGGTGTCGTGCTCGATGGCGGCGAGGCGATCGAGGCAAGTGCCGTCGTCTTCAACGGCGATGTGTCGGCGCTGGCAAACGGCGCGCTCGGCACGGCGGCGCTCGCCGCCAAGTGCAAGCCCGTCACGCCGGCTGAGCGCTCCCTTTCGGCGATGGCGTGGACCGGGCTGATGACGGTGCCGGAGTTTCCGCTGGTCCATCACAATGTGTTCTTCTCGCCGGACTATGCCGACGAGTTCGGAGCGATCTTCGAGCGGCGCGCGACAACAGCAGCGCCGACCGCCTATATCTGTGCGCAGGACCGTGCGAGCGACGGCACGCTCAGCCCCGAGGCGCGGGCGCGGGGCACCGAGCGCGTGCTGATGCTGATCAATGCGCCGGGCGACGGCGACATGACAGAGTATGACGATCAAGAGGCCGACAAATGCCTGACACTGACCCTCGACCAACTTTCGCGATGCGGCCTGCACATCGACCGGACGGCGCTGGAAGCCCGGGTGACGACGCCGGCGTCGTTCAACCGGCTGTTTCCGGGCAGCGGCGGGGCGCTGTACGGACGGGCGTCGCACGGCTGGATGGCGAGCTTTCGCAGGCCGGGGGCGAGGACGGCCCTCAAGGGCCTCTATCTGGCGGGGGGCAGCGTTCATCCGGGGCCGGGCGTGCCGATGGCGACGCTTTCCGGCATGCTGGCGGCGGACGCTTTTCTGTCGGACCGGTTTTCGACGCCATCGGTCCCCGCGGCGGCTATCTCTGGTGGTATGTCGATGGAATGAGCGCCTGCGGGCGCTACGGCGTCTCGGTGATCGCCTTCGTCGGTTCGGTCTTTTCGCCCTATTACGCCTGGCGCGGGCGGCGCGATCCGGACGATCATGTGTGCATCAATGTCGCGCTCTACGCGCCCGGGCGCAACCGCTGGACGATGACCGAGCGCGGCCGCGGCGCGATGAGCCGCGATGCCACCCATTTCCGCGTCGGACCGAGCCAATTGACCTGGAATGATGGCCGGCTGTCTATCGATTTCGACGAGATGGCCGTGCCGCGACCGCCGCGCCAGTGGCTGCCGCAGCGGGTGGCGGGCCGCATCGTGCTGACGCCGCACGCGATCACCGATCGCGCGTTTCCGATCGACGCAGAGGGGCATCAGCGCTGGTGGCCCATCGCGCCGTCGGGCGACATTGCCGTCAGCTTTTCGAGGGGCGGCATGCCCGACTGGTCCGGCCATGGCTATCTCGACAGCAATTGGGGCGAAATCGGGCTTGAAGACAGTTTCGCGCGCTGGGACTGGGCGCGCGGCGAACTGGAGAACGGCGAATCGGTGATCCTTTACGACACCGAGCGGCGAGACGGCTCGCGCGGTTTTCTGGTCCTGCATTTTGGCCGCGACGGCACGATCACCGAGCGCGACGAACTTCCCCATACGGCGCTGAAGTCCGGCTTTTGGGGCGTGGCGCGCGGCGCCCATGCCGATCCGGGCCATGCGCCGGTGCTGGTCGAAACGCTCGAGGACGGGCCGTTCTACCTGCGCCAGACGGTCGACACGGTGCTGTTCGGCCAAAAGGTCCGGCTGATGCATGAGAGCTTTTCGGGCCTGCGCTTTGGCAATCCGCTGGTCAAGGCGATGCTGCCGTTCCGCATGCCGCGCCGGGCGCGCTATGGCTCCTGATCGGCCTTTGCTTCGGCCTCAAGCCGGGCCTTGAGCGCGGCCTTGTCGCGTTTCAGCGTGCGCATCTGCCAGACATAGAAGACGGCAAAGCCGACGGCGCCGAAGATCACCTCGATGATGCCGAGATTTTCCACCGGTCACCCCCGCTGCGCACCGGCGAGGCGGACCTGCCGCTGCCGGTCGCGGGCGTCGCCCATGATTTCCAGCATGCGGCCGAGCTTGGCGTCGATGGTGCGCGGCGGGACCGGATCGGACGAAGCGGCAATGTCGACGAGAAAGGCGGCCGAGGGGTCGGCTGGGACGCTCGCGGGCGGTCGCATGGGGAACGGCATCAGTGTGGCGACGGCGATCAGTTCGCCCTTGCGGCGGCGGCTGGTGTGGGCGCGTGTGTCGATGGAATTGTATTCCGCCGCACCGATTTCCCGACCGATTTCGCGATAGACGAAGGCCGCACTGCGGATCGCCGGCCGGCAGTCGAGCGGCAGGCCGGCAACGCCGGTCAGCGCCCGGTCGTACAACGCATCGGCCTCGCCCAGAAGGCGCGCGACGACGCGGCCGAGTTGTGGCGTGAACCTCGGCGCATCGATCAGGGCCCGCGGGTCGACGCCTTGCTCAGCCAGCCAGTCGAGCGGCAGGTAGATGCGGCCGCGCCGCGCATCCTCGCCCACATCGCGCGCAATGTTGGTCAGTTGCATGGCAAGGCCCAGATCGGCGGCGCGTGCCAGAACGGCGCGGTCGCGGCAGCCCATCGCCATCGTCATCATGACACCGACGGTCGAGGCGACGCGGGCCGCATAGGCTTTCACATCGGCGAAGGTGCGGTATTCGCGGCCCGCTTCGTCCCATTCGAAACCTTCAATCAGGGCCAGCGGCACCTCGATGGGGATGTGATAGGTCTGAACGACTGCCGCGAAGGCGCGGTCGCAGACCAGATCGATCGGACAGCCTTCATAGATCAGCTCAAGCCGTCTTTTGAGGCGCTGCGATGCGCGCCCGTCATTGCCCGCATCGTCGATCAGATCGTCCGACGAGCGGCAAAAGGCGTAAAGCGCGCGCGCGCCGAGACGGACGTCGCGCGGCAAAAGACGCGAGGCGGCGTGAAAGCTCTTCGAGCCGGCGCGAATCGATTCGTGGCACAGGCGCCGGTCGCGCGCGCTCAGAAGCGGGGTCCTACGCGCGTGTGGTGGCATGGGGCACCAGCTTGTCGAGAATGGCCGCCGACGAGACGACACCGGGAAGGCCCGCGCCGGGATGGGTTCCCGCGCCGACCATGTAGAGATCGCGCACTTCCTCGGAGACGTTGTGCGGGCGGAACCAGGCAAGCTGGAAGATGGTCGGCGCCATGCCGAAGGCGGCGCCCTTGGTCGACAGGAGCCGGTCGCGGAAGTCCAGCGGCGTCGTCAGCTTCGTCGTGACGATCGCGTCCGACAGGCCTGGCATCATTGTCTGTTCGAGGTGATCCTGTATGCGTTGGCGATAGGGCTCGGCCGTGGCATGCCAATCGGTGTCGCCATCGAGATTGGGCACTGGCGACAGCGCGTAGAACGCGTCACAGCCTTCCGGCGCCACCGAGGGATCGGATGCCGACGGCCGATAAAGATAAAGCGAGAAGTCGTCGGCCAGCACTTTCCTGTCGAAGATGTCGGTCAGCAGCCCGCCATAGCGCGGCCCCATCAGGATGGTGTGGTGACCGATATCGTCGTAGCGGCGGCTGGTGCCGAAATACCAGACCAGAAGGCTCATCGAATAGTTCATGCGCCGCACCCTGCGGTCGGTCCAGCGTTTCCGCTTGTGGTTGCGCAAAAGGTGCGTGTACGTCCAGCCGGCATCGGCATTGGAGACGACGCAATCGGCGGCGACGGTCTCGCCGCCAGCAAGACGGACGCCCTTTGCCGCCCCCTCTTTCACGATGATCTCATCGACCTGCACGCCAAGCCGGAAACGCGCGCCGTGCCGCTCGGCCAGATCCGCAATGCCCCTGGCGAGCGCGCCGGTGCCGCCCAGGGAATAGTGCACGCCATACTCGCGCTCGAGAAACGAGATCAGGCTCATGACGCCCGATGTGCGCATCGGATTGCCGCCGATGAACAGCGGATGGAAGCTCAGCGACTGGCGGAGATGGTCGTTTCGGACATATTTCGACACAAGAGCGTGCACCGAGCGATCCGCGCGCCGGGCGACGAGGCCGGGCATCTGCCGCACCATCTCGGCGAGCGAATGGAACGGCTGGTCGATCATCTTCTGAAAGCCGGTCCGGTAGCACTTCTCGCTTTCGACGAGGAAATCCTCGTAGCCGTCAATGTCATCGGGCTCGAACGCGGCGATTTCTTCGCGCATCTTGTCTTCGTCGGACCAGCAGCGGAAGGTCCGCCCGTCATCGAAGCGGATCGTGTAATAAGGCTCCAGCGGCTTGAGCGTGACATGGTCTGCCATGCGCTCGCCCAACAGCGTCCAGAGCGCCTCGAAGACGAATGGCGCGGTGATGATGGTCGGCCCGGCATCGAAGGTGAACCCGTCCTGCCGGTGGACATATCCGCGCCCGCCGACATCGTCGAGCTTGTCGATCACGGTGACGCGATAGCCGCGCGCGGTCATGCGCACTGCGGCGGCAAGTCCGCCGAATCCGGCACCGATCACCACCGCGTGGGGACGCTGGTCAGGTCCGGTTTCGACCGGCGGAGGTGTCTGGTGAACGGTCATCATGACCCCAAGTAAAGACACGGGCTGCCGCTTTGGCAACTGCCGGGGAAGGATGAAAGAGCGCTCATTGCGCCGCCTCGGCGGTATCGAGAAGGCCGGCGGTACGCGCCGTTTCCTCAATGATTTCAGCAAACTGGTGCGGGGCGGCCTCATGCGCCAGGTGCCCGCCCGACGGCAGGGACAAGATGGTGGCCGAGTTTGTCAGCGTCGCCGCATGTCGCGAGACGCGCGGCGGCACCATCCGGTCGTCCTCGTTGACGATGAGCGTCGTCGGCGTCTTCAGGTCGGCCAGCCGGCGCTGCAGCGGCTCGAGATTCCAGTTGGCCATCATGCCCAAGGCCCCGGCGACATGGGACGGCATGCCGACGAGGGTTTCGTAGTGGCCGATCGTCGTCTCGTCGAGCGCCGATCCGGTGTTGGCCAGGAGCCGGCGGGGCAGGCGCGTGTGGCGCGCCTGGAAGGCCACTGTATGGGCGGTGAACGGGTTGACGAAGAGCGCCTTGGCCAGCGGCGAGAAGATGGCATTGCCTTCGATCGGTTCGAGCGCGCTGTTGAGGCCGATCAGCGCGGCCGGTTCGATCCGGCCGCCGAGCGCCATCTCGATGAGAATGGCCGCGCCCGCCGAGTGGCCGGCGGCGATGGCGGGCGCGAAATCGAGCGTGTCGAGCAGTCCGGCCAGCGCGTCGGCCATGCCGGGCAGGGAGAGGACGCGGCCGCGCGCCTCGGAGGTAAAACCATGACCGGGTAGGTCGGGCGCGAGCACGTCGAACCGTTCGGCCAAAAGCCGCATCAGCGCGCCGAACGAATGGGTCGATGCGCCCGTGCCGTGCACAAGCAGGCATTTGGGAGCGCCGGCCTCGCCCATGCGCTGGACATGCCAGACAAGGCCGGCGGCCCGCACGAACCGGCTGTGCTCGGCGTTCGGCCATCGGCCCTCGACCGCATGCCAGCCCTCGGGCGGGGCGGGGTCGGCCGGGGCGGCCATCAGCGCGGCGCCTTCAGATAGTTCGAGACGATGCCGGACATGGCGCCCGCATCGGCACGCGGCAGCGTGACATAGTCGGCGTGCATGGCTTCTGCGAGGGTTCGGGCGCTGTCGCGCGGCCGCCGGGCAATGTCGATGATCACCGAACGAATGCCGGTCAGGGCCGCACGCCGGGCCATCTCTTCGGCATCGGCGCGCGCCGCCTGACGATCCTGCGTGCCGTCGAGCGCCACATTGCCCTTGCCGTCGGTCAAAAGCACGATCAGCGGCGACTGGCCGCGCCGCCGGGCGCGATCGGCAAGATCGAGTGCCTGGCCAAGGCCGGCGGCAAGCGGGGTCGGGCCGCCGCCGGGCAGGGCGGTCAGCGACCGCTTGGCCCTGACGAGCGAACGGGTCGGCTCCAGCAGCACGTCGGCGCCTTCGCCGCGGAAGGCGACCAGCGCGACCTGGTCGCGGCGCACATAACAGTCGGCCAGAAGCAGTTCGACGCAGCCCTTGGCCTCGCCGAGCCTTTCGAGGGCGGTCGAGCCCGATGCGTCGACCGCAAAAATCGCAGTGGACTCGGTGTTGTGGGCGTAGCGGACATAGCGGAAGTCGGACGGTCGCACGCAGAGCGGTTCCCCGGGTGTCCAGGCGGGCAGGCCGCGCGCCTTGCGGCGGATCATCTGCCAGGGCGCGGCGCTTCGAAGCGTGGCGACGACGTTGGGCCGGGCTCCGGGAAAGGGCGGCCGGGTGACCAGGCCCGCCGGCCGGCCCCGCCGGGCGCCCTGGCGCACCGCGCCCGATTTGCCCGCCGCGCTCTGCGCCCGGGTGCGCGTCATGTTGGCCTGGTGGAACAGGGCCAGATCGAGCTTGGCGCCTCGCGTGGCGGCGATGGCAAGGTCCTTGAGCTGTTCGGGGTCGAAGGCGGTTTCGGTCTCGCTGTCCTGCTCGGGCGTGTCGGGTTGGTCGCGCTGGCGTTCGTCCCGGGACGGCGCGTCGTCTGCCGGATCATCGTCCGCGCTGCTGCCGTCCGCCTGATCCGCCGGCGCCTCGATCATCGCGCCGCAGGTGAGCCGCAGCGCCGTTGCGACATCGTCCGGCGAGGCTTCGGAACGGCCGGCGGACGCGGCAAGAATGCGGGCGGCCAGCATGGCCTGGGCAGGCGCGCGCATCGATGCGCCGCGCAGCATGGCGGCGACCGCAACGATCGTCTCGGCCAGCGGGTCGGCGATGGTGACGGCCTGGACTGCGCTTTCGTCCGGCGGCTGAGGCGTTTGCCGTTCGATCGTCGCGTCGCCGATCGCGATGCCGTCGAGACGGACGCGCAATCCCAGCCGGTCGGCGACGGCACCGGGCAGCGCATGATCCTCGTCGCCGTCGCTTTCATCGAGCGCGACGATGCCGAAGCCCGATGTCGCGTCATGGGCGCGGGCGATGATGCCGGCGGTGCCTGGCGCGAGCCGTTCGGCCATGGCGACGATCAGGCAACCGCCCCAGAGCGTCTCGAGCAGACCGGCTTCGTGCACGGGCGTGCCGCCGGCCAGTGTCGCGGCAATGTCGATGCCGCCGGTCAGGCGGCCGGCCGACACGGCGGGTGTGATACGCTTGACCGGGGTGGTCGCCGGGAGCATGGCACGCGCAGCGTCCAACCAGCGGTCGCGAACCGGCGATGCGCGGGCGATAACGTGGATGCCGCCCAGTGCCGCCGGCGCCGCGGCAAAAATCCGCGCCGCGCACAGCGCGTCGGCCCAGGCCGGATCGCCGGCGCTGGAATGGTCGGCCGAAGGCGCAGGCTCGGCCGCCGGTGCCGGGAAATCCGCCGGGCCGCTTTCAAGCATGGCCGGCGGCGCCATTGGCCACCTCGCCGACGGCGCGCTCGACCCGGACCGCCGAGCCCGCCTCGTCGAGCGGGTCGCGGCGCAGCCGGTGCCGCAGGGCCATGGGCGCGATGGCCACCAGATCGACCTTTGTCACCTCATTGCGGCCGGCGAGGGCGGCGCGGGCGCGGGCGGCCCGCATCAGGGTGAGTTCGCCGCGCAGTCCGTCAACGCCGAGACGCAGGCATATGTTGGCGGCCAGTTCGAGGACGGCGTCCGGCGTCTCCACCTGGTCGAGCATGGCTTGTGCCTTTGCGACCTTGCGCCGGACGGCTGCGTCCTTGCGGCTCCATGCGCGGACAAACCCGTCCCGGTCGCGCTCATAGGCTTCACGGCGGCGCACCACCTCGACCCGCTCCTTGAGCGTATCGGGCGAGGCGACATCGACCGACAGGCCGAACCGGTCCAGCAATTGGGGTCTGAGTTCGCCCTCTTCCGGATTGCCCGAACCGATCAGCACGAAACGGGCGGGATGGCGCACCGAAAGGCCCTCGCGTTCGACAAGGTTGACGCCCGACGCCGCGACATCCAGCAGGAGGTCGACCAGATGGTCTTCGAGCAGATTGACTTCGTCGATATAGAGAAAGCCGCGATTGGCGCGCGCCAGCAGCCCCGGCTCGAACGCCTTTTCGCCAGAGACCAGCGCACGCTCCAGATCGAGTGCGCCGCACACGCGATCCTCGGTGGCGCCGAGCGGCAGATCGATGACCGGGGCCGGTTCGGTGCGGACGCGGGGCGGCTTGTCGCCGGTACACGCAGGACATATGTCGACCGGCTTGTCCGGCTGGCAATTGTAGCGGCAGCCTTCGCGCAGTTCGATCTTCGGCAGAAGCGCGGCCAGGGCGCGCACCGCGGTCGATTTGCCCGTTCCCCGGTCGCCGAACACCAGAACACCGCCCAGGAGCGGGTCGACTGCGGCCATCAGAAGGGCCTGCTTCATCTCCTCCTGGCCGACGATCGCGGCAAAGGGAAATGGTGCCGACATGAGTTGCTCCCCGATCTGGCTTCCAAGTGTCAATTTCAATTGACATTCTGGCATGGCAAGTCGTCGATTTCCACGACGTTTTTCCCGCCGGTGAAACCAACTAAAGTTGTAGCGCGTTAACGGGTTGGCGCGAAATCGCGCCACAACCGCCGCGGTCACACCTGCAAGCTGTTGACGCGTCTCATTGGGGTGCTAGGTGTAGCCGCGAAGGGATTTTAACCGGAGGAAACCACGTGAAATCGCTTAAGACATTTCTTTTCGCGGCGGGCGCCGTGCTCGTATCCACATCGGCGCACGCCATCGACGGCGATCCGGCGGCCGGTGAGCAGGTGTTCCGCACATGCAGCACCTGCCATAATGTCGAGGAAGAGCGCAACAAGGTCGGGCCGCACCTGGTCAATGTGATCGGCAGGACGCCCGGCACCGTCGAAGGTTTCCGTTACTCGAAAGCGATGACCGAATTCGGCGAGAGCGGCGCGGTCTGGGACGAAGAAACGATCGCCGCCTATCTGGCCGATCCGCGCGGCTATGTGCGGGGCAACCGCATGGCGTTTGTCGGCCTGAAGAGCGAAGAGGAAATCGCCAACGTGATCGCCTATCTGGCGCAGTTCTCCGAGATGTCCGAAGAAGGCGAAGCGGCCGAAGAAGCCGAAGCAGCCGAAGGCGAAGCGGCCACCGAATAGATTCCGCAGCGACCGGATATCGACCCGCCGGCTCCTGTCCGGCGGGTCTTTTCTTTTTGCAGCGCACGCAATGGCTGAACATCGCGGCATTAGACTGATGTCTAATGCCGCGATGTTGCTTCGAAAGGTGGCCGGCCGGACCGCAGATGACGTGTTCCGCGGTGGCGATCCCCCGGCGGAAGCCGGACACAACGCCTTGTTTATGCGCCGTTTACCGCCGTCACGAGCCGGCGTTTCCACTTTCCCCGAGGGCATGATGTCCACAAGGACGATTTTGTCGCATGTTGCTCGCCGGCTCTCTCGTCTCCCGTCAAATTTCATCATAAGATGTTTTCGAGCGTGCGGTCTTTTCCGCCGCTGAGGAGGCAAAATGTCAGGGCGCCGGCAGACACCGGACGACCCAGTGGAGGCCAACGATAATGCCGGTCAACCGGCACCGGATTTCCGGTATACACTGCTGAACACGCCCACTGTCGATCGTCGACTGGATACACAATTGCTCGAGCGTGCCATCAAACGCCATGTGGCCGCGCAGGTGGGCGAGGTCGCGGCGCCTTCTGGCGGCGATGATGACCGCGTTGGCCGGCTCGATCCCGAGACGGTCCTTGAGGCTTTCCTTGTTTCCGATCAGGCCTTTCTCGATTCAGTCGTGCCGACGCTGCTGGACAGCGGCGTCAGCCTTTCGGCCTTCTACAAGACAATCGTGCGCCCCGTTGCGGCCAAGCTTGGCGATCTTTGGTGTGAGGACGAGGTCGACTTCGTCAGGGTCGAGATCGTGTCGACGCGGCTGCGGCTGATGTGCAATCAGCTCGTGACGCGGCGCATGGCCGGCCGGACGCCCTGGCACGAAGACGGGCGCCGGCGCATCCTGCTGGCGAACACCGGCGGGGATCAGCACACGCTGGGCTTTTCGATGGCCGAAGCCTTCTTCCAGGACGCGGGATGGAACGTCGATGGCGGCGCCGATCTCCGGCCGGGCCCCGACTATTACGATACGCTGCAGGCCGGCGACTTTCCTTTCGTGGCCATTGCCTTTGCGCGCGACGATGCGTGCGATCCCACCGACATGGTCGCCCGGACCCGGCAGGCCTCCGCCCGCCGCGACGTCAGGATTTGTCTCGGCGGCGTTGCCGTCAGTGCAAGTCCTGATCGCTACCGGGCTGCGGGCGCCGATATCGTCGCGCTGGACGCGCTCGACGCCGTTCGGCAGGCCGAGGGATTGCTGGCCGTTTCGCCATGGGAAAAGGCCGGTCATGCTGCGCCAGCCCCCGCCGACAACGGCGCTGGCGCAGGTCGGGCCGACAAAGGCAGCTAAAGACGAACGGCTCTAACCCGACAGGTCGCCGCCGTGGGGCAGTATTTCGCCCAGGCGAAGCAGGGCGATCCGTTCGACCTGCCGGCAGGCTTCGGCAAATTCCTGTTCGGCGCTGTTTTCAAGCCGTTGCTGAAACGCTTGCAGGATCGACGCCTTGTCGTGGTCGCGTACCGCGAGGATGAACGGAAAACCGAACTTTTCCGTGTAGGCAAGGTTCAGCGCCTCGAACCGGGCGCGTTCCCGGTCGGTCAGGGCGTCGAGACCCGCCGAGGCCTGTTCTGCGGTGGAATCGGCGGTTAGCCGCTTGGCGGCAGCGAGCTTGCCGGCGAGATCGGGGTGCGCTTTCAGGACGCCAAGACGTTCGTCATGGGAGGCGGCACGAAACTGCCGGGCGAGCGCGGCATGCAGGCCGATGGCGGTGTCGTTGGCCGGGCCGAGTTCGTCGTTGAAAGCGCGCTCGGCGATCCAGGGCGAGTGCTCGAAGATGCCGCCGAACGCCTCGATGAATTCGGACTTGTCGAGCCGCGAGGGCTTGGCGCGATGCTCGGGCGGAAAAAGGGCGCGCCAATGGTTGGCGATGTCGATGCGCCGGGCGAACCAGACATCTGGCTTCGATTGCGCGTACTCGATGAATCGCCTGAGCGCCATCGTCCGGCCGGGCCGGCCGGCGAGCCGGCAGTGAAGGCCGACCGACATCATCCTGGCCTGGCCCTGTTCGCCCTCGGCATAAAGAGTGTCGAACGTGTCCTTCAGATAGGCCAGGAACTGGTCGCCCGCATTGAAGCCCTGCGGCGTTGCGAACCGCATGTCGTTGGCGTCCAGCGTATAGGGCACGATGAGCTGGTCGTGCCCGTCATAATGGTGCCAGTAGGGCAAGTCGTCTGCGTAAGAGTCGGCGACATAGGCAAAGCCGCCTTCCTGAGCCGCCAGATCGACCGTGTTGACCGAGCAGCGGCCCGTGTACCAGCCCAGGGGACGCTCGCCCGTCACCTCGCGGTGGACGCGGATCGCCTCCTCCATATGATGCTTTTCCTGATCGGGGGAGAAATCCTTGTATTCGATCCATTTCAGGCCATGGCTGGCGATCTCCCAGCCGGCCTCACGCATGGCGCGGACCTGCGCGGGAGACCGGGCGAGGGCTGTTGCGACGCCATAGACGGTCACCGGAACACCGGCCTGCACGAACAGCCGGTGCAAGCGCCAGAAGCCGGCGCGCGCGCCATATTCGTAGATCGTCTCCATGTTCCAGTGGCGCTGACCCGGCCAGGCGGCGGCGCCGACAATCTCCGACAGGAAGGCTTCGGAAGCCTCGTCGCCATGGAGAAGGGAGTTTTCGCCGCCTTCCTCATAATTGACGACGAACTGGACGGCGATCTTGGCGCCGCCCGGCCATTTCGGGTCGGGCGGGGTCTGGCCGTGGCCGTGCATGTCGCGGGGGTAGCGGTTCATGGCCGCCGGCTCCTGTGTGGCGCGCCGGACTTCACAAGCGCGCGGGATGCTGTCAGATGGTGCATGGACTTGTCATGCCGATTTTCGGCCGATCAGACAAGCATGCGGGGAGAGCGAGCGCGATGGCCGAAGGCGGATTTCTGACGACCCATGTGCTGGACACGGCGCGCGGCGTGCCGGCGGCGGGCATGGCGATCCAGCTCTACCGGGTGTCGGGCAATTCGCACACAAAGATCGCCGAGGCGGTGACCAATGATGACGGGCGCACCGATGGCCCCATCCTGCCGGCGGGCACGTTCAAGGCCGGCCAGTACGAGATGGTCTTTCATGCGGGCGACTATCTGCGCGCCAACGGGCTTGCCGGCGACGAGCCGCTGTTTCTCGACCAGGTGCCGATCCGCTTCGGCATCAGCGACGGCGATGCCCACTATCACGTGCCGCTTCTGGTTTCGCCCTATGGCTATTCGACCTATCGGGGCAGCTAGCGGGGCGAAGGGCCGAACCGATGTATGATCTCGCCGTCTTCATGGAATGGGCCGAGTTCGCCGTGCGCTGGCTGCATGTCATCACGGCCATCGCCTGGATCGGCTCGTCCTTCTATTTCATCGCGCTCGACCTGGGTCTGAACCGGGATATCGAAGGCCCGGCCGATGGCGAGGAATGGCAGGTCCATGGCGGCGGCTTCTACCACATCCAGAAATATCTCGTCGCGCCCGAGGCGATGCCCGAGCATTTGACCTGGTTCAAATGGGAGAGCTACGCCACCTGGCTTTCGGGCTTCGCCATGCTCGTCCTCGTCTATTATCTGGGCGCCGATCTCTATCTGGTCGATCCGAACGTTGCCGACATTTCGATCCCGTTCGCCATCGCCATCTCGCTGGCGTCGCTGGCGTTCGGCTGGATCGTCTACGACCAGCTCTGCAAGTCGCCGCTCGGCGAGACGCCGACCGTCCTGATGCTGCTCCTTTTCGTGCTGCTCGTGGTCATGGCCTGGGGCTACACGCAGGTGTTTTCGGGACGGGCGGCGCTTTTGCACCTTGGCGCCTTCACCGCCACGATCATGACGGCGAACGTGTTCCTGATCATCATTCCCAACCAGAAAATCGTCGTCGCGGATCTCAAGGCCGGCCGCACACCCGACGCCAAATACGGCAAGATCGCCAAGCTGCGCTCGACGCACAACAACTACCTCACCCTGCCGGTGATCTTCTTCATGCTGTCGATCCATTATCCGCTGGCGTTTGCGAGCGAATACAACTGGCTGATCGCGGCGCTGGTGTTCCTGATGGGCGTGACGATCCGGCACTATTTCAACACGCGTCATGCGCGCGCCGGCAACCCGACCTGGACGTGGCTGGCGACGGCGATCCTGTTCGTTCTCATCATGGCGATTTCGACCTGGCCGCTCTTTTCGGACGATCCGGCCAACCCAGAGGACGCCAGGGCCACGCCCTATCAGGAGCGGATCATGGCGACCGAGGGCTTTGAGGAGGTCGCATCGATCGTGCAGGGACGCTGCTCGATGTGCCATGCCACCGAGCCATTCTGGGACGGCATCGTCTTCCCGCCCAACGGCGTGCGGCTCGAAACGCATGCGCAGATCGCCGCGCATGCGCGCGACATCTACATCCAGTCGGGCGTCACGCACGCCATGCCGCCGGCGAACGTGTCCTTCATGGAGGATGAAGAGCGCCGCGCGATTGTCGAATGGTTCCGCTCGGTTCAGTGAGCGCCTGACAGCGCGGCGCCGACGGCGCGGGCCATCACCAGTTCCTCATTGGTCGGAACCACCATGACGCGGACCCGGCCGGTGCCGATGTCGCGGGCGTTGTCGGCGTTATTGTCCTCGTCGACCGCGATGCCGAGCCATTCCATACCCGCGCAGACCTCGCGCCTGATGCGTGCCGAGTTCTCGCCGATGCCGCCGGTGAAGATCAGCGCGTCGAGCCCGCCGAGCACCGCGCTCATGCCGCCCAGTTCACGGCGGATGCGGAAGACGAAATAGTCGATCGCCTCGCGGGCGTGCGGATCGTCGCTTTGTTCCAGCGTGCGCATGTCATGCGTCAGGCCGGACAGGCCCTTGAGACCGCTTTCCCGATAGAGAAGGTTGGCGATCTGATCGGCGTCCATGCCGTGATGCTGCATCATGTAGAGCAGCACGCCCGGATCGATCTGGCCGCAGCGCGTGCCCATGGGCAGCCCGTCGAGCGCGGTGAAGCCCATGGTCGATCCGACGCTTAGGCCGTCGCGCACCGCGCACATGGAGGCGCCATTGCCAAGATGGGCGATCACGACGCGTCCGCTCGCAAGGTCCGGCTCGGTGCGAGCGATTTCCGAGGCGATGTACTCATAGGACAGGCCGTGGAAGCCATATCGCCGCACGCCTTCGTCGAACCATTTGCGGGGCAGGGCGAACGTGTCGTTGACGAACGGATGGGTGCGATGGAACGCCGTGTCGAAACAGGCGATCTGGACGGCGTCCGGAAAGGCGGCGATGGCCGCCTCGACGCAGTCGAGATTGTGCGGCTGGTGCAGGGGGGCGAGCGGCTCGAGCGTGCGCAGCTTGCCGATGACCTCCGGCGTCAGTTCAGTGGGGGCGACAAAGTCAGTGCCGCCATGGACGACACGGTGGCCGACGCCGGCAACGGTCGAACCACCGAACAGGACGTCCGCCCGACCGAGAATCGCGGAAAGCGCGCCGGCATGGTCGTTGGCCTCGATATCGACAACCTGCTTGTCCCCACCGCGTTCGACGATCAGCCTTGTCTGCTGGGTGGGCGACAGATTCTCCACTTGTCCCGATGCGCGGAGCGCCGGTCCATCGCCCTGCGCATAGACCGCGAACTTGACCGAGGACGAGCCCGCATTGAGCGTCAGGATCGCCGCGTCCGACATGGTGTGCCTACTGGTTCAGTTGCCATTGGTGGTAGAGCGCGGCGACCGCGCAGGAGGCAAGCCGCGCCTTGTCGTCATCGGCGCGGCTCGACAGGATCACCGGGCACTTGGCGCCGAGCACGAGGCCGCCCGCCTCGGCATGGGCCAGAAACGTCAGCTGCTTGGCGATCATGTTGGCCGATTCCAGGTTCGGCGCCATCAGAATGTCGGCGTGGCCGGCGACCAGCGAGCGGATGCCCTTGGTGCGCGCCGCATCCTCGTCCACCGCATTGTCCATGGCGAGCGGACCGTCGACGATTCCGCCCCGGATCTGGCCACGGTCGGCCATCTTGGCGAGCGCGGCCGCCTCGATGGTCGATGGCAGCTTGGGATTGACCGTTTCGACCGCCGACAGGACGGCGACCTTTGGCACTTCGACGCCCAGCGCGCGGCCCAGATCGATCGCGTTCTGGATGATGTCGACCTTCTCATGCAGTTCCGGCGCGATGTTGATGGCCGCATCGGTGATCATCAGCAGATGATCGAGGCCGGGCACATCCATGCAGAAGACGTGGCTGAGGCGCCGCCTTGTTCGCAGGCCGCCGTCGGATTTGACGATGGCGCGCAGAAGGTCGTCCGTGTGCAGATGGCCCTTCATGACAGCGCCGGCACGGCCCTCGTGGACGAGCTGGACGGCACGGGCCGCCGCGACCGAATCGGTCGGCGCGTCGATGATCTCGAACGGGTGCAGATCGACGCCCATTTCGACGCCCGTTTCGCGGATCTTCTTCTCGTCGCCGACGAGGATCGGCACGATCAGAGTGTGTTCGGCGGCCAGCAGCGCGCCGCCAAGCGACTTGGGATCGTCCGGGCAGACAACGGCGGTGGGCAGAGCGGGCAGCGGTTCGGCCAGCTCAAGCAGCCTGTCGAAATGGACGTGCCGCTGCACGGTCAGGCCGGGCAGGTCGTCGGCGGCGAAACTCAGTTTCGTCTTCGGCGCGATGACCGTCGCCTCGCCCTCGACGATCGGCGCGCCGTCCGCCTTGGTCACCGTTGTCGCGAAGACTGCCAGGAGTTCGGGTTTCTTCTTGGCTAGCCGGATCGTGACGGTCAGTTCGTCGCCGGCATGGGCGCGGCCCAGAAAGCGCAAATTCTGGCCTTTGTAGAGCGTTCCCGGGCCGGGCAACTGGTTGCCGAGCACCGCCGATATCAGCGAAGCCACCCACATGGAGGGAGCGATCGGCTCATCGGCCTCGCCGTCGCCGTCATGGTCTCCCTTGGGCAGGTGAACCGGATTGTGATTGCCCGAAGAAGACGCGTAGACGAGAAAATCCTCGGCGCGGCAGAGGCGCTTGGCGGACGCCTCCATGCCTATCTCAAGGGCGTCCCAGGGCGTGTTGGAATAGGTGTTCATCTCGTCCTGTTTCCCGAACCGGTGCCGTGACACTGCGGTTCCTTCATCGGTGCACTACCATAGTCAACCGCCAAGTTGGGCGGTGCGGCATATCGCGCGTCAACCGACGGCGATCGTCGGGTCCGCGGGCCGTACGGGCACGCCAGAGCGTCCGGCGGAATAGCTTCGAAACCGCGTCACCCCTCCGCATCGATCGCGGCCTGCACAGCCGCGAAGAACCCGTATCGCTCGTCGTTCTGGCCGGCGCTCACGCCCCGCGCGTCGTCCCATGAGCTGTGGGTGACGATCACCAGTTCACGGGCCGGATCGACGAATATGGCCTGACCGAATATGCCGCCGGCCATGTAGGCGCCATCGTCAAACGTCCACCATTGATAGCCGTAGTCGCGCACGCCTTCGCGGCCCACTTCGACCTGCAGGTTCGTGGCCGCGTCGATCCAGCCCTCGGCAACGACGGGCTGGCCGTCCGCAAAGGCGCCATCGAGCATGAACTGGCCGAAACGGGCATAATCCAGTGCGGCGGCCTGTATGCAGCAGCCGCTGATTTCCTCGCCCGACTTGGACGTGACCCATGTGGCAAACTGCTGCATGCCGTAGGCCCGCCAGATCTTTTCCGACAGATAGCCGGACACCGTTTTTCCGGTGGCGCTGGCCACCAGAATGCCGACCAGATTGGTCTCGCCGGTCGAATAGTTGAAGACAGTACCCGCAGGGTGCGCGCGGGGCAGGCGTTTCAGGTAGCTCAGAAGCGCGGTCTCGCCCGGTTCGGGCTCGGTCTCGTTGAACAGGGCGACATCCGACTGCGGGTCCTGATAATCCTCGTTCCAGCTTACGCCGGAGGTCATCGTCAGAAGCTGGTGGATGCTCACATCGTCATAGGCAGAGCCTCGCAGGGCCGTCACATAGTCGGACACCTTGTCTTCGAGACTTCCGATATGGCCGTCCCTGATGGCCGCGCCGACCAGGGTGGAGGTCAGCGATTTTGCGACGGAGAAACTCGTCCATCGCTTGTGGCGATCCTGATGCAGCCCGTATCGCTCCAGCCGGATCTGGCCATCGTGCAGGACGACCAGCGCGGCGCTGTTCTGGCTCTCCAAATAGGCGTCGATGTCCAGGTCGAGCGCCAGCGGTTCGCCTTGCGGAAGCGGGCGAACGTGATCGCCGGCCCCGATGCGAACGCTGTCGATGATCGGCAGCTTGTCGGAAAGCGCAAAGCCGGAGTCACGCTGGCTTTGGGTCCATTGAAGAACACGGTCGTCCAGGGGCGGATTTGAGAGAAATGTCCGCCATTGCGGGCCGATCGCGTACCAGGCGATCGCTCCGGCTGCCACAAGCAGCGCCAGGCCGTAGCCCGCGATCTTCATCATCTTCGCCATTGCGTTCCTCCCGCCGCTCGTGGGTTCCTCCATCTGTCGGCTGCGATAGTCAATGATCAAGTTCGGCACGGCGACCCCTTTGGTCCGAACCGATTGCAAATCGCGATGGCAATCGGCAGTCTGCCAGCGCATGATCGGGAGGAACGGATGCGCCGCTCGCTGTTGATGTTGATGCTGTGCATGCCGCTCGGGACCGCCGCGGCCGCCGACCTGCCGCCGCCTGTCACCGACGACATGTTCGCGCCGGTCGATGAGGCCGAGGCGCGGCTTGGCTGGCAGCTCTTTTGGGACCCGGTGCTCTCGGGCAACCGCAACATCTCCTGCGCGACGTGCCATCATCCCGATTTCGGCACCGGCGACGGCGTGTCGCTGGCCTTGGGAGAGGGCGGCATCGGGCTCGGTCCCGACCGGCGCGTCGATCCCGAAAATCCGCCCGAACAGCGCATTCCGCGCAACGCGCCGGCGCTGTTCAATCTCGGCGCGCGCGAATTCACGGTGTTGTTCCATGACGGCCGGATCGAGGTGGACGAGACACGGCCCTCGGGCCTGCGCACGCCGCTCGAAGACGAGATGACCGGCGGCTTTGCCAACATCCTGTCCGCGCAGACCATGTTTCCGGTCCTGTCGCAGGACGAGATGGCCGGCCACTATAGCGAGAACGAGGTGTCGCTGGCCGTCCGCATGGGGCGGATCACCGGCGAGGGCGGCGCCTGGGACCGGATTTCGCAGCGCGTGGCGGCGATCGATGCGTACCGGACCCAGTTCGAGGCGGTCTATCCGGAGATCGGGGCGGGCCGGGCCATCGCATTCACGGATATCTCGAACGCCATCGCCGCCTTCATTGCGTTCGAGTGGCGTTCCGACAAGGCGCCGTTCGATGCGGTGCTGCGCGGTGAGGCGGAACCGACCGGCGCTTCGGCCAAGGGATTGGACCTGTTTTATGGCGAAGCGGGCTGCGCGACGTGCCATGCCGGCCCGTTACTGACCGATCACGGGTTTCACGCCATGGGGCAGCCGCAGATCGGGCCGGGCAAGGCCGAACGGTTCGAGGCCCATGCGCGCGACATTGGCCGCATGCGGGTGACGGGCGACCCGGCCGACGCCTACAAGTTCCGGACACCAAGCCTGCGCAACGTCGCGCTGACCGCGCCCTACGGCCATGCCGGGGCTTTTGGAGAACTGGACGCGTTTTTGCGCCATCATGTCGATCCGGCGGCAGGCCTTGCCGCCTATGATCCCGGTCAGGCCGTGCTTGCCACGCTGCAAGGCGCCGACGATTTCGCCGTTCTGAACGATGCCGACGAGCGGACGGCGATTGCCGAGGCGGTGGAGATCGAACCGGTGCCGCTGGCGGATGCGGACATTGCCGCGCTCGTGGCGTTCCTCGGAACGCTGACGGACCAAGCCGCCGCCAAGGGCCGGTTCGGCATTCCCGACGCTGTGCCGAGCGGGCTGGAGGTCGAACGCCAGCGAGATTGAGCGGAACGTTGCTCAATCGTCGCGCGTGATGGTCCAGATGCGGCCGGCGGCGAGCGTTCGCCATTCGGTCATCGTTCCATCCGGCCAGATCACGCGGATTTCCGCCGTCTCGGCGTCGCCGAGGCCGAAATGCTGAGGCAGGGCCGATCCGCCGGCATGGCCGCCGCCGATGGTGATCTCGCGCGTGTGAATGCGGTCATCGATCCTCGATTCAACGAACGCGCCCACCGCGTTGATATTGCTGCCCGATTGGCGGACATCGACCATCAGCCAATTGCCCGCGTGGGGCGTTGCGTTTTCATGCACCTCCAGCGGCGCGCGGCGGTTGACGACGATCAGGTCCAGTTTCCCGTCGGCGTTCAGGTCGGCGAGCGCGGCGCCGCGAGCGCGGTCGGTCGTGGCGACGCCGGCCAGATGGGCGGTTTCGGCAAACGAGCCGTCCGGTTGCCGGACCAGCAGATTGTTGGGGTCTTCGATCGCATTGGAGGGCATCTGGTCGACATTGCCCTTGGCGATGAACAGATCGTCGCGGCCGTCATTGTCGACATCGCCGAATTCGGCATGCCACCCCGTCGACGGGCGTCCGTCGTCGCCGATGAACGGGCGGTGCGCGTAGGAGCCCATCTCGAAGGGTGCTGCTTCATAGCCCGTGTCGGTTGCGATCTGCAGGAGCTGGTCGCCCATCGACGTGGACATCACTTCGGCGCGGCCGTCGCCGGTCAGGTCGCGCGCGGCGATCCCCATGCCCCACAAGGACACGTTCGGCCAACCGTCGGTTTCGGTGAGGAAGGTGAGCGATTCCAGATCGAGCTTCTGCTCCGATCCGCCGCGGACATAGTAATGGCGATCGTTGGAGATGCGCAGAAAGGGCCTGCCCAGGCGCCGTTCGTCGGAAATCAGCATGGACAGCGCACAAAAGCCGGGCTCGATGCGGATCGGCGGAGCAAAGCGGCGGCCGGCCGGCCGGTGCAGTTCGTTGGCATCGCACGCTTCGAACGGGCCTTCGGGATCGGCACGGTCGACATAATTGCCGACGGCCAGGGTCGGCCAGTGCTGCCCGTCTTCCCATGTGGCGGAAAAGGACGTCGACCATGCCTCGCCCGGCGCCAGGGCCCATTGAGCGGTTGCATCCGTGAAGCGGCAATCTGCTCCGCCCTTCAGGATCACGTTCGGGCCGACCCGCAGGACGACGAGGTCCATATGGCCGTCGCTGTCGATGTCGAGCGGGTAGGCGCCGGTAACGCCGGTGAGTTCGGGCAGGTCTGCGCCGCGTTCGAACCGGACCGGCGCGCCCGGCGCTTCGCTGACGTTGACGAAAAGCCGTGCCGGGTTTTCGCCGCCTGCAGCATAGGCGTCGGGTCTGGCATCGCCATTGCAGTCGAAGACCGCCACGCCGCCGCCGACGAAGTGCTCCCATCCGCCCGCATAGATGTGCTGGACCGGCAGATCGGCGGAGCGGTCGACAAAGACCGGATGATCGCCATTGGCGTGCGCCGGCGCGGCATGGGCGAGCAAGGCGATGAGGAGGATCGCCCGCCTCATTTTCCGGTTGCCTGCGCGCCGAGAAGATCGTCCGTCACGGCGGCGAGCGCCAAAGCGGCCGCGCCTTGCGCCCAGATCATGTCACCCCAGGCATGGGTTTCAACGCGCGGGCCCTTGGCATGGGTCGCCGGCGAGAGACTGGTCATCTCGGCGAGCACGTCGCGCGCATAAAGATAGTCGTAGCGCATGCGCGCGCCCGAAAGGATGATCAGACCGGGATCGAAAAGCGTGACGACATTGGCGAGCCCCAGCGCGAGGAAGCGCCCGGCGCGATGGAAGATCGAGCGCGCGGCGGCGTTGCCGGCCTTGGCGTGGCTGAACAGGCTTTCGAGGATGATCTGCGGTTCGCGCTCGGCGCTGGTCCAGTTGAGCGCGGTCGATGCCTCGCGCACCAGCGCATAGTCGGCGACATAGGCTTCAAGGCAGCCGCGCTGGCCGCAGCGGCACAGCGCGCCGTCCAGATGCACCTTGGTGTGGCCAAGCTCCATGCCCATGCCGCCGGCGCCGCGATAGATCTCGTGATTGACGACCAGCCCCATGCCGACGCCGTGCTCGATGGTGACGACGGCAAAGTCGGGCAGGGCGCGTCCGGCGCCGAACCAGAGTTCGGCCATGGTCAAGAGGTTGGCGTCATTGTCGACAGAAACCGGCTTGCCGATCCGCTCGGCCACCATTTCGGCCAGCGGCACATCGGTGTCGGCCATGATGGGCGACCATTGGATGCGGCCGCGGTCGGCGTCGACGAAGCCGGGCACGCCAAGGCCGACGGCGGCCAGGTCGTCGCGACCGAGGCGGGCGGCCCGGAGCGCCGCGTCGAGCATGTCGGCGGTTTCATTGCCGACCAGTAGCTGAAAAGCAACGCCCACACGTCAGAGAGCGTACTTGACACATCATCTGCGCAATATGCCCTTGGTCGACCAGCCATGATGTGATGTGATTGTGCTTGCAAGTTGGGCAACCGTGCGACAAGTAGAACCAGCCAGCTAAAGTTAAGACAGCATCCTCGAAAGAGACTGCCCGGAAAAAGCAAAAAAAAGCCAGCGGACTAAAAACAGTTGCAGGTTTTCAAAGCTGTGTCCAGTCGCTCCTTGCGTTCCAATCTATGTGCACCAACCCGTACACCCATCCGCACAGGCAGAACCGCTCCAGTCGTCTTGCCCACAAGAAGCATGGGCCAAAACGAAGGAAGGAAGGAACGAACAAACGAGCCAGCCAGCCAGCCAGCCAGCCAGCAAGCAAGCAAGCAAGCAAGCAACGCAAAACAAGCACAAACAAACAAACACAAACACTCACACACACACACACACACACACGAGCCTTTGTTGCAAACAAGCGTCAGGTACATGATGCCGCCCCCCAAGAGGCCAGCCAGCACAGCGCCCATAGAGGAGTTGAAGATCCGCCAGGCTGGTGACTGGCGCTGGTTGGCGTTGCTCCTTTCCTCGGTTCATCAACCTACTTGGGGAACCCTGCTCTGTTTCAACCCCACCTGTGTTTTGGGCCCACAGAAGAAAGCTAAAGTGGAGGTCAACGGAATAGGTTCGCGGTTGGAGAAGGGGTCCCGACTTGCTTGTATCGGGCTCGCCCTTTCAGGATCGCACAACTGCAGAGGTTGAAACCCATCCGAACACTGGCTTTACACTGGAAAAAATACGACAACAGGGAACGCGAATGTCTGCAGGTGCAATGCTCCTGTATGGTCTGTCCTATTAACCTCCATCCATTGACGCCTTGTTGCCTTCTTCCCCAAGCACCGCACAGTGCATGCAGAGCCGACACCGCACGCCAATAAAACAAAGCCACGTTGTAAAACAAATGATAAAACAACCAGCAAAGAAGCAAGCCACTAAGCCAGCATATCAACTAACAGACTAGCTTAAGTGACCGACTACTTGACTCAGTGACTGCCTCTTGGCTCCCTCACTGACTCACTGACTCCGTACCCAACGAGCAAGCAAGGCACGTAGTGCTCTATGACCTGCTTCATCTCCTCCTAGCGGTCTTTTTCGTCCGAGCTGCAGTCGGAAAACATGGTTTTACATATAATATATATATATATGTTATATACATATATATATATATATAATATAGAGATTTCCCCAACAGCTGAAAGCCGAGAATATCTGAAAAAGCCTATCCTCCAAAACGGGCTTTCAGGCCTCTGGAGCCCACTCCAGACTCCTCTAAGCATGGATGGTTCTGTGTTGCTTTTGCTGGTTTATCTTGGAAAGCCGTCCCAAAATCGGCCTCATCACTCCAAAGTCACCCCAGGTCAACGGAAAAAAAGCGACCGGCTGCTGTCGCCTCGGACCGCGGCCCCACAGCCAGGATCTGCGGCACCTGCGATGTCTGCGAGGGCCCGGGTCCCCCGGGCGGCGCCCGGCGCCGCGGGCGCCGGCGCCGCGGCCCGCGCCTGCACCTGGCCGGTTGTATTGGTTGGGGGTCTGGAGGTGCGCTTTCGTTCGTGAAAACCATCTTGGGAGTTCCGCTGTCATTGGTGGTTTGGGGTGGTTTGGGTGCGGGGTAGACTTTCAGGTGGGGATCATTGGCGATACAATCTGAAAGGAATCCCAAGCAAGTGATCATCATGAATCGGCATGTTTTAGAATAATACCAAACCCTGATCCCCAAGTAAGGACCTATAACATCACTTTTGCTCGTTTTACCTCCGGATCAGTTGAATCCGCACTCAAACACATCTGAGTGAATCAAAATCTGGCGGACATCATTCACATGGGGCGCCATGTCCACCGGTGTTCCCAATAAAATGATACTTTTGGATCCCTAACTGTACTTGAAGATCGCACTACAACTCCAAATATTCTGACTAATTGGGTTTTCTTGAAGAAGCCCCACCCGTCGGCAAGGGCCCTTTTCGCACGTGTCATCAAGAAGAAACTCAGCCACAAACGCGATGGCTGAGCTGCCTTGAAAAGGACAGCTTCGGATCCCGAACCACCCCACCACCGCCCCCTGACCCACCCACCCACCCACCCACCCACCTAACCCTCCCACCCACCCACCTAACCCTCCCACCCATCCACCCACCCACCCCACCCGCCCAGCCCGCAGGCAGGGCTGCATCAGGCGCCATCTCCAGCGCCCGCTGAGCGCACGGCCGGCCATGGGCGCGACGTTAAAGCACTTCTTCGGTTTGGGCGCGAGGGCCAGTTTTTTGCCCAAACCAGGGGCACCCCCCCCCGCCAAACAAAGTAAAATCATAATAAGAAAAAAATAAGAATAAGTCGCGGGATTTGTTTTGCACCCTAAACGCACGCAGATGAGCGGATCATATGGCGGTAAAAACGCTGGCTCTTTGGTCCAACGACTCTTGCAGATTGAGGGGGGTTGTCCTTTGTTTGAGGGTACAGGTATTTACTCTGCTTGTGGTGATATGCTTGCTTGTGTGCAGCTCGCCACTGCTGGACGCCTGATAAGGATGCAAGTTATGTCGCTCGGCACCTGCACTTTGGCATGCCGATTCATGTCAAACTAATCTCTTCAGCTGCTGATGGCAATGGAATTTGGCTTGTGCCCACTCCCTAAAGTTTGAAAGGCTGGTGGATTTGCACATCAGACACACACACACACAAAGACAAAAAACAACAAACTGACTGGCTACTCCGAGACAGTGACCTGTTCTATTGCGGGTCAGTACTTTGCTTGACCTGGCTTGCGAGCAAGGCAGTCCGACATGTCAGGAATCATCACCAACGTGCATAAGCACGTTTATCGATTGCTGAGTCCCTGCTGATTAATACGGTGGTCCCCAAAACCAAAACCATTGCAAAGGATTCTGCTTTAGGGGTACGAGCATCGACTCATCTCACAATGTCAATCAAGCTTTTACACGTGACTGGGAAAAAAACAACAGCTCTTTCACCTCGTTGGCAATCTAGGGTTTTTTGTCCAAACAGTGGGGTCTCAAAAATTGTGGTCTGCTACCAAAAGAGAGTCCACAAAGTTGAGCATTTGGAACCGGGTGGTGTTCCTTGGGTCTCTGGCACCCCGCCCGCCTCGAGGAAACGTCTTGCCTCACCTTCCGATGTCGCGCCACACCCGCCGTCCTGCGCGACGTCTGTGGCTTCAGGTCGAGTACCGAGGTCCTTCCCTGGTTTCTTCAAGATTTCTCCATATTTCCTCAACTTCCCCTGGCCCAATTGGTGATGATTCAACCAATCCAAAAAGGACAATGGAGGGGCGTGTGTGCTTCTGCGCAAACCATGTCGGCCCACAGAGACTGGGCTCAGCGCCCGCTGATCCACGTCCAGCGCAGAGTGAGTCAGACTTTTTGGGCGCTTGCGACGCGGACGCAGAGTCAAAAGCTGCGTCCCGCGAATTCAAACGCCGGGCAGGGCATTGTCGTGGATCGCCGGGCAGCTGTGTCTTCCTGAGCCCGGCAGCCATGGAACAAAGTGTTTAGGACCCCCTTCGAAACCTCCTCCCCCCCTCCCCATTTAAAAAAGAAAGAAAGAAACATGCAAAAAACAACACATAATCAACAAGTGGACTCCAGTCACTTAACAAGCCGGGCGTCCCTCGTTCGGCGTTCGGGTCGAGTCTCGACTCGAGTTTTCAAGTCACCAGAACTTTTGCAGCCATCCGCCGCCTTCACGCTTCACCTGGCCGGACCGGGGCGGCGGGGCCCCAATTCCATTCCTGGAGTCTCCCATCGCTGGATTTCCCCTTCAAAAGTTAGAATTTCCAATTGAAACCGGCAATGAACTGGTGGTTTCCATTCAAAAGTTACAAGGTCAACGCGATTTACTGGTGGTGTCCATGGAGGACAATGCAGGGATCCCTGAAAACTGGATGCATCCAACTACCATTCGACTCGCTCAAAGTCACCCCACAAGTTCGAGAACCGAAATTCTGCCAACCGGAATGCTCTGCCCAGGGAAACCCCGAGTCCAAAACTCTGGGAGCATTCGCCTCAGACGCCTCGGACGCGTTGGGCGCGGGCGCTGCTCCATACCCTTCCCTTCTGGCGTCTGCCTGGCGATGAGACGTAATGGCTCTCCTCGTTGATTCCCATGACCGTTCAACCGGTTGTTTCCTCCAGGTTTGGGGGGGGGGGTCCGGAAAAGAATGGAGAAAATACCTCTAGAGAAACACGAAGGTTGCCGATGCTACTACAGACGATCCAAGAGATATATAGTCAAACTGCAGGAAACCCAGCACATGGTGGAAGGTTGTCCACGCTTGGCAGCTGTTGCTGTTCGTTGAAGCTGAATCACTGAGTAACCACGTGGATATTAATTTGTTGTTTATTCAGTTGGGCCCAAAAGGAAGTTGGTTGAGCATGGAGCCGATACGAAAGCAAGCTTGGGGATGGGTCTCCATATTGAGCCTGGTCAAAATATGTGGTTACTGTAAGGGACATGGAAAAGCCAGGGGGCCTGAATGCAAATTGGAGCCTCGTTTTTTAAGGCACCCAAAGTGGGGGGGCGGGGGGGGGGGGGGCTTTGGGAGGAAAATCCCTTATGAGTTGGCCCAGAACGTGATGTGAACACCCGCCCAAAAGGAGAAATATACACCAAATGGAGAAATGTACAGCACCCCACGGAATGGTGGATGTCTTTTTGGTTTCCCCTCCAGCAAAGCTACAAAGCCTCAACACCACACTCAAAAGTGCCCAGGTCGGACGGCCTTACCTGGCCTTGGCAGAACAAAATGGAGACCTGGAGAATTGGTTCGAGCCCTGTTTGACATCATCTTCAACCTAAGTGTGCCTTTTTCAGGGTGCCCCCGTACAAAGGGTGTGTCAAAGGGAAACCAAAAGGACACCGAAGCCCGTTTGGGGGGCGCTCCTTTGAGATGAACCTCCAGTTCAGTCGCAGAAGAAAAAAAATCGAAGGGGCCCTTTTCAAGTTGAGGTTTCTTAGTGAAGCCACCAAACGCGAAAGGGGAGGAACAAAGTATCTGGGTCTCAAGGAGGTATCTGTGAAGAAACCCCCCCTGTCAGGGATGGATTATCGGTTGCGAACTCTGCTCCCCTGCTAAAAGTTTAACTTTTATTAACTTTTATTTTAGTGGTTTGATTGGAAAACCCATTCGCTGGCAAAAAGTCAAAGTCCCAACATCCAAGCAACATGCACCAGAGTCACCAGAGGATTCAATTCCTCACCTGGTTGAATACAAACTGGGAATCCCACTCTTCCGAGCTCGCACCTTGGGAAGGCAGGGCAGCTCATTGGCTCCGGCCGCCGCCTGCGCTTCCTGGCTCGCTGCCAGTCGGTCGAGGGAACCTGAAGCCCCCCTGGACGAAGGTCGAAGACAGGTTTCTTGCAGAGGCCCCTTCAGGGTTGGTTTATATGCAAGAAAGACCAAAGGAAAGCCGATGTTTATTTTGAAGGTCCCCCAATTTGACACACCCTAGATGAGTGTTCACATGGAATGTCCTCAACAGGGCGCGTTCATCGCCCTGATGAAGGTTCAGTAGCTGGGTGGCTTCCCCCCCCCGTTCCCCCCCCAAAAAAAGAAGAAAAGGGTACCCTCAAAAAGAAGACACGCCCAAGTAGCCAAATTGTAGGCCATTTCTATGGTTGAAAGCAGGGTCGTGTCCCAGCAGCATTAGAGCCGGCTTAAGTCTACTCATCTTCCCTTTGAGGGCTTGGAAAACTCCCTCGTACTGAGCTACGGTGGTATCATGTGCCTCCATTTGCTTAAGTCCCCTGGAAAGCATAAACATATTTCCAGTAGTGATGGATTCCCTTCAAAACCAAGTGTTAAAAATAAAACAAATGTTCTTAAGCAAATGGAAGTGTGCCTTGGCGCGCTTGAATGTCAGCTGCTCGGCTGCAGCAGCCTCTTTGGCAGCAGCCGCTGCTTGCTGCTTCTTCGCAGCGGCCTCCCTGGCGGCAGCGGCCAAGTCTTCCTGGGCAAAAGTCTATGAACAACTGGATGACCAGGTGGAAGGACGCACCCATGTGGCTGTGGGTCAAGAATCGGTACCCAAAATGGAACTCTGGTCAATGGAAACAAAGACTAACACCGCGTAACCCTACCTCTTCAATTTTGAGCCACACCCATGTAGGAGGCACACAAGCACACAACCTCCAGTAAGGTGGTTTGACACCGGCACATACAAAGCAAGCAACCGCGAGCCAACTTGCAAAAAAAACATCGATTTACACAGCACATTTCACTCTCTGTCTGAAACCATTTGCGTTTGTCTCATAGGGAACCCTCCAAAAGGGTTGCGTTTCCTTCGTTGCCGAGCGTCCAATCCAACACACCCATTGATGCGTTTCCAGCTTCGTTTGGCAGGAAACCCAAAGGAAACCCACTTCGGACCCCGTCGGTCTCCCTGTATATTTCCCCCTTCTGAGGGGTTTTAACAAATCTTCCCCCTGGGTGGATTTCAACATGTGGCTGAACATAGGGAACGCACCCCTTGTCCCTAGATTCCTTTCAGAAAGGGATGTTGTAAGCGTTGGGTTTTTGAACTCTCCCAGAATCGGATGTTGTGAAACAACACCTATTCATACTAAACAACGCACCGCTGGCGAACTCCCCCTCTCTTTCCTTTAAGCCAACCACAAAAAGGGTACCCTCAAAAAAACTAAAAGAACTTGCAGACTCATAATCTCTCGCGCCCTGGCCGCAAAAGCTCACGATCGGTTTGAAGGGGAATGAGAAATGCAATGACCCCGACTTAAGCCATCCATCCGAGTTGGTTTCCTTTTACTCCTGAATCCGGAAAAACTTCGGGATTCCCTTAAACAAAACCAAGTCGGTTGCTTTTTGGATAATGAACGGTTCATTCCCAAAACCCGGCGAAGGTCATTCCCTACCTGTCGCACCAGGCAGAAAAGCGGACCTTTTGAAGCAAGGAGCAAAGGAGAGCGCAGGCGCCTGTGTCACCGGCGACGCGGCCGAGTCCTTGGTGCATGTTTTTGGGTGCTTCGGAAAAATACGTGTCATACGTATATAGATATATGTTTACATCTGTTTTTTTGTTGTTGTTCATGATGTGCCTTCTTTATTTATCTTTGTTGTTTTCTCTGTTCTTTTCTCTTTTTCTTTTTCTCCTTCTTTTTTTTTTTTTTTGGGGGGGGGGGGGGGGGGGGGGCCGGGGGAGTTCTTGGTTTTAGTTTATTCGTGTTTTTGATGTTTTGTCGGTGTTGCTTTTGTTGGCTTCTTTTGTTGTTTTGCTGGTTGCGTTTGTCATGCTGTTGGCTTTGTGCCTGCTGGTTGTGGTTTTTGGGGGTCGGTCTGGTGACTTTGCGGGCCCCTTTCAACGCGTTCTTCTAAACGGGTTCTGATCGCATGCGTGTGACGATTATGTGTTGTTCGCATCCCAAAGGACCCCGTTTGTTAGAAACTGTTTAGAGTACCCAACTACTTGCGATGGACATTGATCTCTTACACTTGTCTGTAAAGCCATGCAACTAGGCAGTTCAACAGGGTTCCTTTGGGCCTTCAGTGTTTCCACCCACTAAGAAGGCTGTACCCATGATTATAAGTGGCATCATGGGTGTCACCCTTCTACACACGACAGCAAACAAGCCATTTAAGTAGGTACTGAAATAGGCCGCTTTGCACTGGTTTTCGGGTGGCTTATCCCACTCTTAAGGTTTCATCCATCCCAGGCAAGTGTTTTCCCCTTAAACCCGCCTGGCAAGGGTACCGAGCCTCGGGCCACACCCCACATGCTCGTGTTGGTTTCACTTCGAAAGGGTACCCGGGTACCCTAAGACACTCACAAGAGAGCTTCGGGTGCTTGTCACAGATCTATGAGGTGGCCTTCCTTGAAAACCATGCCAACGGGCTCCCTGAGAACCTCAGTTTGATTCCCCAGGCGAGTCGCCAACAAGTCGATGAAGCTGTCCGCGGAGCGCAGCTGCAGCGTCTTGTCCTTAGCCACGGCCGCGAGCGCGAGCGCATCGCGAGCGCATCGCGAGCGCTGCTCAGCCCAGAGTTCCGGAGCCAGGGGGAAAAGAGTCGACTGAAGGGGCACCCTGCCAGGGGGGAAAGGTTGGCTCGAAGGGCACCCTTCTTATGGCTGCTTGGCGTTTACAGAGAAACCCTGACCCCAAAAGAGGAAAGGAGGGTGGGCAAAGGAGTAACACACCAGAGCCTTGTCTTCCGTAGGTTCCTGCAAAAGACGGTGTATCCAGGGTGTAAGACAACAGGTCTGGTCAAACTGGATCCGAGGCCTCGGGGATCCAGAAATGGGTCCATCTCAAACCTGGGACCCCCCTCCCCCTTCTTCGGGGCCCAAAAACGAGGTGGGTCAAAAAAGAGACTTGGGCGCGAAGACGACAGGTTCTCAACTCTATGCTGAGCTTCTGAGTTGACTGGCCAAGCGGTGTTCATATTTTTGGGCCTTCAATTCAACATGATAGCAGAAAACAGCCAACAACAACAAGTAAACAGTTTGCCAGCTGGACAAGCAAGTATAGCTATGAGTTTCAATAGGGACGCCCTCAAATGATTAGCGGACAGTGATGTGCGCCACAGGATCCCCAAGTAGAAAACTCATGGCCTTGTAAAGGTTCTGCCTGTGTGTGTGCTCTGGTTTGTTGTCCAATACTGATTCTACTGATTCGGGCAGGCAGCCTAGCTTCGAAACATGGCTGCCATGGCTCAGCGTGGCAAAGATGATCCGTGATGGGGTTTTCGACCCCTGAATACGCCCAGTTGTTCACCAGGGAGTTCCTAGAAAGGAATCCCAAAAACGGACGAACTGGGTGGTTGATTGGTCTGTCGGCAGGACAAATCACTTAAGCTTGAATCTCCCCTGACAGCACGCAGAATCAGCGCTGTGGGAAATGACCACTTCTGGGCTTCCCAAAGACTACCACCCCCCCTTCCCCTTGCGCATAAAGGGGAATATGTTCCTTGTATCACAGAAGCGGTTGGATAAACCCCGAGTGATCCCGCAACCCTGCGCATCGGTCCAAGGCACCGTCAGCAAGGCATCGGCGTGGGCGGTGGGAGCCAACACCATGGCGCTCTGAGCCTCGGGTTTCCGGGCTTGGGACCCGCCCAAAGACATGCGCGAGCCCTTCGAGCGGCCCAAATGAGGGCTCCTGAAATGGAGTTCGGACCTGCTGATGGGCATTTAAAAGGGGAACCGAAAGGAAACCGTCCATAAAATGGGGACCGCTAAATTTTGAGGACACCCTGAAATGGGGACCAAGCAATTACACACACACACACAACTGTCCTTTGTCATGAGGTCATGTTCGCTCAAGAGTAGGCCACCCCATGCCAATTAGTTAGGCCATACTGGCCCCAGTATGAGTTTTACATTGGTAGCGAACCCTTTGGTGAGCATGGGCGAGTTGTGTCCACCAACTTGGACACCCATGAAATTCACCAAACCTCTCTCGTGTGTCGAAATGGCCCTTCTCCCTTCCCCCTAAAAGATGGTGGAACTGCTTAGTTGGTCTGGGGTCACTAAGAACCGTTCATGACCGTCCCACGGCTACTCTTGTGGCTCTGAGTCAGTATTGAATTCCACCCCCCAACCCACCCACCCACCCACAAAGGAAAATACCGCCTGCGATTGAACATCAAAAAAAATCCTCCCCCGTTCTCCTCTTCCCCTTCACCTACGGATCATCCGCGACACCACGAGGAAGAGCTGCATCTCGCCATCGTTCACCGCCACCACACACTGCGCCGTGGTGGCAGAGCCGCCAAAGCGGTGGTCCTGCGTGTTCAGCACCTCAAGAAAGCAGATGCCGATCCGTCGGGCAAAACCCGGTGGTCATTGATGTTGAAATCCATCACTCTATATGGCAAGGGGAAATCATGCCTGTCTATTCAATGTCCAATGTCTCATCCTGTTGAGGAATTCCGTGCCGTGCACTCAAATTGCAGCAAATGACACACATGTACAAAAAAAACATCGGAATGACTTCTGAATCACTGAATACTTATGGTGTACTTGCAATATGCATGTATATATATATATACATGTATCACAAATACAGAGTACATATATATATATATATATTGTCATAGAAACATAAATCATAAAACATGACTCCTGAATGCTAGCCGGAACTGGCTTTGGCCGGGGCGGGACGGGTACAAGAGGGTGCTTCTAAACAACTGGGACCCATTTGGATTGATGTTCAACGGAAAGCAAATAATTGTTCTCTTCGAGACCCCTGAAAATACAGTGTTTCCTTTTGGTTCCCCACTTCAACCACAATGGGGTCGAGCATTCCTTCCTTACACAATTGCCCCCAGTTGCGAGGCGGTCACCCAGGTTGAGTTTCAACGGACAATAAGGAACCGCTTGGTTCGGCCCCCCCCCCGCCAACCCCGCCAACCCCGCGCGCGGAAACCAACCGACCCCTAGCCGCGAATCGGAAGAGATCTCAGCGCCCCACGGTCTTGAACTCGCAGCTCACGCCTGGCAACACACAATGACGACCCCTCTTGCACCTCTCCAAAAGGAGGGAATCTCAACCAAGCAACCAACCAACCAACCAAGCAAGCAAGCAAGCAAGCAAGCAAGCAAGCAAGCAACCAACCTACCTAACTACCTACCTACCTACCTACCTACCTACCTACCTACCTACCTACCTACCTACCTACCTACCTACCTACCTACCTACCACCTTCCGGCTGTTGCTGCCTTCTGGGTACAGCGGTCTGGTCGGTTGGTCGATCTGTTTCCCCCAATAGGGGCCCGTGATCTTTGGGTTAAAACACACCCAAATGAGCAGAGCCTAAAACATTGACTTGCCGTTCTACCAACACGGTTTGGCACGGCTGTGAAGCTCGTGCACGCCCGAGCTGCGTCACTGGTGCATGCTTGAATTCCATGATTCTGACCCTCCGACATGCAAGACACTGCCTGACAGCCGTTGCGCTGCCTTGAACAAAACTGCTGATACCGGAATCAACTGGGCTCTCGTCGAACGAGGACTTTCGATACGTTGACAGTACCCGGACGTTTGCTGTGAGCCACGAAACGTCCTTCAGAAAAGAACAATGCCTCTGCCGAGTCCCAAAGATCATGGACGCTGCCCCGGTCACCCACCCCCAAAGAAAAAATGACCCAAACCCCAACTAACCCAGTTGCCCACTCCTAAAGAAAAGACAATGAAAAACCAACGGCGCCTTTCAGCTGCGGGATGCTAAAGCTGAGGCTGGGCAGGTTCTTCGCGCTGAAGTTGAAGGCGAAGATGGCGCAGCCCCGCGTGAGGACCAGCGCCTGCTTCCTCTCCTCCTCCGGCGGCGGGAATCCGACCAAGACGGAGCAAACCGATGGTTGGTTGGAGGATCACACCAAAAGCAGAGGGAGAAACGAGTGAACCCCCACAATAGGTCCCTTTCTACCTGGGCGTCCGATTCTTTGTTCAGGTGGTGGTAATGTACAAAACCACCCTCACGGAAACACAGGGAGCCCTGTCCAAAACAGGAAGGTGCGGGTCCTGGTCCAAATGCAACTTTTGAGTCCTAAAGTTGACGCGGGCGATGAACTTTGAGGGCCCCGAAATGGTGGACACTATTTAGTTGTGGGCTTCTGCCCGCCTGTTGAGGGGCTCGAACTCTTGAAATTCACTGCCATCTGAAGGGATGGCTGCTCAAGGGCATTACGCAACAAAGCAGTTTCGACCCCCTACCTTGGGTCATACTGTGGATAAACAAAATCCTGCACCGCTTTGAAACCATGGTTGAAACCATTGGTTTTTACGGGGCAATCATCAGAAACCAGGGTTCCTTAGGTGGCGCGAAATAGATTTCGCGGCCATCCACAGCATCGCGGGCGTATCGCCGCCGTCGGAGTCCTGTAGGACCACATTGGGCACCGGGTCGGCGAGCCACTGCAGGCAGCGCTCCGTGCGGAGCAAAGCCATTTGGAACATGGCCAAGAACTTGTTCTTCGACGATTTGTCCTCAGTTCTTCGGTTTTCTCATGGCAAAAACAACAAACAAAAAAAACGTGGCTCCCTTCCAACACATGTGCGGTTTTTGTTGTGTCCACTTTACCCTTTTGGGGTTTTGAAGGGAAACAAGAGGGAAATTGCAAACGTTGGGGGGGGAGGGTTCGCCGAGTTTGAGGCAAACATATTTGTCTGACCTTCACCTCAGGGAAGGAACCCCACGGTGCCAGGCGAATGGGCATGAGTAATCACAGTCTACCAAGACTGAAGAATCGGCAGGGCGAATATCCACTTCGACACTATGCAAAGAATCTGAAGGTATGCAGAATTGGGGGAAGGTCCATTCATCCTTAAAACTGTCCACTAAGCTCCATCCACAGATCTCATTGCCTGCAACTGCCGCCCTGTTTTGCGACATCCGGGTTTGCCCAAACCTTTTGTAGGTTCAATAGGGCAAGGTCTGTCGTTTTTTGAGGGTACCCCAAAAAAGGTGGGGGCTCCTTTTGGTTTCCCCTTAAGACCAACCCACAAGGGAATGAGGGGGTGCACCAACCACGCTTCACAACAGCTTTCCAACCACGATAGAAATTGTTCCTACCACGACTCGGAATTATTTTTCTTGCTACGAAATAATAATAATAATAATAATCACGATAAGCTCAAAAAGCGGATCCTTCCTTCCTTGAAACAGGCCTCCCTCCTTCTCCTGCTTCCTTCCTTCTTCCTTCTTCCCTTCTTCCAACAATGGACGGTTGATTCAAAGAACGTGTGTTTTGAGCTTTTTGGCCCCCAAAAACTGCAAAACACACGTTCTTTGGAAGAGCTGTCCGTTAGCTCCTTACAAGCTCCTTATAAAGCTCCTTATAAAGCTCTTCACAAAGGTTTTTAGAGAGCTCCTGAGCTTTCTCGGCTCCTTATAAAGCTCCAAATACAGTTCCTGAAAAGAGCTCCTTCACAAAGCTGTATTTGGAGCTTTATAAGGAGCCGAGAAAGCTCAAGAGCTCTCTAAAAACCTTTGTGAAGAGCTTTGTAAGGAGCTTGTAAGGAGCTAATGGACGGCTCTTCCAAAGAATGTGTGTTTTGCAGTTTTGGGAACCAAAAAGCTCAAAACACACGTTCTTTGAAGCAGGGCCGCAGAAATGGACGGCTGTTCCAAAGAACGTGTGTTTTGCAGTTGTTGGGCGCCAAGAAGCTCAAAACACACGGTCTTTGAAACAGGGCCCCAGAAAGTTCAGGTGTGGTTTGAGCTTTTTGGCCCCCAAAAAGTGCAAAACACGCGTTCTTTGGAGCAGCTGCATGGACCAAAATTATTTATCGTGGTATGAACCTTCTTTATTTGTCGTGGTATGAAGCTCAATTATTTATCGCTGTTATTTTTGTTTTTGTCGCTGTTTTTGAAGTCTTGTCGTGGAAGGTACCTCCCCTGACAAGGGATTCCCTACAAAAGGACACCAAAGATCAGCCATGGCATGCTCGCCCCTCTCAGCCAAAAGGCCCGTGCCAGTTCCGTGGGAATCCTTGCAAGCTTGTCGCTGTACTCGTTGCCCTTCCTAGGGTAGTCCACCTTGCCTCGGCTTTCTGTTCGCTCACGTCCCCTCTTCATGGGTTTCCCATAAGTTTCTCATGGCTGGGGTTTCCATGGGTTTCGCATGGATTTCTCATGGGCTTCGCATGACTTTCCCATGACTTTCCCATGGGTTTCCTATGCTTTCTCATGGTCTCCTAAACTTTCCCAAGGGGTTATCATGGTTTGCCAGTCAAGGAGCCGTTCCACCCAAAGTCGCTCCCCAGGCAGCTGAGCGTACCATCGCCCCCGAAGGCTAAGGACAAAAGGCCTCAGGCTTAGCAGATTTTTGGGAATCAAGTTGATTTTCAAGGGGAACCCCCTCCCAAAAAGGACTCAGCATGATTTTGGGGGAAGAAAAGGGGGCCTTCTTGGATTTTCAAGGAGAAAAAAAACGCTCCAAAAAAAGGAAAATTAGGGTGCCACTGGACAACTGGGACACTTGGAAATGGGCTGGGGGCCTTTTGAAGAGGCCGCTTTTCCACTTCTGTCAGCTTCCATGAGTGTTGTAAAGGATCGCAAGCGACTGGTTTTTGGACGAGTCTCACTGGAAACGAAATGGAGGCCAGCTGCATCCTTTAACCCAGACCCATAGTTGGCCATGAGGAAAAAAAGTCGATCTTTTTCAGAATTGGTCGATGTTTCAGGAAACCCGCCTCCAACAAAAAAAAAAAAGGGGCACCACTGGCGGGCGGTTCTTCGGGGACCTGGGCCCCGCACGGCAGAGCCGGAGCACCGGCAGCGCGTCCTCGCCCAGAGCCTGCGCCAGCGGCCGGGGCCGGCGCGGCAGCGGGGTGTGCGGGGCCTCCTGGCGGCTCCGATGGGAACGCTCCACTCGGAGCCCCCCGGAGCAAAACCCGAACAAAATGTGCCAAGAACTGGGGCCTTTGCTGTGGTGTCTGTTTTGTGTGTCCTTTTGGGGGAATAAGCGGCCCTGGTGGATGAGTAAACCTTGTAAACCAGGGCCATGTCATTCTTTGCCGAAACAACCAAGAAGGACGCCTATGTTTGCCACTGTGTACCCCCGTGAACCCCCCGAACCTCCCCCCTTCCCCCATGGTTTTCCAGTAAGGATACTTAGATGGCCTGGGACTTGGCCAAGTGGTTAGCCCCTAGTTGTAGCCCATTACCATGGATTCTGTCGACGGGCTTCAGATTTGCTTGAAGCGAAACGGAAAAATACCCATGTCGAATGTCCAACTCCCTAAATTCTGACACATAGCCACTGGCAAGTTGTCGCGCGTTTGTGGCAGTGCCGGTTTTTTGGGAGGGTATCCTTTTCAGGTACCAGCTGAAGAAATCTTGACCCCGGGATTGAGTCGAGCTTGTTCTACCAGGGGGAAGGCGCTGCTGAACGTCTGAACCCCCACTAAAAGAGGACACCGGACACCCCCCAATTCAAGATCAACCTTACTCCGGGGTTCCCATTGAGGATGGAAAAGAGAAGCCGCGATTTGGTTGGCTCCAAGTCCCCACTTTGACCCAGTGGCTCCGCGCGAAGAAGGCCGCGGAAAGAGAACCGGAGGGAGCCAAGACCAAGGGAAACACCCGGTCCAAGCAAGGAAAATGGCTGGGTGGCCGTTACCTGCTATGGGAACTCGGATCAGGGCTTGAAGAAGTCAACCCAACACCATTGAAGGAGTTCCAGCTTGGGTCCCCTAAACTTCAAAAGTATTTCGAGTAGGCACTTGGGCGATCCATGCAAGACTTACGCACAAGACTTCACCAAGTCTTCAAAACCTGGTATTCCAAGTCGTCTACCCCAACCAATGGACACAATTTTTGAGGGAACATCCGCACCCATTTGGCCAAAAGGTTTGGATTCCCTAAAACAAACGAGCCCATTGCGTGGGACTGTCCCTGCCTGAAAAGCCCTTCCCCCGGTTGCTTTGCCTCCATTTGCTTAAGTCCCCTGGAAAAAAACAAAACATATTTCCAGCAGTGATAGATTCCCTTTAAAACAAACAGGGGAAAATAATAAAAAAGAAAAACATGGTCTCAACCAAATGGAAGCTCTGTCCCGGTCCGTCCTGCAAGCCCAGCAGCTCGATGTAGAGGTCCTCCGTCCGTTTTGCCATGGTGTCCCAAAGGAAGCCGCTTTGAACCTGAGGGCTCGCTCCATCGCGCTCGCTCGACCCGGATCCATGGAGAACTGGTGGCGTTGAAAACTTGAAAACGGAGGAAACACCGGGGGAGACCCTCCCTCCCAAATTAAAAGGCACCGGGAAAACACCTGCAAACACCTGTTTTTTTTTGACTTTTTTTGTCTTGGCAGCCTGTCAGTTGCTACTACAAGTAAGGTCCGGCAGAGCCGGGGGGCGGAAGTTTCAAAGCAGTGAACAACTATAGTTTGGAGAACTGTCCTTGGCCCCTTGCTTCTCTCTCTCTCTCTCTCTCTCTCTCTTTTTCTCTTTTTCTCTCTTTCTCTCTTTCTCTCTTTCTCTTTCTCTTTCTGTTTCTCTGTCTCTTTCTCTCTCTTTCTATCTATCTCTCTAGCTATCTCTATATCTGTTTATTGATCTATCTATCTACCCATCTTTCTCTGCACTTAAAAGTTGCGATGTTCAATCCCCGAAAGTTGACTTCGCGTACTACTTTCGTACTTAAAAGTTGCGATTTTCGAGCCCCAGCTGCGAAACTGGACTTCACGTACTACTTTCGTAGTTAAAAGTTGCGATTTTCGAGCCCCAGCTACGAAAGTGGACTTCGCGTACTACTTTCGTACTAAAAAGTCGCGATTTTCGAGCCCCAGCTGCGAAAGTGGACTTTGCGTACTACTTTCGTACTTAAAAGTTGCGATTTTCAAGCCCCGGCTGCGAAAGTGGACTTTGCGCACTACTTTCGTACTTAAAAGTTGCGATTTTCAAGCCCCAGCTGCGAAAGTTGACTTCGCGTACTACTTTCGTACTTAAAAGTTGCGATTTTCGAGCCCCGGCTGCGAAAGTTGACCTTGCAAAAATGCTGCGCCTGCCACCAAATCTGTGCTTGACCTTGCTAAAGTGCTGCGCCTGCCACAAAATCTGTACTTGACCTTGCGAAAGTGCTGCACCTGCCACAAATTCTGTACTTGACCTTGCGAAAGTGATGCGCCTGCCACGAATTTTGTACTTGACCTTGCGAAAGTGCTGCGCCTGCCACGAATTTGGCACTTGACCTTGCGAAAGTGACCTTGCGCCGCCTGCCACGAAATCTATACTTGACCTTGCGAAAGTGCTGCGCCTGCCACGAAATCTATACTTGACCTTGCGAAAGTGCTGCGCCTGCCACGCAATTCAAACCTTGCGAAACCTTCGCGCGGCCGTGCCAATGGGCCCGTCTCCGAGACCGTTCCGAACCCGTTCCGAGACCGTTCCGAGACCGCCTCCGTACAGGCGTCGCAGCCGAGGTGGTTTGCGCACAGTCCGGAAGCCCAATTCACGCACAGCGCCAACGTTTTCTGCATCTTGCCATCCCCCAGCTCGCAGAGAGTGGACGCAGCACCTTGCGAAAGTGCTGCGCCTGCCACGAAATCGATACTTGACCTTGCGAAAGTGCTGCGCCTGCCACGAAATCTATACTTGACCTTGCGAAAGTGCTGCGCCTGCCACGCAATTCAAACCTTGCGAAACCTTCGCGCGGCCGTGCCAATGGGCCCGTCTCCGAACCGTTCCGAGACCGTTCCGAGACCGTTCCGAGACCGTTCCGAGACCGCCTCCGTACAGGCGTCGCAGCCGAGGTGGTTTGCGCACAGTCCGGAAGCCCAATTCACGCACAGCGCCAACGTTTTCTGCATCTTGCCATCCCCCAGCTCGCAGAGAGTGCTTGCGAAAGTGCTGCGCCTGCCACGAAATCGATACTTGACCTTGCGAAAGTGCTGCGCCTGCCACGAAATCTACACTTGACCTTGCGAAAGTGCTGCGAAAGTGCTGCCACGGCTGACGCAATGCAAACCTTGCGAAACCTTCGCGCTGCGCCTTGCCAAACAATGCGGAATGGGCCCGAGACCGTTCCGAACCCGTTCCGAACCCGTTCCGAGACCGTTCCGAGACCGCCTCCGTACAGGCGTCGCAGCCGAGGTGGTTTGCGCACAGTCCGGAAGCCCAATTCACGCACAGCGCCAACGTTTTCTGCATCTTGCCATCCCCCAGCTCGCAGAGAGTGGACGCAGCACCTTGCGAAAGTGCTGCGCCTGCCACGAAATCGATACTTGACCTTGCGAAAGTGCTGCGCCTGCCACGAAATCTATACTTGACCTTGCGAAAGTGCTGCGCCTGCCACGAAATCTATACTTGACCTTGCGAAAGTGCTGCGCCTGCCACGCAATTCAAACCTTGCGAAACCTTCGCGCGGCCGTGCCAATGGGCCCGTCTCCGAACCCGTTCCGAACCGTTCCGAGACCGTTCCGAGACCGTTCCGAGACCGCCTCCGTACAGGCGTCGCAGCCGAGGTGGTTTGCGCACAGTCCGGAAGCCCAATTCACGCACAGCGCCAACGTTTTCTGCATCTTGCCATCCCCCAGCTCGCAGACAGTGCTTGCGAAAGTGCTGCGCCTGCCACGAAATCTATACTTGAGAAAGCTATCTACGTGTTAAGCTGGCTATATGTCAAAGCTATCTATCTGTCATGCAAGCCTATTGGAAAGCTATCTATCTGTCAAGCTAGCTATATGTCAAAGCTATCTATCTGTCATGCAAGCCTATTGGAAAGCTATCTATCTGTCAAGCTAGCTATATGTCAAAGCTATCTATTTGTCATGCAAGCCTATTGGAAAGCTATCTATCTGTCAAGCTAGCTATATGTCAAAGCTATCTGTCTGTCAAGCTAGCTATATGTCAAAGCTATCTATTTGTCATGCTAGCTACCTGTCATAGCTATATGTCAAAGCAGCTAGCTCATTTAGTTCCAGTACTACGGAAGTTTCTTGTTAAACTTCCTTTGATCATTGAGAAGGAGATCACAAAACTGGGCTGCCCTCAGACCCCCCCCCCCAAAGTTTAACTTTTAGTGGGTTAAATGGAAACTACCACTAAACACTAAAAGGCTAAAAGGCTAAGGGGATGGCTGGGAGCCACCAAGAAAAAGCGGCCAAGGAACTTGCTGCCAGCCTTGCTTCCCCATCCAGCCTCGGCACCATGGACGCTCAAGGTCACTTGGGTCACGCCGCTCGTGGCGCATGCTGTCCATTTCTCGTTTCATGTCTCCCAGACTCCTTTTGGTGGGGTATTCTCGTGGGAACCAATGGGTGCCTTTGAGGTCGCAAGTAGCCTGTGCGGCATCTCGGCCATTGGGAGCATTTTCGGGACCCACTTCACGTGTTCATCGCTGAGTTCCGGCAGTGTCGGGGTTCCACTTTGGCCAAGGTTGAAACAACAAATACCTGTGAAAACTCCAAACAGCATGGAAAAACAGGACAGGTTACACTGGGTTGGTGTAGGATTGGGTAGGTCAGGGTGGGTTTGGGTCTGATTGAGACTGGGTGGCGCGCAGCAGTGCCCACAGGCCAAGAGGCCAAGAGGAAGCCGTGCCGCGGCGAAACGTACGGGAAGCGTGACCAAAACATTTGGGTGTGGGCGAAAACTCACCAGGCGACTGCACAGGGTTCCATTTTGGGTACCTATATTTTGACCCACACCCATTTCGTGGACACAGCCTCGCTGGGAAACTTGCGTTTGCGTGCGCTGTTGAAAGCGTAAGGTTCCGCAGAAAGACAGCTATGAGTCTGCTTGCCGCGTCTCCCTGAGCCAACCTTAAGCAAACCCGGCACCACCCTAAAAACACACTCTACACCCAAACCAAACAGCACATCTGGCAGCAGGCCATTTGGCAGCAGGCAGCAGCAACCAGCAGCCAGCAGCATCAGCCGCCAAGCTGGGAGACAAATGAGTTCGGCAGCCAAGGGTGGCATCCAGAGAGGCGTGCAGAGCCGTGGAAGAGGCGCGAAAGAATCAATCAAGAACCCCTACAGCAAGCTGTTTGGGGAAAAAACAGAGACCAGCTGTCCCAGAAAGAAAACAAACAGGCCGAAGGACAAGAGCAATGGCTTGCCAGAACCACCGGTTGTTTTTGATACTAGGTCTGGCTTTTGCTAGGTCTGGTCCTTTCCCCAGCGTCAAAATCAAAAGAGCGGAAACAGAAGAACGAAAAAAAAAAGGCTGCCCGGCGGCGCGCGTGCTCGCGGTTCTCGCAAATCTTGCAGAGGCCCCAGGACAGGCTGCCAGCTTCCTGCGGCCAGGTGGGGATTTGAAGTGCGGACCCTTTGGCGAGCAACATTGGCGTGGGGGTTCATAGTCGCTAGCCAAATTTCAAGGGTTCAAATGGTTGGTGGTGAAGGGTTTGTTTCAGGCTTAACATGGAGTTTCAGCTCCACTTATTTTATGAGCTGCTCAAACAAGTGTGTCTTTTTTAGAGCCTTGGTACAGGTTTGGGGTTGGTTTCAAGGAAACCAAATGGAACCCGTTTTGGACATCACGTTTTGGGCCGCCGTTCAAAGGGATTCATGGCAAGTGTGCTCGTCAGGATTCGCCCAGAACACATGAGGTGTTCCAAAGCGTTCATTTGCAGACCCTCAAAATGGGGAGAGAAAGCCCCAAGAAAAACCTCGGGTCCCTTTCACAAAGTTGTGGCCATTTCAAGGGTCCTGAGAGCCCTCTGCGAGTTTTTCTTCTTGGTTTCCTTTTGGGATCCCATCTGGGCTTTGGCCCTCGGGTGACTCCAGAACGCAAATCAATACGGAACCCAGAACGAGGGCAAAGGGGTGCATCCTCAAACAAATGATTCTTGTTGGGGGTTGATGTTGGCAGGACAATAAGAGAAACCACTTCAACAGGGCTCACTGGATCTCAAAAGTTGCAATCTCGTGAGTCCCCTGAAACTGCAACTTCAGGTGCGAAAGACCGGGAAGCCCTGTACACCCAAACCCCCCAAAAACCTAACAGGCCGGGAACCCGGAACCCGGGGGGGGGGGAAGGGGGGGCTCCCTTGTTGTCCCCCTTTTTTGGGGGTGGTGTTCGGGCCTGGTCCACCATGTACCCCGTGACGTCCGGCTGGATCAGATGCCGCAGCTCCCCGCAGGTGTTGCCCACCACGGGCCTCTTTAGGTGCAAAAAGGCTTGAGATCCACCGAGCCTTTTCGCGTGTTTTTAGTTGGGGTCGCCAAATAAGGCAAAATCCAGGAGAAAAAAACACAAAGCAAAACGAGGGAAAAAATACAGAAAGAGGCGACTGAGGGGAGTAGGTTACTTCACCATGGCGCAACTGGAGGGGACGGTCACCCCAGTTGCACCACCTATAACCGCGGCTGAAACCTCACTTCCTGGGCGGATTGGTCAAAAAAGTCCAAACTTGCCATGTGCTCCATTTACCGGTTTCCAATTGAAACCGCGGGCCTCAACTGGATTTCCAGCCACAAAGGTTGAGATCCATTTGCTGGCTGGCTCGTTGAATCTGCCGGTTTCCATTGAAACGATCGCCACTTTTGGAGGTTCGAAAAAGGAGCCGCCTGGAGTTCCATCCCGGAAATTCGAATTCTGGGCTGAGCACCCTGTTTCGGGAGCCGTCACAGGGGTGGTCCATGGTCCACATGCCTCTTTGGGCTTTAAGGGCTCCCAGGGTGCACGGCTTGGAGGTTGGGGGACAAGAACCAGCACCACTCCATTTGATTGTTACGGGGACCTTCCCATTGCTGGCGTGCTGAAAGTCCCGATGCAACCCCCCCCCCCCAACCCCCAACCCTGCTTGAAACCCTGGTTGAAACCAGAACGTGTGTCGGTATTTACGTTGGGGAATCGAATCATCAGCAATTCCGGTGGTGCGTATTCTTGTCGCACCCATCCACCGCAGGACGGGTGCGTCTCATCCGATTCCGGGGTCAACATGAGGACCTGATGGCCGAAAAATCCAAGACCTGGTATTAACAATGGTCTACCCCGATTGTTGGCCGTCGGACTCTTGAAAACGCGGCGAGGTGGCACCCGCTTTTTGGCAGGGGGCCATTCCCTCGCTACTCTCCCTCATCCTAACTTGGAAGCTGCCAGAAGGCCTCTGTGGAACCAAGTCTTCCCAACGAGTCCTGGGAGCTTCCATGGAATCGTCTGAGAGAGTGAAAACACTCCATCTCTTGGAGGCTGTCTGTAGATCCACTGGGTGTGGATCTGGGTGTGGCCGTTTTGAGTCTGAGTGTACCCGTCCGCCCGGGAAACGGCGGAAGGAAGCGCGCGGGAACGACTCCGCGAGCGCTCGCTCGCTGCCGGCCTCGCGGCGGCCCAGCTTTCGATGACCCCTACGCCATAGAAGTCCTGGCGAGCCGGCACCACCACCTGAAGTGCGCTGAGGGGAGCCGGGAAGATCCGTTTTGTATTTGTTGTTGTTGATTGTTGTTTTTCTTGTTTTTACAAAAATAGTTCGCCCCAAAAGTGATCCGTGTGGCGTGGTTTGGTCCAAAATCGCTTGCAAAAGTGGACCCTGGGAAGTGGCAACCCGTGGACTAAGACCTGCGTTTTTTGTTTTTTTTCCTCCGGTGGCTTGGCTTTTGTTGACGAGGTAGATTTAGCGGCGCTCTCTTTTTGGTAAACAGTTGGGGGGTATTCGGCTGATGACATGCGCGCCGTACCCAATGTCATCCAGCACCCTAAGCTGCTGGTCCGAGAGGAGACAGTTAGTGACCATAGCTGTTTTGGCCTTGCATTGGCAGTCTCCTAAGTACAATGATAGCAGCGGACAAGACAGACCTTGCCTCCAGTCCTGTAATGCGCCTACACTAGTCGCTGCAAAGCTGTCTCCACTCTGCTTCAAACAAGTTCCCCGCAAAATGTTCAAACAAGTTCCCCGCAAGGATAGTTGCCTTCCAAGACCTTCCGATTGTCTGCTTCCGTGATTGGAGACACCCTTTTGAGGTTCCTTCAAAGGGAAAACAAAAGGAAAACCCACATGAGCTACCGTCAAAATAACTTGTCTTCGTCAAGGAGGTGTTTATGTAGTTTCGTTCTTGCTGATCCACGCATATTTTGACCGTGATTCACATATTCCTCGATTTTGCAGGCGGAAAGCAGCTTGGGATCAACCCTTCGTCACTGGGAGTGTTTTGGAAACCAATGCCATGCAAGCTCTGCCAGGTCGCTGCATCACAAGCCTCCAGGAAGCGCCGTTGCTCTTCCGCGCTCGAGGCCTCTCAAACGGCGGCCACCAGCCAGAGGAGTCGAGGAATGCAGACACGCGTGTGTCCTTTCAAAGCTTGGACCCTCCAAAATGATTTTCCTTTGGCTTCCCTTTAAAGCCACCAGACAAGGGGTACCAACTCAAAAAAGAAGACGGGCCACCCATGTGAGCCGGGCTTCTTTCTTGTTTCGGGGCTTACACACTGAGACTACGCGCCCGAGTTTCTAGAAGGGTTGGCCAAAAGGCGACAAGCGACACAATGTATCACGCAAGTGCCCCAAGGCGAACCTTTCGACGAAGCTAAACCCTTTGTGTGTTCAACAAAAAAAACTATGGGTGTTGCCTTTTTTGAGGCTCACCGTGTTGGGGTTGGCTTGCTATTTGGAACGACATACTTCAAATCCAAGGTGACAAATAAGGGAACCTCGCAGTAAAGGACCTTGACCATCGAATCGCTCTCCTATGGTCATGGTTCCCTAGCAATCCTTAGCCTGGTTGTATTGGTCCCTATTAAGGGCTCCATGAATATCCCTCAATCATGAACCAGGTCATTGCAAGTTGCCCGCCTGGTGTCCATCCAAAACGGGTCTAGGACCATCCCTGCCACCCCCAAGCAAAAGGGATGTTTGTTATAAAAAATATAAACTGAATTGCTGAAATGTTGAGTTGCCAACCTGGAGTATGACAGGTTCGAACTAGCTTCAGGTGTGATTCAGGTAAGTGCGCTTCGTTGGGTTCCGAAGGATCCCAAAGATCAAGTTTGCACCGAGCAGGGTACACATTTGCCCCAACCCCTTCCAACCCCGCCCCCCCCCTTCAAACCTACCCAACCCCTCCAACCCCCCCAACCTCCCCAACCCCCAACCCCCCCCCCCCACCCCGCCCCCAACCCAGGTGAGCCTTTGCCCCAAACGGGTCCTTTCAAAACACTCCGCCCCCCCCCACTCAGGTGAGCCCTTGCCCCAATCCAAAACCATCCCCCACCAAAATCCCCACCTGCGACCGACCACCGACAAACCGCCAACCGCCCTCCGCCTCCCCCCCCTTCCGCCCGCTCCACCCCGCCATCCCGCCCCGCCTTGGCAAAGGTCACGGCCTCCAAGAGGCCCAGGTCCCCGCACCGCCGCTCCAGCGCTGCGCGCAGCTGCCCCGTGCCTCTCGAACCCGCCCCGGTTTCCGCTGGCAACGGGGGGGGGCGGGGGGCGGGTTTTTGGCTGGGCGGGTTTTCAGGGGGTGCCCCGGCGGACACACCGCAAGTTTGGGTGACTCTGTCCTATTTCTCAAAGTGGGAAACCGGCCCTTAAAATTCAGAGATGGTGTCCTGCTTGCTTCCCTTCAAATATCAAAAAGTGGTCCGCCAGTTTGAGAAACTCCCAGAATAAAGGAAAGATCCGAGCGAAATTTGGGCGACCCCATGCCAAAACTCACGTATCAAACTGCCAGCAGTTTTGCCACTTGCTCGGAATCCAAGACGCGTCCGAGTTCAAAACGACGCGCAAAACTACATTTGGAGAAATCCACACTTGTAGCTTTCCGAATTTCCTTAGCTGGCCTGGGAGGAATCGCTAAGTGGTTAGCTTTGCCCCGTTGTAAGTTGTAAGTTGTAACCCACTTGCCGTGGTTGTAAGTCCGCTACAACCAGGCGCACCCACTACTACTGCTAAGCCCCAGAATATCTAAGCAGACGGTACCAGCATCGAGGGCCTGGGGGTTTGGTCAAAACAGCCGGGCAGTTGGCAGCGTGCAAAATAATGCTGATCAAAAGGTTGTCTTTGAGCAGCAACCAGTCGTCTCCCAACCATCCAACATGGGGGGGGCTTGAATATGTCCTGTGGTCATGACTTATTTTGGGTTTGAAGTTCCGCACGTCATTCGAATGCTTTGTGTTTATAGAACTGCAAACCAATGCGGAAAGCAGAACGAACGAGCTCGGTCCCACTGCCCGAAGCTCCTGCAATGACAAAGTGCGCGTCTTGCCAATGCTGCCGCACAAAAGGAATGGCCTGGAGTCGGTGGCAACATTGCGAGCCCCACAACTGGTTGCTTGGCTGCAAGGGAGAAATCCATGTTGGGGGTCCGAATCTCAATATGCTCAACTGGCAGACATCCCAACTTTGCACTCTCTCCCGGCGTCTGTGGTGTCTGCATTCGCCTCGCCAGTGAAAGCCATTATATACAGGCCTGCCGTTCGTCTCGACGTGCTCTTCAAAACAGGACGGAGCAACTTGCCGGCTTTCTGTTCGGCCTTCCCGTATTTCCTCAACCCAAGACGTTTGCATTCTCGATGCCCAAAGCCAAAGGCGAACCAACCAATCTTGCCGAGGAGTTATTCACCTGTCCCCGATTGGGGAAGAAAAGAAAAAAACGATGGCACCGGCGAAGGATTGGAATCGAACTGATTGGAGCCGAACTGAAACCAGCCGATCTTTCCAAACAAATCGACGTTTGATCCGGCCAAATCACTTTGGGCCACATCAACCCCCTTGTTTTGAGCCATGACTTCAACAGACACATGCTTGAACGCACACACAAAAAAAAAAAAAAAACGTTGATTTCCGCTTTGCAGGAATTGGACCAGGTGGGCTTTAAGCTCCAAATCACCTGAGTTCCTCGCCTCCACCAAGAGGTCCGCGCCCTTCTGTGGAATCAACCGACCACAATAGAGCAGCACCTCAGGTCACTCTTGATTCCACCGAATCGGCGATGGTGCCCGTGGTTTCCTTTGCACTTCTTTTACTCTCCCTCCTACCAGGGAACTGACGATCGGAGGGTTCTGGAAGACTACTTGCCTGGGAACCCCTCTTTGTTGGAAAAGGTTAAGCTAAGAACCAACAAAAGGGAAACTACTCTCAACACTTGCTGGTTCGATAGGGAAATAAGTTGGTTGACTGGTGTTTCTACCCCTTTTTTCTACAATGGTGTCTGTAAGCCTTGAGAGAACCTTTATGAATCCAGGTATTGGCACCACCTGCTGAAAATGGCCGATGGAGGTTTGGGGCCTTGCTCAACTGGTTTGACACCGAAGCAGATAGGGAAAACATAGCGGCTGACAAACACATTAGGCTGCCCTTTGCACAAGGAGATTCCAAGCCGCTCAAACATTCGACGGAGTGCTCCATCGGCATCATCATGAATATCATCCATCGACGTGTGCCAAGCCAAAACTCACAACGAGCCAACCTGGTTGGCCCAGTCCTCTGGGGGACCTAGTTTTGTAGGTTCCCCCGTAGACGTCCAAATTGACATTTGGACTGAAAATACCCGCAAGCATAACCCCGAGTTTCCAATGGTAACCCGGTGAGGGTACGCAAGATGACACTATTGAGTGAGAGATTATTTTCTTCCGGGGTCCTTGATTCGCATTGAGGGGGGCATTGATCAAAACTTAGCATTATACCTGCGCTTACTTAACCTGCCAAATTTCATCCAAGTTGCTGGAGACTTCTCTGGAAGTCCCAACGCCTCCCTCGCTTCCTTCTGCAGCTCTTCCGAGGATGGCTCTTGCATGCTGGCACCTCAGCTCCATACAATTCAACATGTGGGCATGACTGCGGGGTCTTTGTGGTCAGCTGGATGGAAGATCCATGGATGTCCGTTTTCCTGATGGTATTTGCACATGTGCTTTACAGGTCCCGGTATTTGTAGGAGACAAACCCATACGCTCGCGCAATGGGCATGGGAACGTTAGTGAAGTCTGGATTGGATGGCTGAAATGGCTGAAATGAGTGAGTCCTTTGCGTCCAAAACCCCACGAAGAAACCAAAAGCGGTCCGAAGTAAACAAAGTGGTGGGGTCTTGGCTCGGGCCCTCAGAATGGACTTGTGACCATGGAGCACATGGCGCAAGCTGAGTCAGAACCCCACCTGGTGCGCAAAGAATGCACCAAAAACCACTGCGGTCCCTTCTAATACGGCTCGGAACAACCGCAACGGTCTGTCAAACCCCCCATGAAAGATACCCCCCCCCCCCCCCCGGCATGACAGGACAGCCCCCCCGCCCAGACTTCGAGCTTCACGTTGGGCGGAGGTTTTCGGCCAGGCTGCCGTTGTGCATGACCGGGATGTCGCCTTTCAGGCCATACTCCGCATACATGCATTCTCCTTGGGTCGAAGGAATCGGCTCGGCCTCGGGTATGTCTAAGGCGTCAAGTCTGGGCCATGTAGCCCGCTGGATCCTTTTCGCCTTGCTTCCCTTGGCTTTTTTGGAGCCCAAACACAGCTGGCCCGGTGAGAAACCGGTAGCGTCTGCTTTGCTCGTGGATTCCTGGTCAAGCCAATCTTTGGCCACTTAGATCGGCCCCTGGCACATCTGGGGAAATTGGTCCAAATCAAGTAATAGGTCGGGGGACTGTGCCCCCATAGACTCTCCCGTGTGGTGGACATGTGGGATCGATGTTGCAACCACCTGATTGTTGGGCAAAGAACCAGGGTTCTTGGCTTCAGAATGCACTCTATAGTGAGTAACAATCAGTTGGCATACCCAAGCAATGCGTATACTTGGCAGCCACTTGCAGATGTCCCAGCTGGGATTCCGTCGATCGATACTCACTACTTCACGGGGCAGAGTACACTAGACAAGTGCTGAGCAACCATTCTTACAACCTACTAAGATGCCACTTGCAACTATAATAAGTGCACTTGCCCTCACATACGCTGCCCGCCTCCACGGCACATCCCACGTCCCACGCCCTTTCCACTCAGCTCTCCCCGCGTGCCGATTCGAGCGATTCGAGCGATTCGAGGCGCGTAAGGTCTGCGAGGCCGCGAGGAGCTGATCGCTGCCGCGGAAGGCCTCGCCCTCCAACTGCCCCACCAAGTCGCTACGCCCCCCTCGGGCGACACGAGGTGACACGAGGCGACACGAGGCGACACGAGGCGACACGAGGCGACACGAGGCGACACGAGGCGACACGAGGCGACACGAGGCAACCGAGGCGACTCGCGCGGAACGACGTCGGACGAAGGCGCGAGCGAGCCGAAGGGTGGATGCACCGATTGTTTGGGGGGGGGGGGGGGGGTTCTTTGGAAAGGTGTTGGGGTCCTTGAGTGTCTTTCTGTCCCCCGCCCCTTCTTGGAGCCCGGGCTGGCATAATCACAGGCGGATGGTATAGGTCCATATCCATGGACTTCCCATGATTCAGCCAGAACTAATGGATAATTGACCCATCAACTAGGGCTTCATACCAGGGGTTCATGTATCGGCGTATACATTCAACCTTTGACATAAGGAGTCGCAGAGCGCCCAAAAAAACAGCTTCGCTGGGCCAATTGTATCGATGATAAACCCACAGTATGCGACAACTGTTTGGTAAGGGAATAGGTGGGAAACCACATGAAACCACAAAAGCAAAAAAGAAGGTGGAACATGGTTTAAGGATTGGGAGGTTTTCTCTTTCACCAACCATCAAGTTAAACCACAAATTGAGGGTTGCCTGAGAGAGGCGGCGTCAGAAAGTGTGTCGTTTTCCCAAACCACACACGCAAAAGGTGGGTGGGGGAGGGGGGAGCCACTTGATGTTCAGGAAAGATGTTTGCGTCACGAGCCATGGGGATTTGCTTGTGTTTGGGGGTACCCCCTTCAGGTTGGTTTTTCGGGAGGCCAAAAGGAAAACCGAAATCCGGAGAGCTGGTCAAGGCTCCAGACATGCCTTGGTCGAACGTTTTTTCTTTGCTTTGAGTTTCGGATATGGTACAAATGCACGACCTTCTTGATCACGACATGGTGAAACGAGCCTGGACAAAAGCGCGAGGCTCCGTAATTCAACTGATACGAGTTGAGTATCTTACATGATTTCTCTGACCTCTTCACCACTCTCCGTTCTCGTCTGCTGTCCAGCGAGGCATGCACCAAAACTTCAAGCAGTTTGATGGGATGCCCTTGTCAAATGGATTCCTTGTCCGATCATACACAAAGGCATCCTGGTCAAACAATTCGTTGTACTCATCATCATCCAACTGATCCACTGGCACATCATCACCGAGGCTGGTGTCGTTCGCCACATAGTTCTGCTTCTTCTTCCACTCCTGCGCTGTCTCATTCCTGGATATTAAGCCTGCATGTATTTTAAGCATCGGCCCCTCAATGGCCAGCAAGGCACTCGAGTAGGCTAAATGCAGCGCGACAAGGATCGCGCTCTGCAAGACACCTTCCTTGACAACGAGGACTGCAACCCACAAGTCAATCACAATTCCCAGGCAAGAGATCAGGGTCAAGCCAGTCAGCATCGTCACAAACTCCCGGTGATTTTTGGTGACCGATCGTATTCTTAAGCCATTTGCAGTGGTCGTATAGGATGGGCCTGGGATACTGCCACGACTTGTGCGCGCGCCTGGGCATGCCTTTCTCCAGGTCGATTCCCGGCGCGTTCCGCGTCCGCTTGACCAGGATCCGCAAAAGCGCAGTACGTCATGCACCCAAGTGTGACACCGTAGAGTAGAAAAGCTGCGAAAAGCGCAGCTTGCGGCATCAATGTCATTCGGCTGAGAATCGGGATTTGCACGGTCATCATGCATACGGCTCCAACAACCGTTGACGATGCAAGGGCTGTTGGCAAAACAGGTTTGAAATCGATGCCCCAGAATGTGTACTCCAAGCTGGGGTCCTGGCCTTCCTCGTCATCTTCATCATCCTGCAAGCCTTCTTCACAAGACTTCTGAGTGTTTGATGTCGGCCTCACAGCAGTAAGAAGGGTTGGAAGCGCCCCGCCGTCGGTCAAAGTTGCAACTTTGCGAACGTAGGGAGGGGTAGGAGGCTGCATGAGCGAAAGGCCATGGGCATGCATCGGCAGCATTTTGCGAGTGCAATTTCTGCTTGGCAAGAAGAATGCCTTATCATGCTTGGCTCTATGATTGCCGCTGAAGCATGCAAGCCCGTCTACAATGTCATGTCAGCCAAAGCAGCAACCCTCACACGCTCACTTCTTGCTCTCGCTTGAACCAGTTATTCAGTCATTGGACATATGTTTTCTACCGAAGATCATATGTTGGGATCCGGGCCCTTAGGCGAACCTTGGGCTTTCCCCCGCTACCCCACTCACCTTCCTTCCCCTTTACGAAGGAGGCACTTTCCTAAGACATCGAGCTCTTGACGCCGGGCTTGGGCGAACTGGAATGGGTCCTTCCAGACCCGTTTCCGGGGCACTCTTTAAAAAAAGGCAAAAACGGAACCAGACAAACAGACACACCCCCGCTAAAAAAAAAAAAGAGGCAAAAAAAGAAGAGGGAAACACGACACACCCACGTTCTTTTGGTCAAGGGGTTCTATTTCAAGAGCTACCAGCCTGCGGGTTTGGCCCTGTCCCCGTCTCTCCGTCCCTCCGTCTCTCCCGTGGCGAGGGGCCATACTCCGCTCCCCTGGAGCGCAACTCCTCGGTGGAGTGCACCGTCAGCAGGAACTTCAGGTCCTTCCGCAGCTCGCCCCGCACCTTCCACACCAGCCTCAAGGGGGAAGGGGAGGCCTGGGGAGTGGGGGAAGGGGAGGGGAGGGGGGGAATTGGGGGGAGTGGGGAGCCACCAGAATTTTGCATGGATACCTTTTTTTTGTGCACCCCCCCCCCCCCCCCCACACCGTGATTTTTTCAGTTTGCGGTTGCCCCATATCCAAAGCGGGGGGCACGGGGGGGGAAGGGGAAGGAGGGGGGCAAACCTGAGACCCCATCAGCCCCAAAGAATTTCCCTGCAAGAACCTCGCCCTCAAAGCCACCCCCAAGGCATTCGGAAGCAAGCTTCGGGGTGAGCAAGAGTTTCGAGAACCTCGGGTAGGGGGTAACTAGCCCTGCACAGGAACAGGGTAGAGAAAACCAAACAAACCTTTTGCACTCGGGGTGTGTGGGGCCCTTAACTTGCCTTGGTTTTGGGACCCACAAGCCATTTCCACTTCCTACTTGTTGGGATGGGATTTGAATGGACCTCGTAAAGGCGGTTGCAATGTGGGGGTTCTCAAAATCACCTTTGGATTCAAGGCTTTGAGATGAGGGATTTGGAAGCTTCTCTAAAATATGTTTGAGGTGGGCCAGCCCCTTTCGGCCGCCAATCACGAGGATGTCACCTTTCATTCCAAGGAAAAAAGCCAGCCAGCCGCCAGAACCCGCGAAGAAGGCTGCGGCCGAGGGGCCACTCGTGGCCGTGGGCGATGTCGAAGCGCCCATAGGTGGCCTCCCGCGCCGAGACCGCCGCCGCCAGCGCCTTGCAGAAGTTGGCCGTCTCCTCCGCCGAGGGATTCGACACGACTCGAGCGGAACTCGACAAATTCGGACGCCAAGTGAGTCACGTGCTCAACACCCGGGTGCTAAAATGGTCGGCATGCCCAGAACCAGGCAAAGAACTGAGAGGGCGGAGATCCGCAACTATTTCTGGCCGGGACTGCCCCTTACTAACCTTCATCTACCCGGGTTTTGAGTGTGGCTCAACTGGGGGAGGAGTGTGTTTTGGTTGGAGTCAGCTGGTTCGGGCTGAATTGAGGGGCCGATAGGGGACGCCAAAAGGAAACCTACCAAATCGAAGCTTCTTTTCATGTTCCTTGGTTGGGTGTGGGAGGAAGCTCAACAAAATTCTGGTACCCACGTGTAAACCCATGAAATGAAGCACCTAATTACGCTCTCCTCCACGAAGTCAGCGCTCAGCGTGTAGGGCACCTAGTGGATGGCTTGGAGGACTTTACTCAGATGCCTTCCGCGGGAGTCCGTGGGAAAAAATGGGCATCCTTTTTTTTGGTTGGTTCCGCCACATTGCTCAAGGCCCCCACCCAATTGGAGTGAGTCTTTTTTGGGTTGGTTGAGTTTCAAGGGGAACACTTCCAGAAAAAAAAGGCGCCAGGGGGCAATTGGGTTTATCTTGCTGCGGGATGCAGGGAATGAGAAATGGAATGACCTCGACAAAAACCACCCCAGATTTGGTTTGCACCCAATCTCTGATCCAACAAGATCCAGGTTCATAGCAGCAACCACTTCTGATCAAAGCTGTTCCTCGACTAACGGACTACCAAGAATTCTGCCGGTTCAAATAAACCGACCCTTCCGAATTGCGCCTTTTTGAGGGCTCAACCACCGTCGACGCCCCTTTTCTTTGGGAACAGACAGCAGTATGAGCTTGAAAAAAGGAACGTTCGGTGGAGGCCAGATGTCCAAAAATAGATTCCGCTAAGAGCCGGTGAAAAGGCAGGGAGAAAGGGCGCAACGTCTTGTGTTAAGTTGGCGAGACAATTTTGATTCGGGGATGGGATCTGAGATCCAAATATTCACCAAAACGGGCAATATCAACTAACCTGCCAACAAACCAAATGTAATCGATCGATCCGCCCCAAACCAACCAGCAACAGCTTGAGAACTGATCCTACCCAACTAACTACAGCCTGATCATACTGTGGCAAAGTCTGCTTCCTCAACGTTTCCCACCATTGCCATCCATGTCCAACTAGTTCCAACGTGACACATTCACCAATGCTTCGCATATGCTGGATGCCAAGTAACCTCAACATGTCTGACACCGATCATTTATTTCCTGGGCAACATGTGATAAACAAATCGCCAACCGAGAATAAGAAATGGACCCCCAAGAAAGCAACCTTTGGGTGACGTCGCAACTCACCCAGCATCTTCTCAGTTTGCGCAAACGGTTCTTCGCCTCGTGGTAGAATCTGACTAAGGTGGCGCCCTGTTCACCCGCGTGCCATGTTTGGGGATGGAATCATTCCGCTTTTGGCTGGTGCAATGCCTTTGGGCTTGGACTAACCTCAACATGTTTGACCCCGATCTTTTGATTTGCCTATGAACTTCAATCCTCGAAAGTGGACGCGCCCACCAAAACAATTCCCCTAAACAATCAAATGTCCAGACGCTCTGCGCTGACACGTCCACAAAATTCATCGATCCTCGTGGTACATGTCCGCCAAACAAAGCCCCAAAAAAAACACAAATTTCCGACCTATGGAACAAAAGGCATGGAACCTGGATCAAGGCATGGAAGAAATCAAACTTTCAGACCCTTCCTTTTCTGACACCTCGTGGTAGACCACGCCCTTCACGGTCTCCACGTTGATCTTCATGCCGTGGGAGGCCCGCGTGAAGACGTGGACCTCGTGGCCCCGCTGCACCAAAGCCTCCGCCAGGCCACTCACGTAGGGCGCCGCCGCCCCCCCGGAGACCGTGTACCTTAGCACTCCGAGCCTGGGTCCCTTTGGGTGGAACCCAGGGCCGGGCCTTTTGGGGGGTAAGAACACGGAGTTGCGTCTGCGAACTTGGACTGGCACCCACAGGAGCACCCGCAAAAAAAGTCACCATTGGCCGGGTGCCCTGCATTTCCTTTTTTGGTGTTTCAAGGGAAAAGCCATCCCGTTTTGGCCAAACGGATCCGACGCCCAGGCAAATGAACGAAAGGAGCCAAACAAAAAACAAAAAAGGTCCCCGCCCCACCAACAAAAAGAAATTCCGTCCCTGGAAAGATACATTTGTTTCCCGTGTTTGCCGGTTGAAAGGGGAAATTGGGGGAAACCCGAGCAGTCTCAAACGCGCAAACATGCACTTTAAGACTTTCAAGCTGGTTCAAAGTCCAAAAGTGTTGAAAGGAAACCATAAGTCCAGGTGGCACCCCAACAGCAACCCCCAACAGAGACCTGTCTGGGCCCAGAAAGCTCTCAGCTGGTGGGGAAAAAAAAACGGCAGCGAACCATTGAGCAGATCAACCCAAGTTGGATCTTCCCAAATGTTTGGTCTTCTGAAGAGGTAGCTTCAAAAAGCCATGCACACCGAAGCCCTGGCATCACTGCTCCTAAGAGCTTGGGGCAGGGATTCATTCTTGCTGGGAAAATGGGTCTGTGTCAACAGCACGACCCAAAGCTGGTGTGGAGACTGTGCCGAAAGGAACCCCTATAACTGGTTTTGGGCATGCTGGAAAATGGGCACCCCACATTGTTTCTGGGGTCCTTTTGGCGTCCCTTTAAACCAACCCCAAAACGGCGGCCAACTCCAAAAAAGCGCAGGCGCCCGCTTCGGGTGTCTTAAGCCTAGCAGCATGGTCTCCCAGGAGAGCATGCACACCCGGAGCCTCGGCGGTGCGGGAGCTGGGTAAAATCGATGACACAGGCTCTGCCCATGTTGGGCGTGTCTTAAAATTGGAGACACCAAACCATTGGTGGCTTCCTTTTCCTTTGACTTTAACACCACTCCAAAGGGGTACCCTTCAAAAACACACCCCCTTGCCCCCCCCCCCCTGGCCAAAAAAAAAGTAGAACCACCCAAAGATTGGGCCCTCAGGGGGGAAACCGCGGCCCAAATCAAATTTCAACCGCGGAAAACCAGGGGTGTTCAACCAAACGACTGGTCGGTTGTTAGCTTGGGGATGACATGAGTTTTGACTTGTCCGTGTGTGCAGCCTGGGAAAATGATGCCCCGGAGTTTTTTTTCGGCGCCTCAGTGCGACATTCTACTCCTTGAGGGGCCGTTGCAGGGAACCCCAAAGGTGGAACTGAACTCCATACTTGCTCCCCTCAACATGTTGCAAAGGCATTCCTACTCAGATTGACCCCTGATGGTGATGTGTAAACCACCCGAAGAACTGGAATACCAAAACGATGTGAGATGGAGCTGGAATGGCATGCAGCCAAGCGACGGGCCTTGAGTCACGATAAACTCCTCAGAAAGTCAGTCGGGTCTCTCTCACATGGCTTGAACATGGCAACTCTGGATCTGCCAGTAAGGTCATCACAAGCTTCCAGTTGGTCGAACTCACCCCCCCCCCCCTGCGCGGTTCCTTTGAGCGGACGAAACCACAAGCCGTGTCTCTGGCCATGTCATTCCTGATGAACTTAAACCATAGCGAGAGAAAACGGCCTGTGGCCCCACGTGGTTGGCTGTAGCATGGTGGCAACACATTTGGGCTCGTCTTTTACTTGGGGGAACGCTGCAAATGGTGAACGTGCCCTTTCGTTTTCACTTCACTTTCCCTGGGGAATCCACACTTGCAAGCCTCTCGAGAAAGGTTCGTAGTAAATGGAACAGCGGGGTTGTGGGGGGTCGAAAACGGTCAGCCTTGACAGGAGGAAACTCTCGGCAGTCATTTAGCTGAGCTTGATTCCCCCAGGCGGTTGGGTCCTTTGGGCCAACCACCAAACCGGGGGCTACAGCCCTTCAAACATCTCCCAACCAAAAGGAGACGAAGCCGAACACCGGCCAAGAGGGAATCCCCGAATGACGTAGAATGCAGGCATAAACGAGACCAATGTATCTCCACGTGCGTGCCTCTAACTGCAACGTTTCCAGGGACCCAAGACATGAAGCCCACCGATCGATCGCTGAGTGAGTCCTCCATGGTTTCCATGCAGGTCACCAGCTGCGCCTTCTTGTCCTTCCGCGCAGCCAAGGGCTTCGTGAGGGCGGTCGCCAACTTCTGCATGGGCTTCGCCTGAGGGAAAACTGGGGCGTCCCGTCGCATTTTTGGATGTGTTCAAGGGGAAACCGGAAAGGAAACCACCCTGTTTGGGGGGTTTCCCTATTTTGAGACAAGCTCAGTAACTGGGTCGTGACATCCTCATGCTTTTCCGAGGTAAGTGGTGGCTTAATTGAAGGGAACCCCTCCAGACTCTCAACATGCAACCAAATTTGGGCGGAGGCCCTGCAAATTCAGATGTGACACGTGAAAGAGGGGTTCACCCCGCCCCCATGCCGCCTTGGCAGGATCCTGCAAAGTGGTGCAGTGTGAGCCCGGGACGAGCTGGCTGTAATCCGGGCTTTGCTCAGCTTGACAAAGGTCAAACCCAAAGCCGCCCGACCCAGTCGGATCCTCGGCTGAAGCCTGCCTGCCTGCATCCGTTCTTGCCTGCCTGCCTGCCTGCCTGCCTTGAGGCTGTAAGCCACACTCAGCATCGCCCGCTTTGGAAAACCGAAACTGTGGTCAGGGGCTACTTGGATGTTCAACGCACGCAAGTAGGCATTAAGTTAAGCCGTATTCTACCACGAAGTGGTACTTGAGTATGAACTTTGATAGGGGACTCTTTGGTATTGCTAGAACGTCAAACGGCAAACGGCAAAATTATTATTCCTGTTTGTTTAAAGAAACAAGGGTTTGACAAGCTCGAAAAAGGCCTAGCCCCCCCAAACAACACAAAACATCCAAGTCCCTCTGCAGCCCCTGCAAAATAAGAAAATGATATTTCCCTTTACTATCCTATTGGCCGGGGGTCCACACAGGAAAGGACCGGAGAGCGTGCAAACCAACCTGAGGAAGCCCAAGAGGAGGGCTTTAAGTCCACCAACCATTTTCATTGAAATGCATGACCACTGAACCGCTCAAGTAACCCCAACGGAAGCCTTGCATTGTTGGTTCACTATACGCTTTTTCTTCAACATGGGCAGTGGTTTCCCCATTTTGAGGGTTGCTCCAACACCCCGTTCACAACAGAACGTTGGTCCTTGGACAGGGAAAGCAGAAGAGCCCAGTACCAATGCTCCATGAGGCTCGGAGTACCCATGCAACCTCGAATTCTGTTTGCCTTTTCGCCGCCCCACTCCCAACCCACCTCCCCCCAAAACCACCCCAACCCCCCCCCCCCAAACCCCAAACCCCAAACCCCCCCGCCCAAACCCGAAGAGCCCTCCCAAAAACCCCGACGCCCACAACCCAAAACCCTCGACTGCCAAAGCACGCAGAGGCCATCCTCCACATCTCCCACCCCAATCGTCAGCACCTCCCGGGCCAAGGTCGAAGCCGCCGAACGCAGCAGCCCCGTGGCCGTCACCACAAAGTCCTCTGCAAAAAAGCCGCCCGCGGAGCCCGGGGCCTTCTTTGGGATACCAACCTTGGAGGTACTTTCTACGGGAAAAACCAGCTTGGATCTGTGTTGTTTTGTCTTTCTTCGGTGCTAAATATATAGATATATATATATATATACTCAAGCAACTCCAACTAATAGTTGGTGGTTTGGACTGGTGGTTTGGAATTGGAGTTGAAGCCCTGGTGCTGCTAGAGGGTGAATAGCCACCAACTAGAGGAAGCTGATGTATTTCTTTAACATACCAACCTAGTGTTTCAGATGAGGGCGGCATGAGCTTTCTACAGGGCTTCCTCCATTTTCCCTTTTTGGGAACCTCCAAAAGCGCGGCTTCAATGGACACCACCTATACTGTTTGTTTAAAAGCAAACAATGCGGCTGCGGGTCCAAACCCTGTACCCCTGGTGACATCAAAAAATCGGTGGTACATGGGCGTTCATCCGCCCCAAAATGGAGGCATAGGTTATGACCCACGGCCATACCAAGCAAATTGTGACGTGTCATGCAAGACGGGTAAACGAATCGCCGTGGTTCGAGCGCAACTGCCACTGTTGAAGGCCAACAAATGGGAACTGATCGAGGGACCCCTTTCAATTTCTGGGAAGGTACAGACCCCGGTGGATTGATGGAGAACAAAGGGTCCCCCTTTTTACGGGTAGTTGATTCTAACGGGATTTTCCAAGCAAGAAAGGAAAGGAAAGGAACTGGAAGAAACCCACTCGGGTGCCCCAAACCCGAGCTGGCGGTTGGTTCTACCAAGATGGTGACAAAGGTTCAAAAAACACTTACTCAGTGGATCCCAGTTGCCCATGCAGCAGGTAAGCAGAAATTGTCCTTTTGGTTCCCTTCGTTACCTATACAGGTAAATGGATGCTCTAGTATCACCACCATAAGACCAGCTGGTAGAACCTGCATGGCCCATGCCCGGGGTTTTGGGCACTGCTCAAATGCGCAATGGCCAAAGCTCCTGTCATGGCCATTCCCGAAGGATGCCTCATGCGTCTTTTCTTATTTTTTCCGGAAATCCCCAAGTGGATGGCAAGCCCTACCATTACACCATTCTACTTGGTTGATGTGTCAAGGGTTAGATTCTAGGGCTTCGACCCTCCAAAAATGTCCATGAGGTCGATGACAAGCCCTACCATTGCTTACACCAATTCGTGGATGTTTCAAGGGTTTGATTCTAGTCACTCTGCCTGGTTACCCCCCTTAGCAACCCACGTGTGCCATGGCCAAAACACCATGTGGCTGGCAGCTACGCAAAACGGAGCCGGGTCCACGACCGAACGAGGCTGACCCAAGTCGTTTCGACCAAATGGATCAGTCGGTTCGACCACAAGGAGACGTGGCCGCCCATTTGAAAAAAAAAGAGACTGCTTTGGAGCAGCGAGGTCCCAAAACCCATTGGAAACCAAACGGGTGCTGCTGAATTAATTGTGGCTTCTTTCCGTGGTGCAACAGCAACTAGGCCAGACATCCAGTTGCATCCTCACAACTACCCTCCATAATGTCGCCAGGGAAACCAATAAAAAGAGGCCCAAACAACCTGATGTCATCCTCAAATTCCAAACCCAGTGGCATCCTCAAATCCGGTTCAAACTCCTCGGAGAAACTGAGGTCAAGAGTCGTTAAAAAAAAAAGCGTTGACTGCAACTTGCTGTTTGATAAGGGAAACCGCGAACTTTTGAGAAACCCTAGGCATCCCCAAAACCACATAAGAGAAATGGTTCATTCCTGTGAAATCCAGAGGTTTTGGGAATGAAACCCTAGGAAGCTATAAGAAAAATGGGTTCAGTTCGGGGTGATTCCAGCAAAAACTCGCCCGTCAAACCCTCGCCAAAAAGAAAGGCCTCCGTGGAAGGCGTGGCCGGCGAGGCGGCGGCCCCCGGAAGGCTCTCCTGAGGCAGAAATTTGGGCCCGGACGAAAACTGGGGGCAGAAAAAGAAAAGCTATACCCCACAGCAAATGAATATGGGTGTGTCTTTTTGTTGAGAATGCGCCTTGTTTCTTGGTTTCGAAGAGAAACCAAAAGGACAACCACCATGTTGTCTCATCCAACCAACAGGTGGTCCAGTTCCCACAAGGAAGAGTTGGACGCCTTTCCCTGCTTTCCCTTGCTGTATCTCTGGGGGCCTTTCCATGTTTGGCTGTGTCTTGCTTTAAGGAAATCCGGAAATCCCTTTTTGGGGGTGCTTAAACGGGGACCAAAGGAAACAAACCCAGAAACTAGCCTAGGGACCCCGTGTCCCCACCGCCATTTTTCCTGTGATCAAGTCCCCGAGCGGATGCAGGCCATCGAGAACCAGTCCCCCAATACTCGGTTGCAACCAAAGGACCTGAAGGGCGAACCATTTGGGGCCATTGCCAAAAAGCGGACCGAAAAAGGGAGAAAGAACAAAAAAGAGGTCGGGTTTGGGCAGAGCCAAAGTTGTGCGTGTTGGAAACCGAGTTAAGCCAAGCCAAGCTTGACGAAAGGGGCAGCTGAGAGCTGGGAGCAGTACAGCGTGCGGCAAGGTCATTAGCGTGCAAAGAGCACCAAGCGATCCCTGGATTCAAAATCCACTTCAAGTTGCGACTTGCAATAAGACTTGACCAGGTGGTTCCATTTCCCTAACCAAGGGTGGCACATTTGGTCGCTTCCTGCAAGGTCGGCATCGTGGGACGAGCCAACCCTACCACCCCCTCCCTTCTCTGCAGCTGTGTGGCCAAGCGGAACCCGTCCACACCTGACTCGACCCAATGCCTCGCGAGTTGGGCCGTGGGTTGGCGGCAAGTTTTTGAAGCCTCCCTTTGGTAAGCTGGGAATGAGAGAATTCGTTGTGCCAAAGCTCTTGTGGTTTCCTGGAAAATGCCTGGTCCCAGTCCCAAAACTCCCAATGTTGATGCACTCAGACTCCAGCATCTCGAACTCTCTCTTCCCGCCGAGCCGCTGCAGGGAATACAAGAGATACTGCGCCACCTCTTTCCGACTGAAGTCGAAGCGTTGCAAGAGCTCGCCCTGGTCTGCAAAGAAGTGGGGCGGCAGAAAGGACTTCCCCGCAATGGCGCGGGACGGGACTTCAATGAACACCGCCAGGTCCTGGTCGTGCGCCTGGCACATGGATGCCAAAAGAGCCCTGGGGATGGGAACTCCACTTTGGTATCACAAAACATTGTCATTTGCCACAACCATGGCGTGACCTCTTTGACAGTGGCCTGAAACGGGGGGCCCTTTGTTGGCGTTCAAAACTACTTGTTCTCAAGGACATGACAAATGCCTGGTTTGTGTGGGCAGATTTGGAGCCCTCCCCCATTCCCTCATTCCCTTCTGAGCAACAGCAAGATAAGACGCCCCATAGTTCACGCTTAAGCAAAACCCACCCCGTGCGCCTGGTGCAGAAAACTTGTAAACTCCGCCGCGTCCTTGAGCACCGGAGTGGGTGCCAGTAGACTCGCCGTGGCCCGGACTCCCGCGTGGAAGAGACCCACCACAAGCACCCCGTGGTACCCGGAATGCGCCGCCAGACCTGGGTTGGTGTTTGGGGAAGCCCGCGCCGAAGGTAACAAAACCCTCAAAATGCAAGAGCCAGGGGCCCGGCCTTTAGTTTCGTTCATCCCTTGCAAGTAATCAACTTCTGGGGTTTGGAAATGCTAAGCTTTGGTGGGACATGCCATAAACTTCAAGCTCAAGTCTAAACGACCAGGACGACAACACGACAACTGTCGTCTACTTGGACCGCCAAAAGGCCCAAGATGCTCCGCGCGAACTTGAGGCTCGGCTTCTCGCCCTTCTCCGCCACCAACGTCGCATCAAACTCCAACAAGTGCAGGCGCTGGTTCCTCGCTTGCGACTCTCCAAATGACCAACCTTTCGTTGAAGTATGTCGACCCTTGACTAGAAAAGGAGGTACTGCTATACGGAACACCAGGTTGGTAAAACACGCAAAAAGAGGGTATTGTGAGAAGGGCACACCCCCTTCCAAAAGTCGAAAGTTTTGCTAGTCAGTCGCACGCTTGCAATTGCCTCAACCACCAGACAGTGGAAAAGTTGCCACTTTCCGAAAGGGCTAAAACTAGGTCCTCCAGTAGGGAGGTTAGAATAAAGGTACCCTTTTTCTGTAGTCGATTTTAGTAGGGAAAGCCTGCCCCAAAAAAGAAACGGTAAAAGGGCGCCTAGCTGGGGGACCTAGAAAAGGTCAGTATGGTAGGGCCGAGGTTCTTGATGCTCACGGTTTTGTCCTTCTTGTGGAGGTCCTTGCTGGAGGGACCACGGCTCAGGCTGGTGGGCCAAACCATCGCATTCACCGCCTGGCTGCGTTCCTTTTTTGCCAGCGCATCAGCGGGAAAAAGCGGTAGTTCCCCGTTCGCTTTGTGGGGGGAGGGGCCGGTCGTGCCGAAAAAAAAAAAGGAAATGGAAAAAGACGACTTCATCATGGGTTTGGCCTGTTAACCCGCTGAATCGGTGAGATGCGAATACCCCAAGATTGACGGTCCCACTTGATTGTGTGGTTGAAATTACATGACTTCCCCAGGTGACCGTGGCACATTTTGAAGTCTCATGGACCCAAAGGGGATCGAGGAACCGAATCGCAAATTGGCGAGTCTCACTCGCAACGATGGGACCACAACGATGGTTCCCGAATCAGGAACCTTCATGGGTGAGCTCGGTTCACCCGAGAGGGTGAGCTCGTTCTCAGTTGACCAGGGCGTGTCTTTTTTGAAATGGAGGAAGCCCTAAAAGTGCGGTTGTTCCTGGCTCCCCAAAGCCACCCCTATGCCCAAAAAGCGACACCTGCTTGGATGTGAGCTTTGGTTAGGGACCTCTTGAACAGCATTTAGGTGGGGATTGATGTCCGCCCACTTTTGAGGGGGGTCCGACTGAAGTTCCTGACCATTTGGGGGCTTCTCAAAATTCGGACCCCTTGTTGAAAAAACAGGAAACCAAAACGAAACAGCCTAGTTAATGCGGTTCCCTTATTTGGGGGAGGGGGGTGTCTTTTTTGAGGGCATCCCCTTGTTTGGTGGTTCTAATGGAAGTATAAGAGGGAAAGCTCTCTGTTTTTTGGGGGAGGGAGGTTCTCCACTTCTTCCTTTTTATTAAGGGTTTTGTTAAGGGACTCCCCCCGCCCAGATGCCTGCTTTTTCCCTTCATTTTTCCCTTCCACCACCAAACCCTGTGGCCCACCCTCAAAAAAGCCGCGGCCACCGCCACCGCCCCCGGCTTCGACCGACCGAGCGCCTGGGTCTTCGCGTTCACCGCGTAGCGGATGGCCCACAAGGGCACCACGCTCCGCGCCTCGCCCTCCTCCGGCACCAGGTGGACCCGGTATTGGCTGCCTGCCACGAGGGCACCAGAAGGCCCCAATTACTATGTTTTGTGTATGTCTGCTTTTTGCTTTTTTGTTTTTTTTGGGAGGGGGGGGGGGGGTTTTGGGGGGGCGGGGTCCGATTTTTGTTCGCCGCCTTTGGTGATAAATGGGCGGCCCCCTGGAAAACCGGAAGGCCCGGACTTTTATTGTTTTTTTCGCTGAGGCACATGCCCAGCTGGGGGTATTCAGGTGAAACCGACAGATCTCAGCATGATACATCAGCTCAAGGCGGAAGTAGGTTTTTTTTGAAGGGGGGCCTTTGTGGAGCCCCCATGACAACCGTGCGCATAGGTCTCCTTTTGGGGGAAATAGATGGCCCTGATAGATGAGTAAACCACCTGGTAAACCAGGGCCATCGATTTTTTGCCAAACCAAAAAGGACGCCTATGACCGTGTGGCTTGGTTCCTTGATCCGAAAGTTGCACCTGAGTACTTGACCTTTCTAGTGACCGAGTGGTTTTGTTTGATCTGCGAAAAGTTACACCTATAAGTACAATTTGTTGCTTGGCTTCTTGATCCCTTGCTCAATGCACTGCTAAAATTTACACTTGTCTCGCTTCTTGAGTGGATGGGCCAAACAAGTAACCAAACTTGTTGTTTGCCATTACATTCAATTGGTCTTCCAAACAGTTTAATGTCCAGGAACTCAGGGAGTGAGTGGTACCTTTAGTGGGATATGTGACAAATCCAACTCTAAACTCTAAGCCAAAAGTCTAAGGAACCGTATTAGCTGGGAACTGCTAGGCCATGGTTGCAACAGTAGGGCTGCAATTCTCCGGAATGAATTTGTTAGGGCCTAACCAAACGAGTTTAGTGGCTCTATATGTCCCACCAAACTTCACCCACACAAAGGAACCTTGAAATTGGCCCACTGGTGATTTCCAAAGAAAGGTGATACCCAAAGGTGATGCCGTTTTCGGTTGGTTGCGAATCGGTGTTCACATGTGTTGCCCAAATATCCAGCACACAATCCATAAAAAGACACCATTGTTTGTTGGTATATACTCAATCTTGAAGGACATACCCAACAGAATACCCTCTTCCAATCATGGAAACGCGCAGGAGGGTTTTTTGGAAGACCATGCTCTTGAAGGCCCCCCGTGTCCACGTCTCTATGTTTGTTGATCCCAAGTTGAGTGAGCACCATGCAAAGAAATGACATGCTTGCTGGCACGATAGGTAGGGAATGAGGGAATGAACCGTTTGGGATTCCTTGAAGGAAATCATAGGGGATGGTTTATAGGGGTCATTCCCTGCTGAGCACCAGCAATTTTCGGTTGAGCAGGATCTCCGTTGGGATGAATCCCAAAGGATCTCCATGTCGAATCCCAGATGCGGTTGGTACATCCATCTGGCATTTGCATTTGGGCCAACGGCAGCCAGTCCGAGCTGCGCTCTTCGAATACACAACCCCTCAAAATCCCACAACTGAAACCCTAGCTCGGGGAACTGAGGTCGAAATAACCCCCCCACCCCACCCCCAACCTAATAGCCCCTAATAGAAGGCTAAGGCCCCCACAACCCCACACACAGTTTCACAACTTCCCGGGAAATGGGTGGGCCAAAATTGGGGCCTCCATATGGCAACTAGTTATTGCTTGCTCACTCTCCTCCCCAGTGCTTCCAGGTGCCATTGTAGCAGGTAAACCGGGAAACAGGGAAACCATCATGTAACACCTAGCGGCAAGAAACGGGATTTGAACCCCCCCACCCCCCCATCCCCCAAACAACAAAAAGTTGGTTTCCTGTTGGTGTCTAGCTCGAAAAAGACACAACCCCAAACAGGCTACCCTCAAAAATAGACACGTCCCAGTAATTGTTGCTCCCTTGTGTGCCCCCTTTAGAAGTATAGAAGGAGCAAGCTCCATACCTCCAAAACCATGAACTTCCTTGATCCAATCCATTTGGGTGTGTCTTTCTTTGAGGGTACTCTTTTTGGGGCCTTTATAAAGGGACACCAAAAAGGAAACCCACCAATTTGGGGGGGTCCCCCTAAAAAAGACGAACCACCCATTTGATGCTGTTTGTGTTTGGATTGTGCCAGAAGCGCGTCAGCCTCAACGATTGGAGGTCTTCTCCCGACAATTCCTTCACAGTCTCTCATCCAAAGTCAACCAGGAAGCGAGACCCAATACATGTCATTTGCTTCAAACGCCGCCAAGAAACCATATAATCTAACCACGAGTCATGAGGTTATTCCTTAAAAACCGGTTGGACAGCTATCCAGTAATGTTCACCCAGCTCTGATAAGCAAAAGAATCAGTTGAAAGGGCAATAATTGAAAAGAACAACACCAATCTGGGCAACCAACTTATGATTCACAAAGCGTAGCAACACTGGTAAGTGGCATGGGGAGGTGCGCCCTCCCAGCCCTTACGAGCGGGCGCGCTACCATTGCGCCACAGCCCCGGCCAACGTGTGAGAGTCAAATAACCATGTTTTCAACGGGTTGCCCTCCGCCTACGAAGCAAGGGTTAAGGGCTGCAGAAAGACGACCTTTTTCCTCTTGAAAAGGGGGTTTGTGCACAAGCCCATTTTAGTTGGGAGATGGGTATGGGCCACACGCAATTTTCGCCGCAATCGGACCGCTGGTGTTGGCCACCTTTAAAACCTTAAAATAACAACTATTCAAGTGGGCAAAGAGCTTAAAGGAATTTGTGACAAGTGCCACTGAGATACAATCTGCTGCCACCGACTTTTGGCCACGCGCCTTTGGTCAACGCTGCATTCATTGGCGCGCCGATGAAGCAAGACCAGATGTCCCCCTTCTCCGCCTGACGGTGCACGGGCTGTGTCAGGAACCCTAGGGGCGCCGAAAGGCAAACGTGTTCAAGGACGGGAGGCGCTTGAAGGGGGACGGCTCAAGGAAAACCAAGGGTATAGTTAAGCAGGATACAAGGTGGTTGAAACTTGGTGGCTGTCTCCAACCCAGTTTAGAGCAAACCTGGGGTCACCGAAAGGGTTTTGGGCCGAGTTCTGGAGAACCCTCCCACCTTGGTGAGGGGAGTTGCAGTGGGATCCCAGCCGTTGAAGTCTCCCACCAGAGAGACGTACTTGGCCTTGGGAATCCAATCTCTGAACTTCCATCCTCCGTTGCAGTGGTGCAAGCCGAAGTCTTTGAAGATCGCCGAAAGGTCCTGCAAGGTACCTTGGGCCACCAATCGAGACCGTGATCTCCTCACCTTCACCCTTTGCGATGATGGCCCAACCCCGCCGGACCCGCAGACCCCTCCCCCCAGCAACCCCCTGGAAGAAACGCCCAACTGGATCAATCAAAGTAACATCCTAAAGATTACCCTCCCACCTAGGCACCTCACCCCAACGGCCGTTCCTCTCGCCCCCGGCTTCCGCACAAGGCGCCCAGCTTCGTTTCCGAAGCGCCCGAAGCCGGCGCTGCGCGCTCCTTCCGCGCCTTCTTGCGCCCCTGACAACCAAAACAACCACCTCCCCCGTCGAACCGGACAGCTGGGCTTTTGGGACAGCTGTTTCTCAAAAAGGGGGGGGGCCTAAAAATGTGCAGTTCCTTCTTGTCCATTCTGGGAGCCCTCACCGGGAAAAAGCAGTCGTCGGGCGAAATGACACCAGACAAGAGCGATGCCGCCTGAGAATCCCCCTCGTCTCCCGACGGTGGTGTCCTGCTCTGATGGCAAAAAGTTATCTTTTTTGAAAAGAGCCTTGGCCAAGTTGCCGCGCCTCATGTTGAACATCTATAGCCAGCCAAGTTGCCAGGGTCATCCTTCCAGAGAATGAGCAGAAACCGGGCAAATATGGAGGCGAGCAACATGAGTCAGTAAGAACCCCAACGAGCAAATATTGAAGGGGGGGGGCAATGAATCTAACGGCGTGGGGCTCGTCATGAAATTAGTGTATCACTGGATGCCTCAGGCGTATTGCCACGCCTCAAAGTCTACTGGCGCCGCTGCCTTCGCTGCAGCCTTGGCCTTGGCCTTCGCCTTCGCAGCTTCAGCCTCCGCGGCCTTGGCCGCGGCCTTGGCTTTGGCCTTGGGCAGATCCAGCAGCTCCGAGGTGGACGGGTTCAAGATCATGGCCTTCGCTGCTCCGAAAAACGATTCGTTCACAAGGAAGGCTGGAGGACAATGCACTCACTCAAAGCTTGGCGCGCCTCTGGTAACACCAGGCCGGCATCGATGGAGGGATCCAAGATGCTGGTGGCTTCCCCCCTCTCCTCTTCCAGCGCTCGCAGCGACGGCACCTCCCGCGGCGGCCGCAACGGAGCCGCCTGAGCCGACGCCTGCGGCGGCGGCGCCGGAGCCGCCGGGGGCGCGGGGGCCGCCGGAGCCTTGGCCGCGGCCTTGGGCTCCGGCGGCACCGCCTGCGGCTTCGGCGTCAAAGGCGGGGCCTTGTCCGAGGCTTTGAAGGGCCGCTGCGGCTTGCCAGCCTCCACCACACCTCGCGCGAACAGGGAAACGGGCGACAGGCACTGCTTACATTGCCGCAATGGCGGCTGCCCCAACGAGCGGTTTCGATCCCAACTTTGCCCTAAGTGTCCCGAAAAGGCCGAGCTCCGGTGTCTTTCTCTCGTGTCGCCTGGTGCGTTGATGGTGTACTCCCCCGGGAAGTATATGCGGAACATCCCGTCCGGCTGGGCCTTGCAGGAGGTTAGGCTGGAGCCGTTGGGCCCGATCAGAGCGAAGACCGCATCAAAGTAGATGTGCAGCTTCACCCCACCATCCGCGTCGAAGCGGAACTGCCTCGGGTGTGAGCGAGCTCCGTGACCAAAAGGGTGTGGCTGCAACAGCGGTGTTTTTTTTTCAGTTTTTTTTTTTGCTTTTTGAGGCAAAAACCGCATGCCTGGAGGAAACCTGCGCTTGGAAGGCCTTAACATACAAGTTGCCCGATTCCCAGCACAGCTAGCTATCTGCGGAACGACCCCTCAAAATGGGTAGGCTATGTGTCTTGGTTTCCCTTTAACCACCAAACAAGGGGTACCAACGTCCACAACGACGAGCCATGAGCCACCCATTCGGCCGCGAGAAAAGAAAAACTAAGCGAGCGGCCGCAAGTACTTCTTGCCCCCATCCCGAATCTCCAGGCCCAGATTCAGATCCGTGGGGTCGGAAATGCCGTGCTCCTTTCGTCCGATGGCCCGCTGAGAAGCGAAGGGTGACCCGGTATTCATCAACCCACCAGTTTTTTTTGTAGGAGGTTTAGTTATTAATTGGGGGGGGGGGGGGGGTAAGTGGAGATTCAGACCACTTTTGCAGGGGAGCACCCCCCCGATTAATAAACTGGGGTTGATGAAAATGGGTTCAACAGTACCCGTTCTGACCCCTGCATGTGGAAGCTGACGATCGGGTTGTGGAAGACTGCTTTCTTGGAAAAGCCCCTGATTTTCAACTTCCATGATGGTACCTCATCGAGCTGATACAAGTCTTCTGCCACTGCCAAGCATAAAGTCGGCAAATGCAAGCAAACACTTCAGAGCCCAGAAGAAAAAGGACATCGCAATTCTCCTGCACTGCGACTGCACATCATGAACAGTAAGTTCTAGACGAAGTGTAGAACCAACCGTATAGTGACAACACCTCCGCGGAGCTGCGGCCTGGGTCCGCAAGAGAAGGGGTAACGGTTACCAGGGCCGACGCCCGGTTGACACATCTTTCAATCAGCTTCTTTTGATCCCATCTAGGGTGCGGTTCTTGCTTTTGCCCAACCCGAACTCAGCTAAGGGTGCCATCGCTTGAGACCTTGGGACAGAGGCAGGGCTTCCGGCCACGGACGTCCAATTCGCCACCTACGGATGCCACCTACCAACTGGTGCCTGGCGCGGATTTCGTGCATCCGCAGTATTTCCCATTGGTCTAGCTTCGGTTCGGAGGCACTGAGAACTGACCACCCCTAAACCAATGCGGACCAACCCTCCGCCAACCCTCAACCAGCCCTAAGCCAATCCGAAACCAAAATAACCTCAGCTCCCCTGCTGAAAGTTTAACCTTTGGGCCAAATGGATAAACCCAACCGCATTCACCAACTAAACAGACCCGAAAGGCTACGTCGAACCAGATGGCTGGTTGAGCCACCAAGATTCGGGGGAGCTCAGGGAAGAAACTTTTGCTCCACTAAACAAACCAAAAATATCTAACAAGCTAAGTTGAACCGGACTGGTTGAGCCACCATGCTTCGGGGCTCCCCGGATTTCGCTCCTTCAGCAGCCCGCCGTCCAGCCACACCCGGATGCCGCCGTCCAGCAGCGCCGCTGGGGCTAGCACTTGGGCGGTGCGGCAGGGGAGGTAGAGGTAGCACGAGGCCGGCCTCTCTCGTGGATTTCAACAAGCCCTCGTGTTTTTTTTTGGGGGGGTAGGGTTGTTTGTGCATTGCTAAACAAGTTGCTTTTGGTGGTCATCCCGTTTTCCTGTGGGAAAGGGACCCCCCAAGCAAAAAGGAAAAGGAGTCCGGATCTCGAGGGTCCCAAGTTTGTCCTGACTGGAGGTGCGAAATGTGGTGACTGGAGAGGCCAAGGATTTCGCCCATAACATCACGGACCTGCAAATGCGGTCGAATTGGGGAAATCCTTGTGACTCAGTTGCTTTTTTGAAGGGAATGGGGTCCCCCCACTTGATCTGGATTCCCGCCTTTTTGGGGTATCTGCACCGAGATGAAAGTCAATCCCACGATAGTTTAAAGGAAGCACCCTCAGCTGACTTTGAGGGAATACTGACCCCAGAAGTAAGGTGTAGGTGTCCTTTTGCGAAAATAACTGGATTCCGCATGTAGATTGATGGCTTGCAACCAGGCCAACCAGGAATCGCCATCTAGTTTCCAAGAATCGAATCAGAAACCGAGGCTTCTGAAATTCGGCGCGAAATAATGGACTTCGTCCATCCACTGTAGTATATATGTTTTTTTGGGGGGAAGGGGTTAAAAGTGATGAATCCCAAATCTCCACGAAAGGGGAGACTTTCCCCGATGAATAAAACCGGTTCAGAACCCTTCAGGTGGTTGGCTTCCTGTTGGCTTCCCTTTAAATACCAACCCAAAGGGTCCACATTTTCTTGAGAAACCACCATATGCGAAATCCTGCACCATCCAAGAAACCCTTGAATGATGGATTTCCCTGTAAATACCAACAAACAATGGTTTCAACCATGGTTTCTTAGGTGTCAACTGTGTCTCGGCTTCAACCCATTTTTCCGGGTTGCCAACTTTTTTTCGACGACCACACCCCATATGAGTCTGGTGTATATGGGTACCCCTTGTTTTGGCGGGTCCGCAATTTTGCCGTGCCCCGGCTGAAACCAAACCGCCCGTTGTCCCACGGTCCCGTTGTCACCCATATTCGCCGTGCGGTCGAAACCAAACCGCCCCGGCTCAAACCACCCGGTCCTGTTGTGGGTGGCCGGTCCCTTCGGCAGCTCCGCATGGCCGCCCTCCAGGCGGCAGTGGCCCCCGAACCGCTCCTTCCGCGGCGGCAGCTTTTCCGGGGGCCCTCCGCGAAGGTGTCGAAAGAGGTGACTACAGATGTTTTTGTCTGATTTTACCAGGGAGCAACAAGCACTTGGGCTTTTTGGAGGCTATCCTTCTTGGTTGGTTGGTGTAAAGGATAATTGTGGGCCGTTTATGATGGAGCAACAATCACTTGGGTGTCTCTTTGTAGGAGGGTACCATTCTTGGGGTTGGTGGTTGGCTTTTTCTGGTGCCTGGATCTGTTTGGTCTACCCCGAACCATAACCTTTGAGGACCCCCCCCCCCCCGCGCCCTTGTGGTGTTGAAAGGGGGTCCCCAATTTCATACATACCCATATATACCATATGGCTCCTGTGGGAGCATAAACCCCAACCTGAATGATGTCCACCCAGGGGAACTCAATTGAAATGTCTGGGTGCCACTCCTGTTTTGAGGGTAAACCCTTCTTGGCGGCCTCGAGGAAAACCAACTAGGACAACCACAACTTTGTTCGGGTTTTGTAAGAAAAGACACACCTATATGTTTGGAGACCCCGGACATGATCAGAGGAATGCCATCGCATGGCTTACAGGTGGTTCATTTTGGGTTGGGATCTTGAAGGCATTGAACGGGCCCAAAGCGAATGGGTCCTCAACAAGTTGTGTGTGTGTGTGTGTGGTCGATGCTGAGTTGTTTGGCTCTACCAAGATGGGTCGGCCTAGACTTGATGATGAAACCGCTGAAACGGCCGATAGTTGGGTGACCCATTGAATGGGTTTGATCGCTGAACCTGAAAATGGCACCCTCGGCAGCACATTGCACCTTTGGGGGGGGGGGAAAAAAACGACAACCACGCCGACTTCAGCAGTGCATGTACTTACCCTCATGTCGTCAATGGTCTGGGCGTTGCAAGCCTCTTCCGGCCAAGAGGGCCATCTTCGCGGTACATGGATCTGAATGTCAATTAGGCACCCCTTGGTGGACATCATTTCGCTGGGGATTCATGTCCACCACTCACTTTGCAGAGGCTTCCCACGTAAAATTCCTAGCCACATGGGGATTTGTGTCTCGTACCCTCGTGGCTTTTAAGAGCCAAACAAAAGCTCAGGGGCGCCAGAGCCAAATCCTCCGAAAGAGGTGTGTCAAAATCGAGGTCATTACGCCCAGAACGGCCTTTGAACCAACCTAGAACAAGTACCCACACAAAACACACACAAAAAAAAAACACAAAACGGCGTGGCTCAAAATCAAAGAGCTAGGGCTACGCAAGGGTAGTCTTTGTTCCATCCACCAGGAAGCAAGCCATGTTGCTACATTGCTTCCAGCCGCACCCATATCAAGCCACAGCGCCTCATCCGTGTCCAGAACGATTCGCATGGCCTCATCCTTGGCAACACCCACCTGGCGCAAAATCTGACATCCGAGAGATGCCAAGCCGAGCCACAAAGTAAAACCTGGTTCTGACGGTGGCTACCTAAACCCAAAGAATCAGACCCAGAAACCCATTGGGAAGGACTGCTGTCCCATACTGTCCCACCCAAATCTGTTTCGAGGAAATCAGGTTCCCTTCGCGACACTCTCAAGATTGCTCGCTGAAGTTCTTCCTTGAACGGAAGCAACCCTAATTTCTGACTTTGCGAACCCAAACGGAACCAGAAAGAAGGAGCATCCGCAGTATTCAAATTGTACAAACACAAACTCTGAAACAAGACATGCATTCCCAAGTCAAGGACCCATCGCGGGCTTTCGCGCAGTTTACCCCAGAGCGGGCACAAGTGTCCACACGGTGAGGCCAAAGTCTGGCAGAATATGGGTGCGTCTTTCTCAAGGGTCGTGGAAATCATAGTTTTGAGAGCTTAGAAAAGACACACCCACATGGCAAAAGGTGTCCTTCTTTGGGAGTATCCTTTCGGGTGATTTCAAACGGAAACCAAAAGCCAAAAGGAAGCACGGACCAATTTGCTGGGTCGAAATCCCTTGTTTTGACACATACCCACATAGGTGTGTCCTTTGAAGGGTACCCTGTTTGTTTCCGTTCAAAGGGAACCTCACGGGAAATCAAACATTTTCGAGCGGGGCTCGACGTTTTGAGACAAAACTTTGTAACCTAAGGTCTACTCAGCCCTTTCTACAATCCCTGAGCTCCGTCGGCGGCGTTCTCCCACGACAATAAGGCCTTAAGTCTTCTTGAGGGTTCCCCAAGAATGGGGTCGTTTTGAGGAATGCCAAAAACACCAAACCAACCATCCGCAGTTTCAGGTTTCGCCCGAGTCCAGCTGCGTTTTCTGTCAAGCGGCACCTTGCAAGCGGCACCGAAACGGGTCCCTCGTGAACGGAGGAGATCGATCTTGCCTGGTACCCCTCGAAGCTGCGGTTGGGGTCCAGATTCACCACAAAGACCAGGTCCCCCCGCTCGAAGGCAAGCACCTTAGCTGCCATGGGTGGTGTGTGTGTTCTGTTTGCTTGCCTTCCAGGACCAACCCGAAAAACGTGCCCTCAACAAAAATAGACACAGAGAGAGAGAGAGAGAGACACAGACACACACGATGCCATAGTGAAAACGGGTCTCAAAAAATACAAACAAAAACAAACAAACAAACAAACAAACAAACAAACAAACAAACAACCAACCAACCAACCAAACAGACAAACAACAGATACGCCAGCTCTGGGTGCGCCTTTCTTTCAGCGGACACCCTCGTTCGAATTTTGGTGGGTTGAGGCTTCCGCCAAAAGGAGACCATGGACTTCCTTGCGGAACTTGCTGGTTCGGGTTTGGGAAGCCTGAGGATTCCCCTACGAGAAGCCACCAGTTGGATGCTTAGGATTTGGTCCCTCGCCTTGTCCATGCCGTTGCAGGTGGTCACGAACTCGTGGTCCGAGCTCAGCCACCTGACGCGAACCGGGCCATTTGAGATCCACTCCACCCCCCCCCCCCACCACCACCCCGGGACACTTCCGTTTCCTGAAGTCCGGAAAAAAAAATAAGGAGCGGTGGTGGATTCTTTTCTTGGAAACCCAACAGGGGAAAACAAATCTTCAGCGAATGGAACCCAACTTGCAGGGATTAGTTCGCCAGGGCCGCAGCCTCTGGGTTGAGACTCGAGCAATCAAAACCCAAGGCGGTCGAGCCACTAAAGAAATTAAAAAAGGCCGGAGATCTGCACGTGTTGGGACTGCCAACCTCGACGCCAAGTAGCCCAAAGGCTCTGGGAACTAAAAGCTTGAACTTTTGGGACCCAGACGAAAATTATGAACCATGGGCAAGTGGCGTCGCTTGCGGTTTTGAGTGCGGCGCATTTCCCGCTGACCTTTGGGGCGCGTGCCGGGATCTGGCCCTGCAATTTTCGGGGGCCCTGCGAAAGCGGAGCGAAAAACGCTCCCAGCCATGTGTGTTTCTCCAAAAAAGCAGGAACCCCCTCAAACGGGCGTACGGACAGCTCTCCCAAATAACCTCTGGAACATCTGGTAAAGGCGCCTTGCAAGAAGGTACCCCCCCCCTGAGCGCTGTGAAAGGAAACTGCAGGGCAAACTGCGTCAGTGTGGCTGAATGCTTCGATTTGTTCCCAACTGAAAGCTTTGGGGTCGATGGGCCCAGAAATCAGCTCCAGAGTAGCTTGGAGTGGCTTGGAGCGGAAGGGTTCCAGGCTTCGATTGCTCGAGCCCCGCCTGAAGCGGTTCTCCAGGGCGTGCATCAGCTCATCGAAGCTCTGGAAGTACTTGTATCTCAGCCCCTGGAAATCAGCGGGCGAACAAACGATCTCGTGCCACTGGTGTCCAACAAAGGGCAATCAGGGTGTGGCTTGTGTGAGCCAATTTCACCCAACCCTGGTGGAAATGAAGCCCCCCAATAACCAAACAAGCGAACCAACAAATGAAAACATATATACAAATATATACAAAGACGGCAACGTATATGTATACACAAGTGTACATCGATATGTCTATATATATATATACACATGTGCATAAATATGTATATGTAAATACATGTGTATATATCTATACATGTATATATATATATATTATATAATACCAAGAAAAGCGTCTTGGCGTGGAAGAGCTGGCTGCCCACCCTTGCTGTTTTCGTGGCTGTGCAGCGGTTTGTTCCCATCCCTATGACTACTCAAACTCACTTGCTTTGAAAGGCGGGAGTTCGAACCCTCGGCCACTGAAAGAAAATGGCCAAAAACTAAAGTCCTCCTCATTCGACCTCCAAAGGGTGGTTTGAAAGGGGTACCCCCAAAGCCTTCCAACATGCAAAGGGGGGCCCAGAACCCCCAAGGGCAAACAAATAGTTTGGCCCCCTTTGGTTTCGTTGTGGTCCACGAAAAAACAAAAGCACGCCATGCCCGGGCAACTTGCTCGTGGCCCTTTCGCAAAAAACAAAAACAAAAAACGCGGCTGCCTCGTCGTCGGCCAGGTCCCACCTGCGGCGGCAGAAGTGGTGGCTCCAGCAGTTCTCCGCGCGGGGGAAGTCCACCCACTCGGGGTGCCCGAATTCGTTGCCCATGAAGTTCAGGTACCTCGGGCCCAGGCCGCAGAGATATCACACCAAGATCACACGTTAAACACGTGGCAAAACAAAGAACGGGGGCGACACACAAACAAAAAGACACCAAAACGCGGGAAAACAAACACGGAAATAGCACAAAGGAAGACAGGTTTCCAGTAATATGCATAAAACACATATACATATATCGATATATGTACCTATGCACATACCTATGCATATACTTATGCTTATATGTATATACATACACATATACCTATGCATGTATATATATATATATATATACACATACATACAAAGTCACCTCGGCCATGGTGCCCTGCCCCGCCGAGGCCCAGCACCAGCAGCCGGAGCACTTTGTGCAGCGCCAGGCCCCGGTCCACCGCGATGGAGGGCTGGGGGCTCTCGGCGTGGCTCATGCCGAAGTACATCTCCTGGCGCGGGTGGCGGGGGGGTGCGTGGCAGTTTGTTGGGGCCGATTTGGGCGGGTGCAGTTGGGGGCGATTTGCAGTTGGGGGCGATTTGGGCGGTGGTGTGTGGAGAGATGGCACAATTCCCTTCATGTTGATTTGACTTCCCCAGCTACGCTTTGGGTGACGGGGGGGTTGTGGGAAAAGGACCCAAAGTCATGAATTGGCTGTGGAAACAAGCTCCAAATCTTCCAAGGAATGCAATCGCAGGACAAGGCAAAACATCCCCTTTGAAACTGGCCCCCCCTGTCAAAACCGATGCTTGCCTTTGTGGTTCCTTGGTCTCTTGCCCAAAGTCGAACTTTTAGTAGGATATGCTATAGATCCCTGTAAACTCTAACGCTAAGAGTCAACGGAACCATACGGCCCGGAAAAAAATGAAAAAATGTTGCAATCGTCCGAATTCTTCCACCGAGAGAGGTCTTCGGTCGCCGTCCTGGTCCATGAGCCAAAAAGCAATGGTCTTGTCGCCTACAATCGACTGGTCGTGGGACTCGGCGTAGGCAATACACTTCTCCTTCCACCTGAAGGAACAGCTGGCTTGCTGGTGCGATAGGTAGGGAAATCCAACTGTTGGCTTCCTTTCAGGGAATCCCCAGGAACATTCCCTCCCTACTGAGCACCAGCAAGAAAAGCTTCCAATTTTGGTGTTTTACATACCAATCAACATTTTGAGAAGCGATACCCACCAACTCGAGAAAGCTGATAGGAAGGGGCGAAATCGATACCCCGGGACTGTCCATTGCTCACATGAACGGCCAAAGAAGTCCAATCCTTCGCCCTATGATCACTAAGTAGTCTTCAATCACCCCTTTTGACACGAAAATCGGTTTTGCCAGTCCAAACTCAACCCTTGAAAGAGCTCCTTCGCTTCGTTAGTTACAGCTCGTGTCTCCTTGGTTGACGTTGAAAGGGGAGCAACAATTTGAATCTTAGCAGTTAAGTGGGGATTTCAACCACTAAACCACAACAAACAAACATGTAGAATGCTTTCCAGCTTTGGTTTTTTTTCGCTTCATTCGGTTTTTTTCCAGCTCCTCTTTCCTCTCGCCTCCGGTTGGTGAGGGTGTGGCAGATGAAGCCCACGTCCCACAAGTCGTCCGGCACCTCCTTCAGCAGCTTGATCCACATGTCCGGGATCGCCATGGCCAGGCGGAAGTCGAAGCCGAAGCCCCCGTCCTCGAGGCTCAGGCACAAGGTCGGCATGCCGCTCACCTGAAAGAAAAAACGGGTAGAGCCGCTTTCGCTTTCTTTGGGGGAGGGGGGGGGAGGCTTTCAAAGCCTCTCGACCGGACCTATTTGGAGAACCCAAATGTGGCCGAACACCCAAGGCAGCTCAACCTGAGTGCTACGATCAAATCCAAAAGACATGGCACCGTGCGGTTGTCAAGAATGGAATAACCCGTGTTGGGGGCACCCTAAATGGACACATGGACTAAAACCTGCGGTGCAAATGCTGGTGGTTTAATTTTGACCCGTTTGACCCATACCCACATGGGAATCATTGGGAAGAACTACCAGATCAAACAGCTTTCCCACTCAACGGGAAATGTTTTCATGTTCACGGCGGGCCAGGAATATTGATCAACCCCCACCTCCTCCGCAATGGTGATGGCACTTGGCAGAGTCGAGTGAATCAGGTCGTTGGCGAGCATCAAGTAGATCTGCCCTTCCATATCAGCATCACCTGTGTGCTCCAAAACCTGGTATTGAAGAGGTCTACCCAAAACCATCTACACAATCAAAGGGTCTTTTTCTCCCATAATTCTTCATGGTTGAGACTGCCCCCTAACTTTGACTTCCCCTCTCACCAACAAAACAATGAAAGTGGGGAAAATCTTATCCCAAAGTCTCACGAGTGTTTGTCTGAGGGTACCCCGTTGTTTTTGAGCCGCCTCCAAAGTAGTCGTGGTAGTTCCCGCAGAAGGCCTTGCCTATCCAGGGAGGAACTCGGGGCCGCCGATATAAACCATGGTGTTAACCACTATAAACTGTGTAAATACTCTCCGTTGGGCTTCCCTTGAACGGAAAGGGTATGGTTGGGACTAATCATGGTGGTTTTATGTTATCCTCTTGATTTCCCAGACAAAACAAAACCAAAAACAACTTGGAAAAAACAGCCCTTATTTGGGGAACCCAAAATGAGGGTGACCTTAAGTAATGTTGACCCCGGATTCAAAAACCTGTCCTATATATAGGCGTGTTCCCCTCCAAAAAAATATGATTCCCCACTAAGCGTCTCTTTTGTTTAGGGAACACACACACACACAAAAAAAAAAGGAAACAAGTGTCTTTAATATGTGGGTTCCTTTCAACAACCAACCAAATTTGGGTCTCCCTAAAAAACGGCACGCCCAAATGTTGCACCCCGCCTATGCCGTGGGAGTGGTACAGCATGGAGGTGACCCCGTCGAAGCGGTACCCGTCGAAACGGAACTCCTCGAGCCAGTACTTCACGTTGGACAGCAGGAACCTCAGCACCTCTCGGGCTCGACATCGGACCGACGGACCGATATGCCAGGGAAAGAAATAGGGGTGGAAGTGGCGTCAGCCAGGAAAGAACTTCTTTTAGTGCGCAGCCAAAAAAGGCAGCTGCCAGTGCAGCCAGCAAAAACAACCGCATCAGGAAGTCCTTCCTGCCTTCCCTTCCCTTCCCTTCCCTTCCCTCCCTCCCTCCCTCCCTCCCTTCCTTCCCTTATTCCTTCCCTTATTCCTTCCCTTATTCCTTCCTTCCTTCCTTCCTTCCTTCCGTCCGTCCGTCCGTCCGTCCGTCCGTCCTTCCTTCCTTCCTTCCTTCCTTCCTCACAGTAGCCGTGGAACTGGCAATATGTCTTCTTCTTAATGACTAAGAAGTTGTCTGCTGATGCCTAATAAGTTCTCTTTATTGATGCTTAATAAGTTGTTGATACCCATCACGGAGAATCAGGGGTCGATCCCTCAGTAACAGAAAGTGGACAACCAGACCTGGGCATAAAATGCCCTGCAAAAACCTTCAAAAGACATCCAGTGGCCAGGGGGAAAACTAATGCATTTGTTTGGCTGGTGGATTTCAGAAACCGGAAAGAAGGAAGCAATTTGGCGCCGCTGGCCTGAGGATCAAAGCCAGGAAAGCAACCATTTTGGGGTCCCGAATTTTGAGACCAACCTTGGACCCCTTTTCAATGCTGCCCATGGTTTGTGCCATGGTCATGGCTCTGCTGCTGCAAGCCCAGGTGAACGGGTCGTTCGGTCGTTCGGCCACGGGCAGCACATGACTCCCAAAAGGGGTGGATTCCCCGCTGCAAGCCAATCGCGTCCCACCGCATCCGAGCAAATTGCGGTGGATGCCACAATTTCCCCTTGTTCCCCTGAAACAAGGCACTCTTGTATGTTTTGTTCGTTTTTTGTGAAGGGTCACCTCCATTTGCTTAAGTCTCCAGAAAAACAAGTCCAGTAATGATAGATGTCCTTTAAAGCCAACAGGGGAAATAAAAAATGATATGCCAAAGCAAAGGGAAGGTCAACTCTTTGTGCTAAACCAGGGGCTTCTTGGTCCCCATCCCCATCCGGCGCCTCATGCTTGGTGTAGTGAAACAACTTGGAGTCCCACTGCGCGTGATGGCCCTTCAGGCCTCCATGGGTGTAGCAGTGGTCGGTGCCATCCATCATCCTTGCAACTCTTGGATTGGTTGAAGTCTCCCTGTTTCGGCTTAACAAACCTAAAAGGGGTACGCTCATATGGGTGTGTCGTGTTTGAGTTGGTGCCTTTTCTGGACTTCTTTCGAAGGAAAGCCAAAGGGAAATCAATATTTGTGAAGTTTCATATCATAGTCTTCATGTTGATTCGCCACAACCTGTTGGTTTGTGCATTGTAGTGGTGAAACCTGGTGGTTTTTCCATTGCTTTCCACCATCATCAGTCTTAACCATCGTCATGAATTGATGTCTAGCCAAAATGGCACATACAAGCCCTGACAGATTTACACTCTTACCCAAAAGGACATAGGAAACGCTCGCTTTTGTGCGAAACTTGTCTCCCAAACTTAACCGGCAATTCGGCCCGTTCCTCACATCCCCAAACATTCAATTTAGACAAATATCTGCAAATTCCATATGCTTCAAAACCAAAAAAGAATTGGATCCCCAAGTAAAGGACCTACATCATGAGTTTGCTGTCGTTCCCGCCCCCCCCCAAGAGTCACAATAAAACAGTTGCAACTAGTATGGGGGCGGGCCTTCCAGTTTAGCCAAACATTCATGTCAAATGCCTCCTTCCAACAATCATGGACGCGCAAAATTGGGAGCTTCCGCAAAAGGAAGGTTGTCTTCTAACCCCTCCTGGCTTGCATGATTGGAGGGAGGGTATCATCATTGCCCAAAAACAATTGCTAATCGGTGACCTTCTGGGAAAATAGATTGCCCTGGTTCATGGTTGGTAAAACCAATCTAAACCAGTGGAACCCATCTATTTCTAACCAAACGAACCCATCAAAAGGTCACCCCGAAAAAATGAACGCACAAAAAAAAAGAAGACGCCGAACCTATGGCATCCATGTTGTTCTTTCTCCGGGCGTCGCCAGGCCGTCCAGGGAGTTGGAGGACATGTGGGCGTGCACCAGGTCCATGATCACCGCCAGGCCCAGCTTGTGGGCCTCGTCCACCAGGGCCTTCAGCTCCTCTGGCGTGCCGCACCTGCGAGCTGAGCTGAGCTGAGCTGATGGGGTGGGGATGTGGGATGTGGGATGTGGGATGTGGGATGTGGGATGTGGGATGTGGGATGTGGGATGTAGATGAGGAAAGGAGGAAGACATCTCTCTTTCCCATTCATCTCTATTTCCTTTCCCTGCCGTGGAATCCAAGAGATGAAGATGTGGGGATGCTCTCCGTCAATGATAGAGAGGAGAGAATGGGTGGCCAATTACTTTCATCTTACCTCCCCACCTTTCGGTAGCTTCTGAAGGGCTGATTGGCCACAGGCTATCTCTTCTCTCGGTCACTCCTCTCTTCGTTCATGAGCTTTTTTTGTTGGTGTACCACAGTCTATCAAAACAGCACCCAAAAACGACCTCCCCGCCGCCCGCCACCCCACCCCCGGCCCTCCCCCCCACTGCCGTACATCCCTGGACAACGGCACCTGCTGGAGGGCGCAAAGTAGGAGGTCACGTGGTACCCGAAAGACCCGTAGTAGCTGTGCTCCGCCACCGCCATGAGCTGAACCGTGTTGTACCCCAGCCGCTTGATGCGGGGCAGCACGTCCTCGCAGTTGGAAAGAAGAAGGGCGTGAAGGGCCTTTTTGGGGGGTCCAAGTGGGGACGTGATGTTTGGGCCAAAGGTGCTGTGCTCGATTTTCACAATCCGATCCAAAGACCAACCTTGAGAACTTGCAGAAACTTAAGGTGTGTGTTGCGTTTGTTTCTTCCTTTTTTCAGGAGCTGCTGCAGTTTTGGGCGTTTAAGAGAATATGGTATCCCGGTCGCAATCATCGTCTAAATCACGACCTCGCATATAGGATTACTTGTATGTCAATTGAAATGTCCGTCACAAATTGCAAAGCCATTCTCTCCACAAACCACCGCGCACAGGCAAATGGGATAGCACCGTTATAATCTGTAGGGGTGATATACACAACTGTTCTCTAGCGTTCCTCGTATGTCCAACCAATAAAAGAAAACACAAGAACCTCAAAACAAACACAACCCTCAAAGGAACCAAGTGATGTTTCAAAGGCCCTCTTTCCAACAATCATCGAAGCGGACAAGAAGGCTCCCCAAAAGTTAAGTTGTCTTCCCACCTTGCTCAGCTTGCATGATTGTTGGAGGGTTGGTAGCATATTCATATCTATGTAGATATAATAAATGTGTATGTATATATATATACATATATTTGAGTGTGTCTTAAAATCGGGGAACCTGCAAATGGTGGTTGTTCTGTTGATTTCCCCTTCCCGACCGACAGAGTGCACCCTTTTTGGGGGTCGTCTCAAACTAGGGGGCCCCCAAAATGGCTGTCCAAGAAGCGGGGTCCATATGCAGCAAAGCCATCTGAGTGTGTCTTTTTTAAGGGAGCCCCCAAAAGGGTGGAAATCCGCTTGGCTTCCCTTTCAACCCACCCGAAAAGGGCTACCCTCGAAAACGACAGACCCATATACATCAGAACCGGATGGGTGTGGGTCAAAACAATTGGTACCAAAAATGAAACCCTCGTGAATCGAAACCAGGACGAACATGACCAAAATCTGCGGTCCCCTGGTGGTTTATACCCATTGTTTGGTGGCTTATTTTTGACCCGTACCTATATGGTTTAGAAAGACCCATCAGACCCTTCAGCGTTCCGTCGAACAACCATACAGGTGTGTATATATTTTAACGCCTCCGGCTCAGGCCGCCGACATTACAGGCCTGCTTTCTTATTTGCGTCCCTTTGGAATTGTCCCCTTGCCCCCTTCCCCTCTGAGATTTTTGCCCCCCTTTCTTTGTTGAGATCCATTCCCCCTTTCCGCCCTAAGGCCTTTTCTCCCTCTGATTTTTCCCTTTTCCTCCCTAAGATGTTTTCCCCCCTCTCCCTGTTGAGATCCTTTCCCCCCTTTCCCCCCTAAGGCCTCTTCTCCCTTTTCCTCCCTTTCCCCCACTTTCCCCCCTACGGCCTTTTTCTCCCTGGGATCTTTTTCCTTTCCTCCCTGAGATCTTTCCCCCCCTTTCCCTGTTGAGATCCTTTCCCCCCTTTCCCCCCTACGGCCTTTCCCCCCGCTGAGATCTTCTCCATATTCCTCCTTAAGATCCTTTGCCCCCTTTCCCTCCTTTCCCCCCTTCCCTTTAAGGCCTTTCCAGATCTTCTCCCTTTTCCTTCCTAAGATTGTTTCCCCCCTTTCCCTGTTGAGATCCTTCCCAGGCAGGGAAAAGGCCTTAGGGGGGAAAGGGGGAAAGGATCTCAACACAAAAAGGGGGCAAAGGATCTTAGGGAGGAAAAGGGAGAAGATCTGAAAAGGCCTTAGGGGGAAAAGGGGGAAAGGAGCTCAACAGAGGGAGGAAAAGGGAGAAGATCTCGGGGGGAAAGGGGGAAAGGATCTCAACCAAGGGAAAAGATCTTGGGGAGGACAAGGGAGAAGATCTCAGGGGGGGAAAGGCCTTAGGGGGGAAAGGGGGGAAAGGATCTCAACAGGGAAAGGGGGCAAAGGATCTTAGGGAGGAAAAGGGAGAAGATCTTGGGGGGGAAAACGCCTTAGGGGGGAAAGGGCGGGAAAGGATCTCAACAAGGAAAGGGGGGAAAAGATCTTAGGAAGGAAAAGGGGGAAGATCGCGGGGGGAAAAAAGGCCTTAGGGGGGAAAGGAGGGAAAGGATCTCAACAGGGAGAGGGGGGAAAACATCGTAGGGAGGAAAAGGGAAAAACTCAGAGGGAGAAAGGGCCTTAGGGGGGAAAGGGGGAATGGATCTCAACAGGGAAAGGTGGCAAAAGATCTTAGGGAGGAAAAGGGAGAAGATCTCAGGGGGGGAAAGGCCTTAGGGGGGAAAGGGGGGAAAGGATCTGAGCAGGGAAAGGGGTGGAAAAGATCTTAGGGAGGAAAGGGAGAAGATCTGGGGGAAAAAAGGCCAACAGGGAAAGGGGGGAAAAATCTAAGGAAGGAAAAGGGAGAAGCTCTCAGGGGGGGAAAGGCCTCAGGGGGGAAAGGGTGGGAAGGATCTCAACACGGAAAGGGGGGAAACAATCTTAGGAAGGAAAAGGGAGAAGATCTGGAAAGGCCTTAAAGGGAAGAAGGGAAAGGATCTCAACGGGGAAAGGGGGCAAAGGATCTTAAGGAGGAATAGGGAGAAGATCTCAGCGGGGGGAAAGGCCTTGGGAAGGAAAGGAGGGAAAGGATCTCAACAGGGAAAGGGGGGGAAAGATCTCAGTGAGGAAAGGGAAAAGATCCCAGGCAGGGAAAAGGCCTTAGGGGGGAAAGGGGGAAAGGATCTCAACAGGGAAAGGGGGCAAAGGATCTTCGGGAGGAAAGGGGAGAAGATCTGCAAAGGCCTTGGGGGGAAAAGGGGGAAAGGAGCTCAACAGGGAAAGGTGGGAGAAGATCCTAGGGAGGAAAAGGGAGAAGATCTTGGGGGGAAAGGGGGAAAGGATCTCAACCAAGGGAAAAGATCTTGGGGAGGACAAGGGAGAAGATCTCAGGGGGGGAAAGGCCTTAGGGGGGAAAGAGGGGAAAGGACCTCAACAGGGAAAGGGGGCAAAGGATCTTAGGGAGGAAAAGGGAGAAGATCTTGGGGGGGAAAACGCCTTAGGGGGGAAAGGGCGGGAAAGGATCTCAACAAGGAAAGGGGGGGAAAGATCTTAGGAAGGAAAAGGGGGAAGATCGCGGGGGAAAAAAGGCCTTAGGGGGGAAAGGAGGGAAAGGATCTCAACAGGGAGAGGGGGAAAACATCGTAGGGAGGAAAAGGGAAAAACTCAGAGGGAGAAAGGGCCTTAATGGGGAAAGGGGGAATGGATCTCAACAGGGAAAGGTGGCAAAAGATCTTAGGGAGGAAAAGGGAGAAGATCTCAGGGGGGGAAAGGCCTTAGGGGGGAAAGGGGGAAAGGATCTGAGCAGGCAAAGGGGGGAAAAGATCTTAGGGAGGAAAGGGAAAGATCTGGGGGCAAAGGCCTTAGGGGGGAAAGGGGAGAAATGATCTAAACAGGAAAAGGGGTGGAAAAGATCTTAGGGAGGAAAGGGAGAAGATCTGGGGGAAAAAAGGCCAACAGGGAAAGGGGGGAAAGATCTAAGGAAGGAAAAGGGAGAAGCTCTCAGGGGGGGGAAAGGCCTGAGGGGGGAAAGGGTGGGAAGGATCTCAACAGGCAAAGGGGGGAAACAATCCTAGGAAGGAAAAGGGAGAAGATCTGGAAAGGCCTTAAAGGGAAGGGGGGAAAGAATCTCAACAGGGAAAGGGGGCAAAGGATCTTAAGGAGGAATAGGGAGAAGATCTCAGCGGGGGGAAAGGCCGTAGGGGGGAAAGGGGGGAAAGGATCTCAACAGGGAAAGGGGGGGAAAGATCTCAGGGAGGAAAGGGAAAAGATCCCAGGGAGGAAAAGGCCGTAGGGGGGAAAGTGGGGGAAAGGGAGGAAAAGGGAGAAGATCTCAGGGGGGAAAAGGCCTTAGGGGGGAAAGGGGGGAAAGGATCTCAACAGGGAGAGGGGGGAAAACATCTTAGGGAGGAAAAGGGAAAAAATCAGAGGGAGAAAAGGCCTTAGGGCGGAAAGGGGGAATGGATCTCAACAAAGAAAGGGGGGCAAAAATCTCAGAGGGGAAGGGGGCAAGGGGACAATTCCAAAGGGACGCAAATAAGAAAGCAGGCCTGTAATGTCGGCGGCCTGAGCCGGAGGCGTTACATATATATGAAAAACACTATATGCATCATGCCCATATTTTGAGACAGACCCCTCATAAGTCCCTCCCACTTTCCGTCTTCCGATGCCTTGGCGAAGTCCGTGTAGGTGGCCACTTTGGGCTCCTTGGAGCTCATGCCCACGTGCGCCTCATAGATCTTTGGAGACGCCGGCATGGGCGGCCTGGAGAAACCCGGAGAAAATACCGGGTTTGAAACCGACCCCAAAACAAATGAAACTGGAGGGAAACCAGAGGGGAAACCAGAGGGACACCATTGGGACACCATTGGGAAACCATATGATGGGGATCCATAGGAAAAGCATAGGAAAACCGTGGGAAACCTAGAAGCTGTATCCCACCCCTCAAAATCCAAACACTTGAAGGGAACCAGTGAGAAAGCCCGAATCAAGTCGACGGTTTGTATTCACAGCCAGCCACCCCCTTTAAACCTGGACGATTGCTTGCACCACCACCTGTTGGTTGCCCTCTAAAGGGGACAAGTGGCTAGTTCTCACTTAGTCAACCAGGGTCCGACAAGAGGGAAGGTGCGGGAAGAGCCAGGCGGCTTCTTGTGCTTGGAACATTGCTGTCCACCCCACACTTTTGCAGGGGTGCTCGGGGTGCCCTGTTGAAACTCACACTGTAGCCGTTTGAATTACCTTTTTCTCCGCCCTGATCATCCTAGGGGAAGGCCAAAGCACAACGACGATTTCAGACCGAACCCCAGGTCAACCCGTCCAGGCCACGAAGCCCCCGAAGACGCCCCCATCCCCCGGTCCCTCGGTCGCCTGTCGTGCTTGAAGACATACCTCTCCTCCTGTGGCGGCAGCCACATCACCCCGTTGAAGAGATTCGTGGCGTGGTCCTGCCATGCCAGCGAGGTCCAAGCTGGGATGCGCTCGAGCCACTTGTTGTCCTTGGTCTCAAGTCCTGAGCCGAAGCCGAAAAACCCAGGGTTAGCCCCCTTAGAACCATGGCTAAAACTAAAATAGCATGAACCCCCAAGTGGGGGGGTGATTTCCCATCTTGCCCAATCATCGCGCTCTTCAAAAAGCTGCCCCTTGGGTTTTGGGCTTTGTGGAAAGGGTCCTGAGCATGGGAAAGTTACCACCGGAGTTCCGGTTCTCCATTGGGTCTTCCCGCACCCTGTTTGGGGTGGTGTGCAAGGCACATCGAAGGGAATCCGGCCATTTCGGGATTCTGCGTGGCCCTGCACTTTACTTGGAATCCTTTGGACACCATTCAAATGGCACTTTCTTTGTCCGCCAACCATGAAGGGTGTTCCCAATGAAAAGTCAATACCCGGAGTCTCCATGACCCTTTAAAAATGGGTCAATGGCCCCATTATTTTGGGGAAAGACCATTTAAGGGTCATGGAGACTCCAGGTATACATTTTCGCACACGCCCAAGTGACAACTTCTGGCGAGTCTCTGACTTTGACCTGGCACTTGTGAGGAATGGCAGGCTTTCCGTCTGAATCCTTCAAGGTCACCGACCAGCGCCCGAAGCCCTGACGGAAGGATGGGAATCAAGTCACACTGAAAAAAACGGAAGTTGGTCTCCAAGAGCCTCAAAATTGGTGGGTTCCTTTTCTTCCCTATGAAGCCCACCCCACAAAGGGTACCGCTAAACAAGGGAGACACCGCTGACACACCCATGAGATTCATGCAAGTGCGAACCCCGCAGCCCTCGCAGGCTTGCGGCTGCTCAGTAGACATGCTTTGTACGCTGGACATGGCATGTTTTTGTTGAAGCTCGGTCCCTTTTTGTCGCCAGTGTTTCAATTTACTCGTCCAACCGGTCTTGTGCTTTTTGGAGTCTTCAAAGAGGAAGATGCCTGAGAGTGTGTGTTTTGGAGTTGGTACCCTTTTCTCGGTTGGCTTCTGTCTAGAGGGTCAGAAGGTCGACCCGGAGACCTGGAATCAGTTTGATCGGTGCGGTTTGTTGAGGGTATCAAGGTACCCCCTTTTGCGCTTGGTTTCCTGGGAAACCAAAAGGAAAACTGCCGGGAGCTTGGATCAAATCCCTCCTTTGTCGCACCCTACTGGCTCGCAGAGCGGGACAGGGGCTGCATTGAACAAGCTTGCGAGGGAAACAAAAAGGGGGCGGCAATCTTGACAACCAATGCGGGCATAATCTTCATTGGCCCTTTGGTGGACATTGTGTATATGTTCACCAATCACGTTTGAGGCGGTCTCCAATAAAACCATGACCATATTAAACCTTCCACCTGCCCAACTGCCAATCCTTTCCTGTTTTTACTTTGGCCATGTTGTTTCTTGAGTTGCGGTTAGATTTAATGCGGGGTCAAAACGCGGGAAAAAACACTTTTGCTATACAAGAGGTGGGAAGACATTGCTTGTTTCTAGCCTCGGCGGTCAAGGGCGTGGTGTTCTCCCACTTGTTGAACTCCCCGATCAGGAACACCTGCTTGGCGTTGGGCAGCCACTCCCGGTAGGTGATGCTGCCATCCTGGCGGCGGCTTTCTTCGCTCCGGAGATGTCCGCGCCCCCCCCAACCGGTCCAAGGCTAAGTCTCCCAGCCCTTTTAAGCCACCTGAACCAAAGGCAGAAGTCTTGCATTCAAGAGGTCGCCTAAGGGGTCAAAGACATTGCTCAAGTCTCCGACTCACTCCGCCCTCTGCCCGTCTGACCACCCCGAAAGCTGAGCGAGCTGCTCGCTCGGCTCCTGTCTGGTGAAGCCGAAGGTGCGGTAGCCCTCCGCGAACTTGGAGATGCCGCCCTCCAGCTTTTCCAGCTCATCCTTCCACCACCTTTTGGGCCGCTGCGTAATGTTGACCCCATATTAAAATCCACCGACTGTTTATTTGTTTCTTTCCATTAGGGGGCTGTCCCTGGGTGTATTTTGTGGGGAGTCAAACCACTCTTGGAGGGGGACACCCCTTTAGTACTCCGGGGGTCAACATTACGCTTGTTGGGCTGCTGAAGGGGAAGCCCAAAGAGAAACTGATGCCCGAAAAGTAGACGCATATCCACATGGAGCCGCGAGCGGGTGGATCACAGCGAGAGGGAGGATTTGATCTAAGGAAACACTTCAATGATCCATTTGATCTAAGGAGCTGCGAATTAGTTGTCAAAGCGAGTCTTTGCATCAAGTGATCTACCTTATGCCTAGAAATCAGTTTAGATGCGGCTTTTGTGGATCCATTCCTGTAGAATGTCAAAGAGCTCTAAGAGAGTACCAAAGTACTTGAAGCAAACTCCGTGATATGTTACTAAAAGACTAGAAAGGACCAACAGGGAGAAGAACATGTGGAATCCGCAAAACATACATCCAGACCCGTTCTCTAGACCAAGAAGGGCCCTTGACAACAATCCTTTTTGAGGAGCCCAAAAAACCTCGAAAAGGCTAGGGTAAGGAAAGGCTTCAAACATCCATCGATCTAGCGGTGCCTTTTTTAAAGGTACCGGTACCTTTTTTAATAGCAAAGCCAAAGAGCAACCCTGGTCCCAGGCCTAAAACCCTTGACACGCTCCCAGATGAGATCTCCAACGGAACTCAAGGTCGGATCGATCTCGAAGACTTTCAGGGCCATGGCAAGCGCTCGCCCGCCATTCTCCACATGAGGCTTCACGGCTGGGGCGGTTGGCCCTGCTCGCCGGACGTTTTCTTTTGGGGTGGGGGGGTTAAATATCTATGCGCATAATATACATATGTATATATATATATATATGTGTGTGTGTGTACATATGTATATATATATACATATATACATGTATATATATATATATGTTGATTTCTTCGTATGATGATGTCTTTGGTTATAATATACCCCACGACCTCATTGTCTCCTTTTAGTCCCTTGCAATATTCTGGCGCTGTGGCACTGTCCCACGGGGCGCCATCGACAAAAATGAGTTGCTGCCTCGCACCTCGCGAAGCGCCAAAAATTCGGATTCGGACGACCGTGCATGAAACATGTGATTTTGTGCGCGCACACCGTGAGTGAATAGCTGTCGTCGGTACCCGTCGGCTTGAGCCAGAAAACATCCAGGCGACTCTTTTGGACTCGGATGGGACTACCAAGGAGTCCAAGCGCGCGCCCCCAAAGATATAGCTTGGCTTGCAACCCAAGGAATGAAAATGGATCTTGGGTCTTTCATGAGGGCAAAGCGCTTGCAGGGTCAGCACCTCTGCCAAGCCCAGCCTGCATCCGCGGAGCAGGTGCTGGCACCTGCAAGATTTGCGGACCAACAAAGCTACGAGAACAAGAGCAAAGGGGCACTGCAGAAAAAAAGGGGCAACAACCCGACTCACCCGACTCACCCGACTCACCAGTCTCACCCCTCTTGTACGAGAGAAGCTGCTCCCCGCCCAGGGCGAACCCTTTTTTCTCCATCTGCCAAGGACTGCGCCGTCCCGTGCAGACCTAAGGAACTGTGCCCTGAATGAAAATCTGTTCCGGCTGCCCTTTGAAAACTGCCGACAGCGCCTGCGATTCATCGGTCAAGCCAAGGTCATGTCGTTCAACCTCTCCTTGGAGAAACCTTCATCATGGTGCTTGCGTTTGTGGCCAGCAGAACACTTGTAATTTGCCCAAATGCGCAAGAGTGATCTCTGCCGAAACCAGGCATACTGTGATGAAACGCGCGAGATATGTCTAGTGGCAGCATGGCCAGCTCTGCCATAGCCGGCCAAACTTCCACAGAAACTGATTTGCCGCACCCGCAACAACTTCGATCTGGGGTGTCTCAAATGATGACTCCCCCTTTCGGTTGCCTTCCAGGGAAGCCGCAAAGAATGCAAACTCATTTTGGAGGACCCGATTTTGAGACAATCCCAGCTGGCCCTAACCTCCCTGTGTGGCCAGCTGCGGATGCAGAAACGAGCGAGGGTGTCTCAGGCTTCTTAGGCAGCTGGCCGGGAAAATAACAGGAGGGCCAAGCGATGTGAATTGAGAGAGAGAGAGAGAGAACTTGGCGCGGGTAAGGTGCTTTTGCCAACCCTCCCCATGAAACCTAGGGATTCCCGCTTAGGTTCCAGGTGAGAGGGCGCGTGCCTCATGTTCATTCTGCGTCGATGCAGCTGATCAGCCTTTGCCGGACAGCGCATCAGCTTTGCATCAAGCTCATCGGCTTGGAAACGGTGAGGTGCCACGAAGAATTCCTTCGGAACCAATCCCGGCAAGCACGTGGGCATGAGTTTGAATTGGGAGCCTCGTTTTTTGGTGGACATCATCATTCATAACATCCAACCATTCTGAAGGGTTCCAACCATTCAAATTCATGGCCACATGGTTGCCACACCTGGAAAAAAGAAGCCGCCCTCCGGGTCAGCTGGAGCACTGACTCTGAGTCGCCCGGTGACGCGGTCACAAAGTCCTGTGCTTTGCGATGCCGCTGTCCCGGTGACGATTCAGAGCCGAATCCGCACTTTGCCTCGGATGCTTCTGGCAGACTGCTGGAGCATCGGAAAACCCAAAACCGGCCAACAACCAAACTTCACAAAGAAACATGCGATCCCACCTGGGTTGTTGCTAAAACGAGGCCAGCTCCCTTCCTCCCCCTTTTGTCGCAACTCAAGTGAGCAGCGCCATGAACCCATTGAACGTTGGTTCCACCGATGGTTCCAAATGGTTGTTTGGCAGCCTTTACTACCGTCCCCATGAACCTGGGTACATTAGTAGAACCACCTGCCCAATCAAAGCAAGTCACCATCGTTGGAAGCGAGGGCAGCTGGAGCGGCCGGCTTCTTGCCAAAGCACGCCTCGGATGTGGTGTGGGCCAGCGGTCAAACATCCCCACCACTTTCCGAAGAAGAGGGGTTGACACTGGGTACACTCGCCAAATTACTCTGAGAAAAACGAGGAGGGGGGGGGGGGAGGGGGTGACTCACCAAAATCCTTGTCAGAGGGGAAGCGTCATTCACATAAACGGTGCCTCATAGGTGCCGTGTTGCTTCTCATGTGCATGTGCATGTTTTTCGGGTGAGTCACTCAATATCATGCACAAGGGAATCCTTCAAACCGGCGGGTAAACGAGCAAACATGACGTTCATATAGGTGCATCCCCAGCTGGTGCCAAGGCGCAAAAAGGCAGCTGCAAACCGCTGTCCTGAGACTCAAGGACTGGCCACGTGTCCCTCCAGTTTTGTGGGAGCCCTTGGATGTTGAACTGGACACCAAAAAGGGCACCAGCCCCATGTTCCGCGGAAAAGGAACGCAGCTACGAGGGTTTATCGGCCGGCGCGCGCTTGCGCGTCATTAGATCATCAGCACCCACTTGAGGCAAGCGGCTCTTCGTCCAAAGACCTCAAGAACTTCTCTTGGGCCGGCGTCTGCAGGCATGCCGGGCGCACCAGCCGGGCCCAGCCGAAGAAGGCTCCCGCAGTGAGACCTGGCAGCATCGTTCCCTTGAAAGCTAATCAGGCGAAGGAAAAATGGGCACGCGCTACCCTCAAACCACCTGGCCCCCAAGAGAAAGCGGAAGAAACAACAATCCGCCATGAAGATTCAATACCCCACTCCCCCTTGAGAATAGTGGTGCGGGAAACCATCTCTAATATCCACAAAAACTCCCCCGAGCTCGTGCCATGATGTTGTCCAAATCGTACCCCCAGTGAACATCCCAATCCCCGCTTCTAGAATGGGTGGTGCACCTACACCATGGTACCATTGGTTTTGACCCACGGCCATTTTGTGCTGTTGAAATATTACTTGGTTTTATCAGCCCCCAAATGGTTGGAGGCGTTCCCGGGGTCAGAGTGTCCGATGGTCTCGTTGCTAAGTACAGAGTTGAAACAATCTACCAGCACAATTTGAATTGGGCATCTGTTGGAATGTGTCGCATGGCGGGTATTCCACTGCATCTGGCTCTGGCGTTGGTGCTGCGCACGGCTGTCACCCCAGTCTTGCAAAGGAAGCTGGGAGCGCGTGAGTTGAATGGCCCGAGAAGCTGACTGGGTCAAGGATTCCTCATCGGCATCCTCAAGTCGAGCCCAGTTTCCCGGTCCAAATGATCCTGCAAGACATCAAGTGCCCAAATGAACGAACAGCCCCAAACAGCTCATCTCCTTTTGGGGGGACCGCATATTGTTGGGGTACGACCAGTACCATGCTTGCAGAAAAGTAAGCACATCCCAGGGCGGCGAGGCAGCCTCAAAAAACGCCACCCTCAAAAAACACCCAGTCCCCAACATCTAAGGGGGGCAGCAGAGGTCCATCCAGCCCCTCGAAGGCATGATCATGGGTATCCCCCAACCCAAACAACTCATGAAGGGCGACCATGTGGAATTCTCAAACTACTGGAGCGGTTGCTTTTAAGGCAAACCACAGGGAAACTGCCCATGTAGAGGATTTCTTGAGAACAGCCATTTGGCTGTGGCTCAAACAAAAATACCCAAGATGGCGTGGTACATGGAAACGACTAAAACCTGCGGTTGGTTTTAGCCTCCCACCAACTAACATAGAAGTGCACAGACCCCTGTAGAAAGACGACCTTCCTCTTGGAAACGGGCTTTGTGCACGTCCATCTTAGTTGGTGGGAGGGATTTTGAGCCCCGCCGCAAAGCGCGCGCGCGCTTCAAGGTCCGACGCCAGGTGCCAAGGGCCTGGGCAAAACGCCAGCGCCAGCGCCGCCAGCAGAGACATGGACCGGCCCAGCCCGGACTTGCAGTGCACCACCACCTAAGTCTCAGAACTTGGCAACGGGTTCCCCCCCAACGCCCCCCCAAAGAACCCCGCCAAAGATTTTTCCCTTCCTGGTCCAAAGCCCGTAAGAGATTGAGGAGGAAATTGAGGGCCTTGACCCCTAGTTCTGCAAGAAAGTTGAAGTTCCCTTTCTCGTCCTCCCCTAACAATGTGAATATTTCTTCGGGACCTACCAAGCTTCCTCCCAAAACCAGCTCGAATTTTGGTAATTCAGCCCCTCAAGAGAGGGGTGCTCTATCATACCCAAAGGAGTGTCGCAAGTCTTAACGCAACCCCATACCCTCTCCGCTCGCCAGATGTTCAATGGCCAAGAATGGGCGCATATCACAGCAAGAACAGGAAATCTGAAGCCTTCTGTGACATTCCCAACGGTCTGTAACGGAAAGGGACAACATGAAAAAAATCCACAAAGATCCGAGTCCGTAGGCGAAACCCATGAAGGTCCAAAGTACAACCTGGGATCTATGCCCCTCTTACACGAGACAAAGCAAGTCATTTGCACCCAACACCCAGGAGCAGGAACGGAACCATCGCACTCTACCATGCCTAACCAATGATGTGGGGGGGCAATGGGGCGCTTCAGCTCCCTTGACAACAGGATATTGAGGCATCCCCGGCCCCTTGGCTCCGCCGATGTCCAGCGTTACACGCCAAGGTGCAGAGCAGTTGCGCACCGTGTCAGATGTTCGGCTCTCCTACAGGCATTGCCAGGGCAGGGAGATGATCCGGGTTTCAGGCCAAAGCAGTCGCCAGTCCGAGACTCAGGCTACAAGGAACCTTCATGGGTGAGCTCGTCTCAACCGCAGAACTTCCTACGTCTTTCGGGCTGGACGCGGCGAGTGGGAACTGTCATTCCAACCTGTCAACATCAGCCCACTAGGGCACTCTCCCAAAGAACTTGGTTGCAAAAGAATAGGCTTGGCCCTCCTCCCAAGGGTGCCTGTCAGATGCTCATCAAGGTTCATAAAACTAGGCCCCACTACAACCCGCGCAGACCAGGTCGCAGAACCACAAACTCAACTTGGAGCTGCTCACTCCACGCTTCACTCAGCTCTGTCTTTTTTCCCCCTCTTCCCATAGGTTCCTTGGAATGTCCCCGGGCCTAGCGCCCCTTTCCATCGGCTTCCCTCCCCCCAAAAACCCCGCGACCACGAGCGACCCAAGCCCCGCGCGCCCCGCGAGCCCCGCGCGCCTCGCCGGTCTCCATCAGCAGCTTCTCCACCGCCGCGATGAGCTGCGTCACCAGCCGCGCCGGCGGCGCCGAGCCTCGGGGTTTCTCAGGCCGGAGCGCCGGCGCAGGATCCAAAGAGGCGGAGCGGCCATGGGGGACGGAGGGAGGTCCTGGGCTTAAGGTTTTACGGACTCCCTCCAAAAGGGCTTGAAGTTGTAGGGTTTTGTGGTCGAAGTAAGGGTTGCTCTACTCGAGTCCTGTCCACACGTCCCCTTCGCCATTCCAAAGTATGGATTGCTTGCGAGTCCTCGAAATGAGCCAAACCAAAATATCCCCAGCTTGGTCTCTGAAAATAGGGCGCCCCTTTTCCGACCATTTCATTAGAGAAACCAAAAGGGACGGAAAAATCAGGTCCCACAATTCTTTTCAGAAACACACAATGGCTTCCATCCCCGGTGCCCGTGGATTTCGAATTCAAGGCCAAGGTGCCATCCTCGAATGGCAAGTCCAGCTGATCGATCCCCCTCCTGCATGGCACTAGAGCGGTCAACCCATACGGCTTGGTTTGAGGGAAGCCTCCAAAAAAACACGCGGGGCGTTCCTTTGGTGTCCCGAAAAAGAGAACTGCAAAGAGGGCGCCGCGCCTCAACAAAAAGAAACACACCCATCTGCGGCTCCGGCATGGAGATTGCAAACAATTGGTGTTAGTCCCCTCATTTTGTGACATTCAGTGAGTACTCCCATGTCCCTCCCGAATGGACAATAGACTACTGACATCTTCACCTACCGAAAACATGTTTTCGCTCGCTTCTCAGGCGGCCTGTCGAAGAAGTCGCCGTAGCTGCCTCCTTCCGGCAGGCCTGGCGTCTTAAGCTTGAGCAGTGAAACATCTCACTGAAGCCGGCCCTCACGCATATCTGCAAATGCCGGAATACATGCCCTGGGTATGTAACCCTTTTTTGTGGCTTTGTTTAAAGAGAAACCAAAGGCAAAACCACCCATTCTGCGGCTGATTTGGATCCTAAAAAGAAAAAATCACCCCGCCAACCTGAGCTTTAAGCAGTACTCTCCCGCCTTTTTCTGTGCCAAAGTTTGCTCGTGTCAGCAAGGAACAGCCTTAGCTTCAAGACTGTGAAGCCACGCCATGCGGCCCACCCATGGTAGCGGAACACCATCCCTTCCTGTATCAAACTGGGCCGTCCCCCCATGGTACTTTGTCACTTAAAACAAAGAAGAAGAAAAAATATTCCTTGGTATCACAGAAAGTGGCGGCCAAAAAAACAACGCGTTTCCTTCACCTTGTGCTAAAACCACCACTGGCCCCAAAACCAACCGGGGCTGCAAAAGATCGCAAGTCGCCACCTCTGCATCCAGACATCATCTGGTAGTGTCGCTTTTTGGAGTTCTTTTTGGGCCGTTCAAAGGGCAACCTAGAGAGAACCACTCCCTCTTGGGGGTCCATATCCTATTTTGCGAATGCCGTTAAGCTTGGCAAAAATAGGCTTGCAAATCCGTGCCCACGACGGATGGGAGTCCTTTTGGTTCCCCTCAAAATAAATATATCTAAGTTATTTGAGGGATACCCACCGAAGAAAGAAAGAAAAAAAGACACGCCCCACATCTCCACGTCGGCGTCTTCATTCGCCGCGGCCCGGGAGCTCTGTTTCTGCAGGAACTGGGCAAAGGCCGGCAGGTCCGCCGGACGCTTCAAGCCATCGGCGCAGTGGACCTGGGCTCCAGCCGTCAGAACTCGGGGATGCCTTGCTGTAGATCCCCCGGCGAAAAGCGAAAACCCTTTGCTGGTTCAAAGGAAACATGAGGGGAATCCAAAAAGTTAAAGTGTCAAGATCCAACCCAATAGCAGTAGAGATTCAGATCCACCAAGCACTTGTGAGGGTTGATTAAAAAAAAACTCACTGCCACTTGAAGACACTACGCTTTGACAAGTGCTAGGTCCTCCAGTAGAGAGGTTAGAAAAAAAATACCCTTTTTTCTGTAATCTATTTTAGTAGGGGAACCCTCCCCAAAAAAAGGGTAAAAGGGCACTACTGGGGGACCTAGAGTGTGCCTTGATTGCTACCCAAATAGTAACAGTTTGGCATTTACATGCACTGATGATACGTACAGCTCCACTTGCAAGGCCCCTTACCAAGCCAACAACCAAACTGACAGAAGATGCCCAAGTCTGCAAAAGGGTTGGCTTTTGGCTCCATCGAGATGGTTCTAAATGTTAACAAAGCCCGCGCTCTGACCCCTGTAAAACCCGTGGAAATCATAGAACCATATGGCCAGGGTGTTGGGCGCTCACGCTTGCGCTCTCCTTTGGAACCCCCCACCTTGGTGGGGAGGACGTGCTTGCCAGAAGACATAGGCAGCGTCAACTGTCTGGAGAACCAGTCCGCGCGAGCCCGCCACACTTGCCTGGGAGTTTGCGCGGGCATGCCATCAGACACGGTGTGGATGTGAGTAGAGCTCTTGTAGAGCCGGATCATGCCGGTCATGTGCTCCTGCTTCCCATGCTTCACAACCTCGGCAGCTTCGGAAAGAGTCAAACTGTTTGCCAAGTGGTAAACAAGGTTCCCAAAAAGCTAAAGGGCCATCAAGGATGCGACCAAAAAACCAGCGATAGCCAAGCAACCGAATCCGAGACTGCTTTCGAGACAGAAGTCGTCGAAGCGCCCGTGGATGGTGTCGACTCCGTGCGGTTGGCCTTGACTACGTCTTGTGCTTCTGCTTCTGGACGACTCTGCGGATCCTGCACCGTAGCCAAATCCGGCAAAAGCTGGAAGAGACTGCCGAAGCATTTTTCCTTGATCGTTTCCACTACCCGCAAATATCAGGGGAAAAGAGAAGGCACTGTATATGTATAGTGGCTACGTGGTGAACATTTGAGGGTTCTCGAAGTTCCTCTTGGGGGTGGCGGGAAACCCGCCAAAGCATCTTCCGCTCGCGCGGTGAGGTTTCAAACGTATGGAAGCCATTAGGCTGCCCGACTGCCACGGCCAGCGGCTCTGGAAACCTTTCCAAACCTTCCCAAGATGTGACGCTCCGGCTTCGACAGGCGAGTTGGGCATGTGGCAAAATGGCGGACCGTGGACCCCAAAAAAGTGGTGTCGTTTTTTCCTCGCTTGTGAGGGGGTGTAGATATCTCGAGTGGATCATTCGGCCAGGAGCTTGCAGAACTTGTTTGGGGGGCTGTTTGGGGGGCTCTCAAAACAGGGATCGGTGCCCAGTGGTTGGAGTTCCTGTTGCTTCCCGTCAACGCCGCAAGGCAACAACTGCATCAGGATATCAACAGATTGGCGCGGCGATTCCAAAATTGTAAGGCCCGGATCACAACAGGAAAACAAACAATTATACCAGCATAGACCCCAGATAGCAAGAATGCGTTGTCAGCCAACAAACAAAAGGCACCCATTCCAATACACCCGGCATTGCAGCAGCACGTTGAGTCTCGTCCTGGCAGCACTCGGCCCTTCACCTTGCAACAGCACCCTCCAGCAGCGCCCGCAACATCCTGCAGGAGGACCCTGCAACACTGAGACTTGGCCTGCAGAAGCTACCTGCAACAGCGCCCTCCAACAGTCCCGGCCTGCAGCAGCCCAGCAGCACCCTGCGCAACTCCGAGCCTCGGCCTGCCGCAGCTACCTCCAACAGCACCCTGCGACAGCACCCAGCACCCTGCACAACAGCACCCTGCGGCAGCAGCACCCTGCAACAGCACCTGGCCGGAATTCAGAGTCTCACCCACCCCTGCTTTGCTTGAAGTTAGAACCCCTACAGCTTTCAGCTATCTGGGAAAAAACGAGCCTTTGACAGCCCGGCGATCCTGCACGGTAGTAACAGGATCGGCTGCAATCCAGAACCCAATGGTGGCACATTGCTCGACCGAGTCGTTCTCCAGCGCCACGGAAAACACCTTCCAACAGAACTTGCATCAGCATCGGGTGAGTGTCGAATGGACATCCCAAAGAACAAAAGCCGAGAAGCTTGGAGTATGACTTTCGACCGGGGACCCTTTGGGCATCGGAAATACTTGGGAGACGTCTGCACACACCAGCCGGTCGTGAGAAAGTATTCCCAAACAAAAATCCAGCAGTCAACACGTCAAGCAGCTGGTACCGCGTCGTAGGCAGCGGCGACCTGGCGCCTCTCCTCGGATTCCAAAACTCATGGACCTGCACCACTTTGAAACCATGGGAAACCATTGTTGGTTGGTATTTGCGGGGGAATCATCATAAACCAAGGTTTCTTAGGTGGTGCGATATGGATTTCGTCACCATCCACAGTATCTGAGGGGGAGCCACGGGGTGGATGCCCCTACCGATTTGCCACACGCAAGACCAGCTGAGCCATGACCAAAGCCTGGGTATTCAAATTGGGCTTCCTCTACACGGGTTTTTGCCTGCAGCTCAACTGGGAAGGGCTGGGGTTTTCTTTTATTTTCCCTGGCCTCAAGGGCCACCAATACAGACCTGCGCGGCATCGGCTGGGTTCCATTGGCCTACAACGAGGGCAGAGTAAAGTGACGCTCGGCAAAGTGTCGAGCGAGTGGGTGTGTCCTTTTTCAGGATTTGGCACCCCTCAAAACTTGGGCTTTCCTCTTGGTTTCCCTGTACTGTTCAAAAGAAGGTACTAGCACCAACTCCAAAAAGACAGACCCAAATAGAAATCCCGCCCGAAGCTCCGCATCTCCGAGTCGCAGCATCCAGACTCCGGTCTAACCATCTCCGCTTGAGGGCGAACTCAAGGCCAAAAAGGCCTGGGGTCCCATCGGAAGTTGGGAGGCTGGCACTGGCTGCCCCGAAATCCCTTTTCTGTTGGTGCCCCTCCAAAGGAAACCCACCATTTTGGGGTTGCCCTAAAAAGACAAACCCAACTGGGTTTTAAAGGGAAACCAAGAAGAAAACCACCGTTTGCGGGGGATTGTCCCCTACAAAAGACACACCCAAATGGCGTCAACTGCCGTTAAACATGTCCAAACAGTTTGTTTGCCGCCAACGTGATCCAAACCCAGAAAGTGACTGAAGTCCAACGCAGGGCATGCCCCAAACTGCGGCGGAATGTCAGAGACCGCGGCCATTGCCAAATTGCTGAGTCAGAGGTTCAATTTCTAGTGATTGAAAGTGAAAAAACATGAAGGAATTAGCGGAGACTGGCCTCCACTTGGGTTCTGAGACCCTTCTAATCGAAGGGCTGCTGATCGAAGGGTTCGGATTGAACCACTCTGGTGGGTAGGGGGGCCAACTGACTAGCCTGAAGAGGACGATCCCATCGGCTTCGGACTTGGTGAATTGTCACGCTGAGAGCACTTCACTGCCATTCATCTGGGACTGCTGGTACCACAAAGGTTCTAAACATCACCTTGTAAGAACACCAGCCATGGATCAGCCAAGCATCAGTCTCTCAGAAGCAAGGACTCCTCCGTGAACTTGGCTTTCTCCTCGCACAACTCTCAACCGCTGAGCACACTTACCAATCGGAAGACGGACACATCTACGCTGTGGAATATGGTCATTGCTATACGACATCGCAAGTCGTGTGCACACGGGTTTGTCTTGCAGCTGGCATGTTTGTGTCTAGAGAAAGAACCCAGAAAGAGCTCCTTGTTTTCACGCATACCTGTTGACCCGTCAGAAATCAAAGTGGCCAAACTTGGACTCCAAGATCTACTTGCTCTGGGGTGAGGCACCCACGCAACGTAGAGCCGTTGGCCCAAAAGGCTGCTTGGAACACGGGGTTGCATGTGAATCTCCCTCATCAAACGCACCAAACTACCGAACAATCCAATCTATGTACCAAGATTGCCGTTTTGACACCAATGCCAATGGTCGCCTTCTGAGGTCCCTCAAAACTCCATCCCAAAATGCAGTCCCATGCGGAACCAACGAACAGAGTTCTGGTTCTGGAACCCTCCAAAATGGCTTCCATGTGGCTTCCATGTGGCTTCCTTTTGAACCCTTCTCTACAAAAAAAATGACTCCGGTCGTCTTCTTTTCGACAAAATCTGAGCACCACTCTCACCCCCAAAAAACAAAAAGCAAAGCTTGGTCGATTGCCCTCCAATGGTTGGCTTCCCCCCCCCAGCCCCCCACCCCCTCACCCCCCCCACCCCCCGCCCCCCACTCTCCACCCCCCAACAAAAAACAACAAGAATCCTGGAAGGGCGTGGGGAACCGCATCTCCGCAGCTGGAATGGCGCCGCCGGCGCTCGGGTCCAGCAGCCTCAGCACCTTGGACTGTGGGTTCCCCAGGCGTTGCCTAGGGACGTCAGTTCTTAGGCTCACGTTGGAAGGGGCGCAAAAAACTCAATTCTTAGCAGTGAAGTGGTTGGATTTCAACCACCAAACCGCAATAAGCAAACATGTGAAATGTTTCCCAACAACAACCATCAGCTTACCCCATTGGCACCCATTGTGCTGTGCAAAATCCGTTTCCACCAAGGTTGCAATGATGTCTCGTGTGTCCCGTCATGGTTTTAAGCATGGGCTTGCCAGGAGTTCCTATTCCCCATGATGGTTGCCTATGTTCAGGAACTTGCTCAGGTGTGATCTAGACAACAAATGTGAAAAACGCATCTCCTGGGCAAGAAATGTGACGGCACTTCTGTTTCTGTCTCCACATGACATGGGACATGGACCCCCCGATTCTCCTTGCAAAGGATGCTTCTTTACTCACCAAGGGAAGCCCTGGGAAGTGTATAAAAAAAGCCCCCTACATGGATGTCGAATCTTGTAGATGGGGATCCGCCTGGGTGTGACATGGCCATGAATTTCAAGATGGAGACGCAAATCCCCATACAGCTATGAATATTAGTAGGGAACCCCCTAAATGATGCCCACCAAAGGCTCCCGAATTAAAATTGAGAGTCATGTAAATGATGATGTCCACCGGCCTCCTAATTCAAATTCACACCCACATCAACGCGGCACCTTGGCCGCCGGATAGTTCCTCTCAAGGATCAGAAAGCCCCCAAGCAGCAGCAGGGAGTTGGCAACCTCGGCCAGTGTGGGGCTCAACCGTTCAAAACAGTTCTCAAAATAGTGGTGCCCAAAAAATGGCTGGCTTCCTTTTGGTTTCCCCTTTAAACCCATCCAAACAGGAAACCACTATTCCGAGAAACACCCATTTTGGGCGTGCTTTGGGAGTATCGGTACCCTTTTCAGGTTGGTTTGAACGGAAGCCAACCACAAACTGCACATTTCTTGGGCCTGCGGCCTCCCTCCGGCATACCCATTGATGAGAACCAGGGATTAATCAAGCCCTGGCTGCAGGGATTCCCGCTAAAACGGGGACACTTTCCGATCAACATCAACCCCCCAGATGTGGTGTGCGTCTTGAAATAGGGGACCCGGAAACATCCGCGTGGTGTTCCCTGTAGTTCCCCTCCAGCACCGACCCCACCGCCGAAACCGAAACGGAACCAAACGAGGCCAGCGGCCGCCCCAGGGCGCCGGGAGCAGCAAAGGCATACCGGACCGCTGGCCTCACAGAAAACCCACCATGGGCCAGTTGAACTCGCGCCGATTTCTTTTGAGGCTGCCATTTGTTTACTCTTGTTTATCCAATTTGTTGTTGTTGAGTTGTATTGCTTTCTTCCTTTTTGTGTGTTTTTTTTGGTGGGGGGGGGGGGGGTGGATTTAAAGAAGGAAACATGGAGGGAGATGTTGAGGCTTTGCGGCTCTGAGTGTGTAGAAAAATGTTTGAGGACACAAACAAATTCAAGCATTCATGGATCTCGCCACATAAGGGGGCTAATTATGTACACACGCATGATCTTATGACTTATGACAAAGTTGGTTGGAAAGTACCCCACAATCCCCACTCTGAAGTTCAGGCCCTGTAGCATGCTTGGTTACCATGTTGGGCTCCTCTCATCAGGGGGAAAGAGCCTTCTGTGACGAGTATATGAGCGATACTGGTGGCAGCTCAAATGGCATTCTCTTAGGTTCTTACATCACAACAGCCACAGTTGGGTGCGTGTTTTGGGGAACCCAAAAAGGAGATCCGCCTTGATAGGGGTCCCTCTTTTCGCACAGACCCAAATGGACGAGCTCGACCCTCTCGCTTTGCCTTCTGGATCACCGTCCACAGGTGGGAGCAGAAGTCGAGGATGGTGTCCTTGGAAAGGGCTTGTCCCCCAGGTTTCGGTGGGAAAGTTGGGGTGTCCCTTCTCGTCCCCAAACCAAAAGAACAACAATATGGGTGTGGGTCAAAATTAAACCACTAGGGGACCGCAGGATTTAGTCCATGTTTCCATTTACTAAGGCTCCATTTTGGGTACCAATTTTTGACCCACGGCCATATTGTCAGGTGCTGGTGGACAAGATAAATTGAGGCAGACTCTTCCTCCGAATGAGCCTAGTTGCGTCCTTCCTCCATTGGTGAATCATCTCTAGGGGGAGGAACCCTCTTAAGTCAAGATTCTGCTGGTTGGTTCATGGATTCACGGACATGCGAAAACGGGCCCACAAACTGTGGATGGCTTCCAATGGAATGCAAGGAAACCACCCATTTTGGGGGATCCCATGTCCGAGTTTGGACATGTCCAGCTACCCCCTGCCCACCCTGAAAAACACACGCTCTGCCAGCAGGTTGCAGAACGGACAACTGTCCAATCCCTAGCTGAAAAAACACCGGCTCAGCGGCTCAGCCAAGATCAAACCAACGTGCAGCCAGCGGAACCCTGGAGTTGTCAGACAAAACTGATTGGGCACCTACGCGTTCAGCCTTCGGAGTAATGCAGTAGATTACTCTTCCTCCCACTTACAGAAGGCACCTGTGGGAGAGTACCCGAAAGATCAATTTCTCTAAGGGACCCTCTGTGAGTTGCCACGTTTGTGGAGGGCGGGCACACACCAAGAAAAGAGAGAAAAAAACTACGGCACTGTGAGACCTGTGGACAAAACCCACACCAGGCACAAGGTTGGTGGTTTCTCCACCAAGGCCATGCTTTGACTAGGCTTGCCAAGCATATCATATCCAGGCCGCACCGCCACATTCATATCGGGCTTCCTTCCCGGCTGGTGCGATCAGGTGTGGATTTGCTCAAATCCAAGGCCTTCCGCCGAGACGCCAGGCCCAGTGGCCCGTGCAGATGCACCGCCCCCAAGAGCTGGTCCGCGAAGAAGGGCAGGGAGAGCTTCAGGTTGGCCTCGGACGTTCTCAAACGGGCACCCCTGAAGATGGCACCAGTTTACTGTTGGTTTCTTAGTGAAAGGGGGGGGGATCCTCTATTTTGGGAAACACCCACATGTTGAAAATAGGTCAGGCGTTTTTGAGAAACACCGTGAAAACTGCGTGAAAAGCAAGCAAACCGATGGCTTGAAGGATCAGAAATCCGCCACTCGTGTGTGGAGGGTCTAAACAGGGATCCTTACATTTTACACCTGAACATTGCAACTGGTAAATGGTGGTTTCCAACTTTATGTTGGTGTTGAAAAAGCAACATGTTTCAAATGGTGGCAAAATGGAGATCTTTTAAATGGACGCCCTGTACAAGAGCATCGAATTGAACTGCACCTTGCCACAATGCTCCGAGGGTCCCGAGCTTTGGGACCAAAGGTTTCGCCTTCCAGGCTAGGTACCTCCATAGAGCCGCACCCAATGGGGGCCGCACCCCGTCAGGAGATAGTCTTACAAGATGGCGCAGCAAAAAAAACGGAGATATGATATGACCTTAAGGGTACGCTTGCACAAAAGTGATCACAAAAAGTGTCCAAGAAAAAGGCATCCCCTTGTTGAACAACCATCAAAACCTGGGCGCCACCTTGGGGAATCCTCTACCAACACCACCATCCCAGCACAAGAAAGGGCCCCCTCCACCAAATTTCTCCAAAGCCCCATCCAATGCAATGTCCTTCCAAAACCCCTCCCAAAAACCAACACCCAATTCACCCCAGTTCAAACCCCAAACTCTTGCCTCCATGGCAGAAATCTTGTGCATCCAAGGCACCGCCACGTCCAGCTGCTCCAGGCATAGAACCTGTGGTCAACTTGGCCAGACCCATCCCCCCCCTGGCAACAAGTTGATGGCTTGTAAACGACACGGTGAGGTGAATGCCGAACCGCCATCGCGAATGCGGCAAAAGAAAGGGGAAGGGGAAAGGGCCCCAAGCGCTGCTGCGTTGAAGAGTGCAAATAGAAAAAGCGCCATCAAATGGGGTGAAAGACTAAGTTGAGAGGAAGGTAGAAAAGGCTCAAGCAACCCTACCTGGGTCGGGAAGCAGAGAGTAAGGTCCTAGGTGATCTAACATAAAACCACAGTTATCATCAGTTATATTATTATTTGCTCGGACTATGTTATCCATTATAGGTATATGTTTACAACTGTCTTGGATGTGCATATTTTACATATACATGTTTGAAATACACTCAAGTTCAAGCAAGAAAGGAGCAAGTCTGTAACAGAGAAATATTTATTTGGTGTGCATTGTTGATTCAAGTTATTTTAGGCTGTCATTTGTTCCTTTTGTAATTGTTAAATTGCAAATTGTTGTTTATATACAAATATCGTTATAAGCATTGTAAAATGTATGCTTCGTTTTTAGTGTTGCTCCTTCTTTACGGGGCATTCGTTCGTGGTACTGTTTTCAATTTACAAAAAAAATGATTAAAATAATACATGTCCCCACCTCGGGGAAAAAAAAGAAGAAAAAAAAGACAGAAGATGGGGGTGCGCTGCTGCAACGAAGATCCTGATCAGAAAGCCTCAAAGACTGCCTGGGGAAAGAAAGCACCAGGTAGCGCATCGTGGCTCAGACATACTGACAAATTTCCGGATCGTGATCTAGTAGCTCAGAATCCTGAATCTCAAGAGCTGCTTAAAAACCAGGAGTGCACAAAGGAGTCCCTGCAAACAAAACCCAGGCAAACTCTTTTCGCGTCGGAACTGGCCGGCATGACAGCTTCACCGAGAAACACTACATGTGGCACCGCATGCCAAATAACCTCCACGCAGGAAACCAACGCACGATAATCCCCTTGAAGGTATTAACGATACCTTCCCGTGATCGGCTGAAGCCTCAAGAAGGGATGCGTTCCATGGCGTCCTATGAGGAAAGGGGAACGGTCATACTCAGGTTTGCTAAGGCGGCGTTGCCGCGTCAGTTTTGCCGCACCTTTTGCAACTCTTTTCCCTTCTTACCCCTTGTGCCGTTTTAGGGCGCCGTCATGTTTGCCGCCTAACCAACGGCAAGTTGCCAGCGGTTGGCTCAGGGTCTGCCAAGGAGCCCCGAGACGCTGCACCCGAGACCCGCACGCCTCCTCGCAGTGTGCAACGCCACACTCGGAGGCCACTTTCTGGGCGTGGCTGTGGCTGCCGTCCCCGCCTTCGCACACACTGCAAACAAGCACGCGCTCGGCCTGCAACAGGTCTCAATTCTAGGGGAGCCAAAGGATAACCATCCAACCCCCCCCATACATGATCAATATATAGCAAGGCTTCCAGTTTGGGTAAAGTGAGAACTGGTCTTTGCTCCCCTGGTGTGTCCATGTCCTTGGATGGTCACGGCAAGTGGCGCATATTCCCAAATCGGTTCTGCAACTGGGATGTATCATTTCTCCTACGCATTCACCACTTGGACTTCTTACCGGATGTGAAACACGTGGGAAAGCGGAAAGCCAACCCTTGGAGTCCCACATCTTGGAGCAACACCCGCGACGCGCTGTCGCCAGGCTGCCTGACTTGCTTGACCCCGCCCCATCAAGAATCAGTTGGAGCACTTTGAACCCTGAACAGTGGGCCATGCCCTGTGACTAGCCGGGCCCTTTAACAAAAAAGAACCCAGCCGCAACATGATGGGTACCCTTTTTGCTTGGAAGCCAACCCGAGAACCGCAAAACCCAACCCGAAAACCAACTCGAGAGCCCGAAAAAAAAAGCCGCCGGCCCACCCCTCGCCCCGATCCCCGAGGACCCCGAGGTCCCCGCCGGCCACCCAGAGGAGGTCCTCCGCTCTTCGCCAGAGGCTCTTGGCCATGGCGCCACGACCCGTGCCCCTCTGAGGCTTCGAACCGAAGCAACCGAAGCGGGCGGTTTCGGCGGTTTCGGGTGGTAACCTCAAAAAACGGAGAGTCTCCATCCACATTGTTGGTAGTGTGATGGGCTGTCACTTCTGTCTGTCATGGTTCTTCGTCCGCTTTGCGCGGTGTGTCTGGTGAGTTAAAGCGGGACGGGTCCAATGAACAGTTTCCTTCAAGCGCCGTCCTATTTTCTAAGCGGTGTAAAGCAGGGTCTGTAGTGATGCAACAGATTACATAGCTGTAAGGACAGTAGGATCTGTCGTGATGCTAGAAACAACTATCATTGAGCTATGAGCGCTACGAGCAGGGTGAACAAATCGCCGTGCACGTGCGCAATATGTTTGTCAATGTGTGCAAAAAGTGCAGTGTGATTTCCGATTTTGAGAGGACCAAACGTATAAGAAGATAAAGACTGCAGCCGCGGAAGAAATGCGAAGGTTTTTTGCATTGGAGGCGCACTGAAGGTCAGGGGCGTGCTGTTGTTGATACACCACATGCTGCTGCCGGAGTTCATGTGAAATACCTGTTGTTCAGTGGCACCTTGTTCCCGTCTTGGATCCAATTCTTAGCTCAGCTTTTGGAATTTTCTTGTAAAATTTGCAAATAAAAGCGGTATACAGAAACAGTGCCACCAGAGGATTTTTTCCAACATGTGCTTCATTCCGTCCCGGACGCAAAATGGTCATCCTCAAGGAAGGGTCCCTTTTTGAATCTGGGTGTGTTGCCAACTTGGAAGACTGAGACAGCATCGCGCACCAAGCTCACTGGTGCCGCGGCACGAAGGCACGAAGGCACTTTCGCGGAGGTTCTGCTATAGCAGTCCATGGTCCATTTCGACATGAAGACTCACCATTTGTTCCATAAAGCGCTAGGGACTCAGCAATTAGCCCAGGTCCTTGGGAAGTGTAAATTGTGACTGTGGCAGATGGCTTCAATTTTGAAACGAAACCTGAGGACCCCTCTTGCACACCTCGTTGGTGTGTGATCATCCCGTTGTGTATGCAAGCTAACCAAACGGCACCACACAAGCACGCGATAACTCTTTCATCCGAGCAATGTGTTGGTGCCAGGGACTCATCTTCCCCTGTCAGATGTCAACGGCTGGGTGGGCCCCATGGGCCACCCACCTCAAACTCTCAAAAACTGAAGAACGGGTGTGCAGACTGATAGCGCCCGCCCCTGAGCCGGGGCCCGGGGCACCCAGGCCACAGGGGGTTCTGCCACCAGGGGAAGTGAGTCACCCACCGGCTCCGGTCACGGGAGCATGGGTGGGCCCACGCTAAGATCAAATGCATCTCCATTCAGGAGACGCGGGAGAAAAACGAACTCCTCGCAGAGTTTCTGTTTGGGGACCCTGTTCAAAGGGTCGAACCCAGAGAAATCTGGGTCAGTTCATCAGCCCACTGGTTGAATTCCCGGGGCACGTGGTTGGCCGCCAGCGAGCAGCCATGGGTGTGGAGCAGGAAGACCAGCTCCATCAGGATCGCCGCGGTGTAGGGCTTCTTGGATCCAAGGTTGAGCATCGCCATGACGTTGCCCTGATTGTCACTGCCCACCGGGAGTCGGACCCGGGAGGACAGAGGGCCTTGGTGCGTGAGGATCATGTTACAGAGGAAGAGCGTGCCCAGCATTTCCAAAGCCGCAATCCTCCGCTTGGGATCCCCATTCTTGAATGCCCAAGGATACTCCTCCACGTGGATCTGCTCGTGGAACCAGTACACCTCCTTCTTTTCCGGCTCCATTTTGTTGGAGCACCATCCTCCCACAAATGCCAGTCCTTCGTCCGAGGCGCTAGCATCGCTGCAACCCCACCAAGAGGACTTCGGCAAGTAAGGGGAGTGCTGGACGAAGGGCGTGTTGAAGAGGAACCGCAGCATGAACGCCAGCATCCTGACCACCTTGGGGGGTTTCCCCACCGTGGTGGTGGCCATCTTCCAGGCCCAAAGTGGCTGAAGCATCGACTTCGCCAGCGGACATGCAGCAGTTGCCCATTGGATGCGGCCCAGGGCCTTCTCGATGTCCTTTGAGTGCATCGCCAGCCCTTCCACCATGGTCTGCAAGACCTCCATTACCAGGATGTGTTTGTTGGCGGCCATGAGAACCTGCAAAATGTTCGGGTGGACCACGAAGCCCAGCCACGTGTTGACCTCCGCCAAATGTGTCTTCTTCCAGCTGAGCGGGGTGCCCAAGGCCAGGAGTGTGGCCAACAGCGCCACCGCCAAGTTCACTGCCCCCTCGCTGCGAAGCAGCCACAGGAAGTCATCCACAAAGACGAAGTTCCAATCCACTTGAGGGAAAAGTGCGTAAAGGACCCGGAGTAGAAGGGCTGCCAGGCGTCCCCAGTAGGATTGGGCACTGCTCCGGCGCCGGGCGCTCGCCCCGGTTCACCTGCGCTCGGATCTCCAAGGCCGTGTAGATGACTGGGTCGATGTGGTCCCGCTCGCACGTGAGTGGGTGAGTCCTGCGAGGAGACCGGTTTGTTCACATGAGCCGTGGTCTTCTGGGAAGCCGCCACGAAACCCCTCAGCCTCTTCGTGGGTGGTGTCTGTGCCTCCTCCGGTGGAGTGGCCCGCTCCGTGACGTCCGCATCTTCCATGTCCTTGTCCTCCTCCTTGGCGGGGCCAGGGGCACCCAAGCCGGAAGTCGGTGTGGCAAACGCCACACGGAGACGCTCCAGTGCACTGGAGAGGTCCTTCATCACGTCGGTAGCCGAAGCCGACGGGGGGGCCTCGGGCTCGTCCAAAACCAGGCCGGCCGCCACTGCCGCCTCGCGTGTGCGAATTTCCTGGGCCTCCTGGCTGGCCATTTCAACCTCCTCCACGGTGAGCGTCTGGTCCTCAATCAGCTCAAAGGAGGTGGCCGAGGTTGCCGAGGAAGCCATTGCTGGTTCGGGGTTAGTTCGAAAGTGTCCAAACTCAAATTTTTCACACAAATTGGGTTCAAGGAACCCAGGGCAAGCTTGAGCCAAAATGGCACATGCCATTATGGTCAAGCATTTCAAACACAGTTCATGTTTCCACATGCGTTTCAACATTAACAAATTCTTTGGCACTTGAGGTTCACGGACTGGTAAAGCGCAGGCTTAAAGGTCACGGTTTGTGTTTGGATTGTGCCAGAAGCGCGCGTGGCCTCAACGATTGGGGGGGCTTCTCCCGACAATTCCTTCACAGTCTCTTATCTAAAGTCCAGGTCCAGGAAGCGAGACCCAATATATGTCATTTGCTTCAAACTCCGCAAAGAAACCATGAAATATAAGCACGAGTCATGAGGATATTTCTCAAAACCACTTGGACAACAAACTGAATCAGCTATCAAGTAATGTATGCAATCACCGGGGGCCTTTAAGGCTGGACCGCCTTAACCCTGACGTAAGTGGAGGGCAACACGTTGAAAACATGGTTATTTGAGTCTCTTGTATTGTGGACTGGCTGTGGCGCAATGGCGCGTCCGCTCGTAAGGGCGCGGAGGTTGCAAGCTCAGCTCCTATTGGCCCTACTGACCTCCCCATGCCGCTTACCAGTGCTACGCTTTGTGAATCATAAGGATACCAAAGTGGTGATTCAAATTCCTCGGCAATTTTGTCCCTTTAAGGGGATACCTTCTCTCTTTCTCCATCTCTTTCCCTTTCTCTCTTTCTCTGTCTTTCTCTCACTCCCTCCCTCACACTTCTCCTGTCTCCCTCTGATCAAGAACTGACGCCTCGGCCAGCGGCCAGCAGCTTTGTTTCTTCGCGCGTGCTCTCTCGGGGCACTTCGAGCGACTCGCACAAATCTTCGATCTGCTGGAGAAGTCCTGGGCCGGCGCCAGGGTAGATTCCCCGAGTTCCTTCCATCCTTCCTGCCGGGAAACCACCGACGCAGGGGAAACCGCCGGCTTTGGAAAACGACTGAAAGGAATGGGGAAGCAACGAACCAACCCCTTCCATGTCTCTCCTTGCGAGCTCGACGCGCTCTGGGCCAACAGCTCCCGCAAATACGATGCTGCCTGGAATCGCTCCGATTCCAAGCGCTATGTGGCAAATCGAGAGGAAACATTAGACTTTTAATCGGGGGAGACCCTCACACGTCTTTTCGTGGACACAAATCTCCATGGTGATGTGAAGTCTTTCAAGCTGCTCTGTCGTCTGAAGTGGCACGCAGCTCTCCAAGTTTCTGCTTGATTTCATCTCCTCAGGGCGAGGCACGCCTTTGCCAAAGCAAACATCAGGAACAGCAGGAGCTCTGCTGCAGCCACTACGCGAAGATGCCAAGCTCTGGTTTGCCATTTGCAGTACAAATGGAAAAGGTTATCCAACTCGCAAACACTAAACACACACACACGCGCGCGATACTGACGCGGACACAAATACAGACACAAATCCAAGCCAACCCAACACTACACAAAAACAAACAGAAACAGACTCCCTAATCAGCTGTGGGAGTGGTGCTCAGAGTCTCCTGTTCTCTCCGCAAAAACACAAATCACTTGGTGGCGGCCAGCTTCGGGGGTTCTTGCATGTTCCATAAAAACATCACACCCACAAGCGGAGGCTGATCTCAAAATTGTCAAACTGAAAAAAAGGTGATGCGTGCCTCAAAAAACGACGACGACGTTTTAGGACCCTTGAGCAATCAAAGAAATGTGTACCAAATTCGTGTCTGAGCATCGAAGGCTTCCCCGGACGTGGGCCAAAATCTGTGTGTGCCACTGGCAGCTAGGTAGTGCTGCAAAGCGTTGTGCCAGCAGTGCCCTGGCCAATCCCATCAAAGGCCGATCGTCTCCGCCTGCACACGGAGAGCAGGCGCCAACTAAACCGGGGTCAGTGTGTTTGACGGTTTGTGGAACTGTTCAAAGTCACCAACTGGGGCTGCTTCCTTTTTACCCACCACCTGCAAAGGGGGGGGGGGACCTTGATGATGGTACACCAATCAATGGCGCCAGTAAAATGTGCATGAAGTTTCACATGAAACTCCAAACCCGCCTATTCAGACTGGGCAGGACTTTGCCCTTGGTCAATCCAGTGTATTGATTGGTTATTGATGGTAACTCATTGGTTGGCACACAAGCGCCTCTTCTGGACAAATCTCCTTTCTGGACACGTCTTGAGGCTCCACCCTTGCTTTTCAGGGCCAGAGGAACCCTATGATTCTGGAGGCTTTGGCTCTTTAAATCTCCATTCGATAGGGAGTTCAGTGTCTGTTTCTTCCTTGGCTCCTTAGCTCCATATCCAAAGCCAAGATTTGCCTGAAGGCATTTCCGGCCTGCATCTACGCCACTCGCCATGGTGTCCCCAGTCATGCTGCCTGAGTGCTTGATGTACCTCCCAGGCGAGCGCAGGGATTGCTGCAGCCGGCACATCCTAGAGACAAACCGACAAGCCCAAGTCTGAGGCCCAACCGACGGGACAACAGATGGCCGTCCTGCAGATTGCAGATTGGCATAGAACCCAAACATGTGTCCTTTCCCAAAAAGGAGATTCCTCGACAAAGAACACGTTTGCTTACATTTGTGTTTGTTTCTCAAGATGCTGGACCGCTGTTGCCATGTTTTTTTCAGGGTACCCCTTTTTTTCTGTGGCTTTACAAGGAAACCAACAGGAGATCCACCCCACTTTTAGGGTCCCCGGGGCACAGGAACGGCAGCTCCTCTGCGGGCATCGCTAGGATTCCCAGCCTGCGGATTGGCACATCCGAATTGACCCAACTGAGGGCTGCTCAAAATGGCAGACCCTGTTGGGAGGTTGACGACCATCCCTGCCAACCCAAGCAACAGGGGTCTTTCTTGACCATGGCGTTTCTCAAAGTGGATGTCGGCACCCTTTTGGGTGGCAGTTGAAGGGAAACCAAGGAAGCAACCCCCCAACTCGGGGTCGGTCCACTCAAAGAAGCACCCAATTGGGGAGTATGGGCTTGCCCTTGAAAGAAATCGCCCACTGGCTGCTCACGAGTCCGCACAATCCTTCAAAACCCAGCCACTTTCCTAGCTGCGAAAAAAATGCGCATGTCTTAGCCTTAACATGGCTTTAACCTATTTGTTCTATGCCTGCAAAACCTCAAAAAGACTTAGCCTCGAAAAATTGGGAGCTTGGGGAGGAATACGCATATATATATATATATATATATATATACACAAACTTAGCCCCGAAAACAAAACGTGGGACTCGGACGAAAAATGAAAGAAGACTATGAGAAGATGAAGGGAGGATGGACTCACTTGCCCCAAGGACCTGGAAATAGAAGGCTAGCCTTTTGTGACCTTGACGAATTATTCACCAAAACAGGCAAACCGAAAGGTCAAACGGTCGATTCGCTTTCAGCAGCACGGAAGGCCGGCGCTCGCGCGCGATTTCGACTCCGACGACTCGGACGCATGCGACGGAGCGCGGCCTGCCGGGGTGCTTGAGGCCTCGCTTCCCGCGAAGCAGGCCCATGCCCTCGTTCAGCGAGGTTTCGTCGAAGCTGCGGCCCTGGAAGCGACTCGAAGCAGGTACGACAGGACCCCTCTTTGTTTCCAAAAGGTTACGGCCTTTGCGGGTGGGAGCATCCCAAACCCAGGAAAATGAACCAAATGAGAACCCATGAGCCAAATGAACCCAGTTGATGGGAACCCATGCCTTGGTTGATTCTGGGCGAACGAAACTAGCCACAAACCTAACAAATCTCCAAGCAAGGACCCTTGTGGAACAAAACAAGACCCTGATTCGATTTCTGGGCAAACTGCTATTCAACCTAAAAGGGATCCCTCGCCTTTTTTTTCCTTGCGAGTTGATGGAAATCCGAGCAAACGTTGCGAAATCAGTGGCAACCTGAAACGAAGCCCCAAGTTGGCCTTCATCCTTTGGTAAGCTTGCGTTGCTTCCAGGTGAGCTCGCCAATAGGCAAATGCCTATGGGAATAAACCTTCTAGGTCCCTTCGACAGGGGGATTTATTGGATCGTTCCACTTGAGACGAGTCCAAGAAAGGAACCATGCCCTAAACGCCAAACGAGTCTACCGAAATCGCAGTTTCTTCCACATCGTTTTTGGTTCATGGAGGAACTGGTTGATAAGGGATGTCCCCTTTTTTACAGGGATACTTGCTTTCCATGAAGAAACCACTTCTGCTGGTCCCCAAGTTTTCTCAATCTGGGGACAGCATTAGCCCGAAATGAAGCAACACACTGTCAACGTAGAGGACATTCATTGGTGTTTGTGTGAGTTGCACTTCCAGCATGTTCTGTCATGTGCAAATACAGCCGCGATACCTACTTGCTAACAAATCAAGTTGTGAAGAAGCAAGTTCGCCCTTATTCCACCTGGCCATAGCTTACACAGGCGTGCACGACATTGGCGCTTGAGTGCAGGTCCCAAGTGAATGTCCTAGTTCTATCTGGACACATAAATAAAAATAAAAAAAAAAATAAAAAAAAAATAAAAAAAAAAAAAAAACTATAGTTCCCAAACCAGAAACAAAGAATCCTCAAGTGAGGGAGCTTCATCATTGGTGAGCTCGGTTTACCTGCCGATGAGCTCGTTGCAATGAGCAAACTCCATACACCAAAAGGTTGTTCGAGAACAGCGCCGAGCTTGCCTGAAACCAGCTCCGATTGAAGCACAGCGTATTTTCCAGCAGCAAAGGCGGACTAGATTGACCTCAAAGAATCTGACATGGCAACTGTGGTTGCTGCCCGTATGCTGGAACTGCCGAGCTCTTCTACATGTCTGGTCCGTCAAACTGACCAGCAGCAACCTGACTATTCTCGCAACGGATTCCAAAACACATCCGGGAGGCGGAACGCTTTCAACACGCAGGTCGATGTCCAGAAAAAGTAGCGCCTTTCCAGCATGACCTCAATGAGCCGCATGTTGGAAGCGCAACCAGTCCTTGACAGAAAATCTGTGAGCAGGGGGAAATATCGGTACACGCTTGCCAGCAATGCTGCCAGCAATCACAGCTTGCCTAACGAAGCCGAGTCACGCAATTGCACCGTGGATGGTTCATCAAGAATTCCACTTGCAGCCGAACCCTATCTATGGTGTAGATGTCATCATCATCCCAGGTACCTTCGTGGTTGATATAGCACAAATCCCTCTTGTTGTTTGACTAAAAGTCTGCTGTCCGGGAACCACCAAGGTACATATCAAATCCGCCGTTGTCTTGCGCGCTGCCAGATTTCGTTTCGCACCAATGGTGAGCCGCTCAGGCAAGAAGCCTAGACGCTCCATGGCAAAAGGAGGCAACACAATCTACCCAAAACACACACAACAAAACGAAAAGAAGAAAGAAGAAGGAAGGAAAGGAAAGGAAAGAAAAGGTCGCAAAGGCATGAATTAAGGAAAGAACTGCTTACATCAAGCGTCAATACTTTATGCTGTGGCGCGATGTAGATGCAAATTGTTCGACTTGTTGTGAATTGCTCTGCTCACTGTCGTCCATGATGAGAACCTGCGAGGCTCTCCAAGCTCAATATTGACATGGCGCACGGTCAACCTGTATCGGCACAATTTGACGATGGTCAATGGTAAAATTTGACAATCACGATGATTACCAATGACAATCTGTCAAGATTCAATCAATTCTCAGGCATCACGGTCAGTTTGAGCATGGGAATTGATTGGCCTCCCAAACACAAATTCTGTAAACGTGACTGTCCTCGGGCCGATGGGCTGAATGAAGCACGCAGGAAGCTTTGTTGTGAGTCAGGCTTTGGAGCGAAAACAAAGCTACCCCCACCACTTGCCAAAGTTCCCAATTCTGAAAGTCTTTGCTGACATGACATGCAAGCTACGCAGATTCAGTCCAACAACCATTCCCGCCGTTGTCTTTGGAACACTAAAGAAAGCCTCCTCTCGGTTTTTGTTTTTGAAACTAGACGCTCTCACTTTCCTCAGGATAAATGTAGGCAACCCTATTTTTTCCGGGAAGCCCCCACCCACACCCACCCACACCCACACCCACCAACTCACACCCACTCACTCACACCCACCCACTCACACCCACCCACTCACACCCACCCACCTACTACCCCTGATCTAACACGCCCACCTGCCCCACCCCCCCACCCCCTGCTGTGTTTTCTGCTTACTTGACCTTCATACAATCTCATGTTTCACGTCCATTTGGGCTCAAGGCCTTTGCTAGTTTAGTCTCTGGTCACTACAGGCAAAAGAGGAGGCCCATAGCTGCGCTTCAGAATGGAGATCAGGACGTCATATAACCAAGACACATCCTGCAAATCCTCTACATCCATCACTCCCCCAACCCACCCCAACCCACCCCAACCCACCCCAACCCACCCCAACCCACCCCAACCCACCCCACCCCACCCCACCCCCACCCACCCGCACCCCACCCCCCCATCCCCCACCTCGCCTCCAGCGGCCCCTCGTAGTCCTGGGCCTCCACCTGATGCAGTGCCTCCAGCAGCAGCTGGGGGCGATTCAAGGTCACCACCTGCACGCTCACCTCGAACCAGTGAAACTTCAAGCTCGAACCTCAAAGCGAAAAACTTCAAGCTGCGTTTCTTCGTTTCTGTTGAAAAAAGCCAGGGAAACTTACAGGGGTCTCGAACCAGGGAAACTTCAAGCTGCGTTTGAGCGTTTCTGTGTTGAAAAAAGCCAAGGGGAAAGTCCCAGGGGTCAGCGGGTTGCTAGCTATCTTGCATTGTCCGTGTCTTTGGTGCGTGTTGGTTGGTTGGATTCCTACTCCCATACTTTGCACCAGGCGTTGCTGCTAAACGTTGCTTGGGTTGGATGCCTTGGGCTCGATGCGGGAGACGCTTCCAAAATCATTTGGTTGGAGTCCCATGCTTGACCCCTGTTTCCTTGAGCTTTCCCAGAGCAAGCATGACGACCAAGTGAGTGCCCTGAATTCTAGATTGCCCCGGCCAACTGAAAGCAACATTCAACGGGCTCGTTCAGCTGGGGCATCGGCTGGTTTGGGCAGCCCGGTTCTGGCTTTGGGAAACGAGTCGGGGGGAACTACAGACCTGGCAATAGCACTCGCTGTTCGCTAAATGGCTGTGGGTCAAAAATAGGTACCCAAAATGGAACCCTGGTAAATGGAAACATGGACTAAAACCTGCGGTCCCCTGGTGGTTTAATTTTGACCCATACCCAAATAGGGAAAGCCTTTTTTACAAAGGTTCTGTCCTTTTTGGTTTCCTCGGTGTGGGCCGAACTCGAGTTTGGGTCTGCGTCACGCTGGGCATCACGCGCAACATCGAATGTTCTCGGACTGTGCTGGGTTGCTTGCCGCACCTCGCGGTAAGCAACAGTGGCCTCTGCTGGCGTTTTCACATGCCAACCACTCAGGTTGCCCAGATTACGACGGTACAGCCATTGCTGCATCTCTTCGAGCAATCCGAATTGACCATAGCGGGAAAGCTGTGGTCCCAGCCGCATTGCCATTGACGGTTTAGCCTCGATGCCGCAGCTCCTTCGGGCTGGAGCTCTTGCACAACGCCGCAAGCCAGGGCTGTCAGATGGAGACAGCGCTGGGCCGAAGGACAGCGCGTCGGCGCTCGATGCACCCACCACCAAAAGGGACCCCCCCCAAAGAAAGTCCAATCATTTTTACCCCCCCCTCTTCTGCCGGGGGATTTTTTTCTCTACAGGTTTTTTGACCCAAAGAAAATGTCACGCCCGAGTATCTCCTTCGGTGGTCGGTTTCTTTCGGGACCCCTTCTGGTTCTGTGGGCTTCGGTTCGGGCAATCGGAGGCTTCTAGGTGTCTACTTTGAGGCTGCTGGGTTTTCTTAAAGGTACAATAAAAGGGTGATACGTCCCAGCGCAAGAGTTGCCCAGGCCCTTTTGCCCGTGATCAGGTTGTGCTAAAGGTGGGGAAAGCCACTGAAAAGGTGATATGTCCCACTAAATCACAAAAAAGTTGCCCATGGTCATTGGGCCAGGAATATTGATCAACCCCCACGACCTCCGCGCCCAGCTTTCGCTGCAGCTTCTTTTCAAGTGGCCGAGGGAAACGAGCTGCACCGGCCCAGCTTTCCGGCGAGGGCTCCTCACATGGTGAGAGGCCGAGCCGCAAATGCGCGCATTGGTCCATACTGTGGATGAGCGAAAAGATGCACCACCATTCAGGAACCCCAGAATGATAATTCGATTCCCCTGTAAATACGGTTTCAAATTGCTTTGATTGCTGCTCTTAAGAGAAATCCTGAGAAATCCACGCACAGGAAATTGATGCAAACCGCTAACCCTTGTAGAAGGGTTGCTTGGCATAGAAACTCCAAGAAGTGAGGGACCTACATGGGCGTTCGCTCGGTTTGCCCCTCCACTTGGGAATTGGGTTCTTAGATTCTGCAACCTGATCCGAGGAATGGGTCACAGAGACCCTTACTGTGGATGGACGAAATCCATGTCGCACCACCGTTCAGAAGCCCTGGTGTCTGATGTTTCCCCGCAAATACCACCAAACGTTAAGTTATGGTTTCAACCAGGGTTTCATTTCTTGGTGCGGTCTTGGATTTCAGGATGAAAGGAATGGCCGTCTAACCCGGGACTCGCCAGGTTCGCCGGGCAGAATGGCGTTGAGACAGATTCCGAATCAGAATGTGTCAGGGTGGGTCTGGGGTGGGGTGGGGTTGGGTGGTTGTGGGTTGGGGTTGGGGGGTGGTTGGTGGGGTGGGTGGTTTGGGGGTGGTGTCAAGGAAGCAATGCTTTTCCAGGTGTCCAAACCGCAAAACTTCGGGGCGGCTATTGCAGCCAGGGAGCCAAGCACGACCAGCGCCTTGCATATCCAGTGCTGCAGACTGCGCAGATTCTTATCTCTTCCTGAGTGCAGTAAGGAGTCCAAACTTGTTGCTTGTCACTAGAATGGTTTTCCCAAAAAGCTCGAAGTCCAACACACCTGGGCTACCTACTGGGTGCTAAATACTGGATCTGGAATTCAGAAAGCATCCATCCATCCGGTTTTCCCAAAAGCGGACTGCAGTCGAAGGAACTCGCTTGAGCCATGCAAAGGCCGACTCGACATCCAAAGAAATCTGGGCTGCCTTGAGCCGAGCTTCGGTATGTGGGTGTGTTGTTGTTGATGGTAGGCATTCTACGTTTGGTTTGAAGGTACATTCAACGGAAACATGTTTTTTTTTTCAAAATTAGGGACCTGGGGTTCCTTGTCCACCAACCACTTTTCAGGGAGTTCTCTATTGAAGTTCATGCCCATCTGGGTATGGGTCAAAATTAAACCATTCGGGGACCGCAGGTTTTTGTCCATGCTTCCATTTACCAACTATTTTGGGGGGTGACCAACTATTTTGCCCAACCCGCCACCTCCGGCAGCTCCGGCACGCCGTCCAGCTAGAGGCTCGAGACTTGAGGCCTCATCTCCTGTTGCCCAAGAGCGGGTTGGTCTCCAAAAAGCGAAACTGTTTGAGATGTAAAAAGAAGGCACTGTTCCAAAGGTAGAGAATGAACACAAAAAGCGTTCTTAAGGGCAAAATGCGGGAGGCACGTGGAAACCCTCTTGGTGCTGTGGTGTTTTTGTGGCTTCATCAGTATGCACTGGTCTGGCTGGGGTTTCATCAGCACAACTGCATGGTTGGCATCGCGCACTCTTCAGGGATTCCCCGCTTTAAAGTGCTCCAACTGATTCGCGCGGTCGGAATCAAAGAGTCCGGCGAAAACCCCCAAACACCCGGGCAATCGGCTGGTCTGTGGAAAGAATTTCTGGTTTGAGAAAAAATGACAAAGGAATCAGCCCAAGAGAAACGTCTCCCCCCCGCCCGGTTTCCTGCACATGGGGCCCAAGGTCTTCCTGGGGGTTGGGAAGCAAGCAGTAGAACAAGCCTTCCACCCCTCGGAATCGGCACGGTCCGCGATCCACTCCGCTCCCTTTTCCCGTTTCCGCTTTTGGCTCTTTGCGGCCAGCTGCCGGTGATGCTCAGCTCCTGCCTGCGTAAAAGGCGGAATTCTGGCGATCTGCGACTTGGGCACAACGAGGAAGGAGAAAGAGAAGGAAGCGGAGAAAGAGGAGGAAGAGGAAGAGGAGGAACGGGAGGAAGGGGAGGAGTAAGAGGAGAAAGAGGAGGAAGAAGAGGAAGAGGAGAGGAAGAATAAAAGAGGAAGAAGAGGAGGAGGAAGAGGAGAAAGAGGAGGAAGAGGAGGAAAAGGAGGAGCCGGAAGAGGAGTGAGGAGGAAGAGGGAGAGGAAGAAGAGAGGAAGAAGAGGAGGAGGAGGAGAAAGAGGAGGAAGATGACGAAGATGAGGAAGAGTAGGAAGAGGAGTAAGAGGAGAAAGAGGAGAAAGAAGAGGAAGAGGAGGAAGAGGAGGAGGAAGAGGAGTAAGACGAGAAAGAGGAGGAAGAAGAAAAGGAGGAAGAGGAGGAGGGAGGAGGAAGAGGAGGAAGACGAACAGCCGGAAGAGGAGTGAGGAGGAAAAGGAGAGGAAGAGGAGAAGAGTAGCACGAGGAGGTTGTGGCTTCAAGTCCTCCTAGCCCTCTGCACTCAGAGTGCTGATGGTTTGATGTGGTGACACATGGTTGGATGTGGTTGGTTCACTTGCACCGTCTGAGGCATATCCCGAAACACGAACAAAGTGAATGTTTCCTGGAAAGCGGACTCACAAAAAGCGTCTGACACCCTTTCAGCTTCCGTGTGCTTTGGCATGTCCACCAGGCAGTTCACCCCCTGCCGGGCCCCGCCTGTCCGAGCTGCTCTAACGCCGCCGCGATGCCCAGGTGCGTGCTCGCGGTCTGCTGCCTCAGCCGCGCCCAGACAATCCGACTGTAGGCAATTTGTACCGACACTATATATAGACCCAGTTGGAGATGGTAAATGTGGGTATATATATATATATATATTACCCACATGGATTGTCTGGGAAGAGGACATGGGAGAATGACAAGTTCAGTCTCTTGGTGTTTGTGAGATCGTCCAACCCATGTCCCGAATCCCGAAGTGAACCATAGACGAAACAGGAATGTTGACCAAGCCTGACATGGGAATATGTCAAAATAGCGGGACCCCGAAAATCATGGATGTCCTTTTGGTTTCCCTGTCAACCTGAAAAAGGTACGCTCAACAAAACGCACCCACATGACTCTGTGTTTTGTTTTTGGTACCCCTTTTTGGGTTGGTTTGGCAAAACCAAAGGGAAAACCGATGCTTTTTTTGGTGTCCAAATCCTATTCGACAAACCCACATAGCTGTCTCTTGAAATAAGAGCACCCAAAATGGCACCTTGACACCTTGGTACATGGAAACAAAGACGAACACCTGCGCAACCTTAGCTCCCGATTGAGACAAACCCACCTGACCTTTTTGACTCAAACACGTTGAATCCCGGGCGAGTTTCAAGGAGGCAGCCGCTCTGAAGGCTTCCAGCGCCACCGCAGCGTTGCCAACCTAACCGAGGCTTCCGACGGGATCCGACGCGACCCGCGGATCGCGGCGCCCCATTTCCTTTGGGGTCCAACCAATGGCGGTGGTCCAAAATAGGCTAACCCCACAAGCCCGATCAGTAAATGGAACCAAGGACGGTTTAACCTGCGTTTTTGTTTTCTTCTTTTTTTCTGGTGGTTTTATTTTGGCTCATACCATTTCGTGGTCTCCCCCACCCCCCAACCCCCCGGTTTTAAGCAGAAAGTCCTGTATTCTGGTCTCACTTTGCTCAGGCCAACCACTACTAGATCACCTTCACTGTACCTCCTTACACGGAGCCAACCCTGTTTTCCTGCCCTAAAACAAGCACGCGAACTGGTCGTGGAATAGGGATGATTGAATTGGGCTTGGATGAAACATCTTGTCACCGCTGGCCAGAGTATTGCTTGCTTTGCCCGAAGGAGAGCACTGCAAAACAAAACTGATTTTGTTAGTTCACGAACAGGCAGAAGATGGTTTAGCTGTTTGGTTTCCCTTTGCCAGGGCCCAATTTTTGCGCTGCCGGAGTTTCGGAATCAGAACATCCCGCTCAAAATCACTACCACCCCCTACCACCCTACCACCCCAACCATCCCCTACCACCCCCTTCCACCCTACCACCCCCTACCACCCCCTACCACCCCCTACCACCCCCTACCACCCCCTACCACCCCCTACCACCCCCTACCACCCCCCACCACCCCCTACCAGCCCCTACCGCCCCCCACCACACCCTACCACCACCCCTGCCACCCCCTACCCCCCCCGTACCACCCCCTACCCCCCCCTACCACCCACCACCCCCTACCACCCCCGACCACCCCCTACCACCCCCTGCCCTACCACCCCCTACCACCCCCCCCTACCCCTCAAACCAAACCCCCAAGCCCCCAACCCCCCCGCCCCTCGCCCTCCCCTCCCCCACTGCACTCCCCCCACTCGGCCCCGTGCCTTCAGCTGCTCCGTCGCCAGCTGCGGCAGCACCTCCTGCGGCGCGGCGCCCAGCAGCGCCCGCGCCTCCCCGTGCCGCCGCGCCAAGGTGAGCCGCGCGCCTCCGCAAACCGCAGGCGGCGACTGCGGGGCTCCGTCGGGCTGGGTGGGAAACATGGGCCTGTCTCAAACATGGGCCCGTCCGCCCCCAACCCAAAAACAAAAAAAAGAAGCTGGCTGCATAGTGTTGAATGGTTCCACACACACACACACAAACAAACAAACAAACTAACTAACACACACCACCCTCAAAACAACAAAGATGACAAAAAGGGAAACCCCTAACATGGTCTTCTTTTGGTCCCCTCCCCAAAAAAAGAAGCAACCCCCTAAAAGAAGACACCAATATATACATACCATCTTTTCAATCAACCAAACACCCTTGCAAGGAAGTGGACCGGAGGTCCACTTTGATGGTTGGAGGGCAAGCGTGCCCTATGTTTGATGGCAGCCGCTTCAGGTGAAGAAAGGGCAACCAGATTCGGGGCTCCACGATGATTGGCGTCTCTGTTATTTTCCCTTTTTCTGTGAATCATCTGAGCCACGGTTAAAAAAACATACGGTTCCCAGGATGGGAAACAATCGGGTTTGGTGGCTAGAATTTGTGAGTGCCCCATGTCTAGAATGATCAATACGTTGACCGAACTTCTGCAAAGAAGACTCTCCAACTGCCACAACCATTGACTGGCCCCAGGTTTTTTGCAGATCAAGTCACCCCCAACCAAGGGGTAGGTTGATGGGAAACAACCCCAGACTTTGATAACCTCCAGAAACAGCCCCAAGAGCCCACACGTCTGTTTGACTTAAAATACAAGAACAAGCCTGTACGGGTGTCTCGTTTTTTCAGGATACCCGCCGAAATTGTCGGATGATTTTAGAGGGGAACTGCAAACCACCTTTTTTCGGAGAAGCAAGACACCCCCCCTCCCCAGTTTCGAGCGTTGAAGTCGTTCGCTCTCTTCCCCTCTCGCCCATCGAACCCCTCTCGCCTACCACGGCCATGGCCTCTCGCCGCTTTCTTCCCCCAGGATCCAGCGCGGAAGGCGCCGAGGTCAGCAGACCTGGCTCCCGCTGTTTCCGGGCAGCATGGTTCACATAGCCCTTCACCGCCTTTGTGGAACTTCATTTTCAGGGCTCCCTGTTTGGCACCCGTTCAAAGTGAATCCGCCGGCAAAAATGCTCCGCATCATCAAAGCGGCGATGCTGCTTGCCATGTGCCCCGTCCCAATACGCCTTTGCCTGTGTGAAAATAAGACCTCGTCCATATGGAACTTTCACCGAACCTCATGCACCTGAGCTTCCGAAGCGGTCCTAATACTGCAAAATATTTTGCTGGTCCTAAACCCCCAATCGAAGGATCGGCGCCCGATAAACACCGGCCATTCAGAGGTGACGCCACGTGGGCTCTCCGTTCCCTAACTGATGGCAAGAGCAAAAGGAAGTTCAAAGGACACCAGCTGGCGTTGTCATTCTTTGGATGGAACTCTTTTGGTTAGTTTTAAAGGGAAACCACAAGGCAAACCGCCATGAAAGGGGGTCCCCTAAAAGATTGACAAGGCCAGACGTTCATCAACATAGCAGGGTTCTCCTGCGGTTTCTCTATTCAGACCCAAGTCGATGGAGAATGAAACACACTATGCAGCACATGTTCCTGCAAGGCTGTGCCCTTTGATTGTGGATGGTGGGGTTGTCTTTTTTAAGGTTGCCCTCTGTTTGGGGCTGTGGGTTGAATTTTTTCAAACGAATAGCAACCACTTGGGGGCATCCCCACTTTGAGGCATCCACCCAAAAAAAAAACCTCGGCCCCTTTTGCCGCTTCCTTCCAACACGTGTGGGTTCGCTCTCGCATTCCCGCCAAAAAAGCAAAAAACAAAAGGGGTTCCACCAAAACCACAAAAATACGCCAGAAAAAATCAAAATCCTCTCCGCTGCCTTGCTGCAGGTGGTGCAGAGCCCGTTCCTCTGTGGCAGGCAGCGGCCACGTGCTCAAGATCTCGGTCTCCGTCTCCACTTCTGCGCGGCCGCTGGCGTCGGTGGTTTTGAGGCGACAGCTACCCTGTTCGCCTCGTGAACGTTAGGGAAACCAAATGGAAAAACGAAGTCCCCCGGCTTTGCGACACATACCTATATTGTCTATACAAAGGGTATATATTATGTGTTAAATGTGAGGGGTTGACAATTGCACACATTGTTAGGATTATCAATTTGGTTTCAAAGTACCCCGCAACCCCATTCGAATTGATTGGGCCCTGGTAGTTTATGTGCCATGGTCATGGTCATGGCTCCCTTATGCCAGAACCCTTATCATCCCTGTTTAGACTGTGACGGTCTAGCAAGCCCAAGTAAAAGGGTGTTTAGACTATGGCACATATCAATACATTGACATATCACATATAAGATGGTGTCCACTACTTCCCGAAATATTGCTGGGAGGCAGGGGTGGCTGGGATATACAGCCACTAGCCGCTATACGAAGGGTATAATCCCTTGTTTTCTTGGGGGCAGAAAGGGTAGTGGAAACCATCCAAGATCTTTGCACAGCAAAAGGCAAAGAACTTGGAAGGCCCACAACTGAGTTGGTCAAACTGGCTCCTCAAAAAGTGTTACTTGCTGGTTGGTTGGAAGCTATGCTTGATTTAAAAAGAATGTTCAAGGTCAAACCAAAAAACTACCAAAAAGAAGGGACCAGAAACACACTGCGTTGACATGCCCTGCACTCCTGAGTTTGCAAATGTCCACATACATCTCCACCAACGTCTCAGTACTTGCCAAGTTGGGGGAATGTCTCGCTTGCACGTGCCGTCCTTCTCCACCAAATCCCAGTCAGGCAGGCAAGGGACCGACCAGGGTACGGCTCGCCGCCAGCATTGCCCCCAAGCTGCTCGCCAGGAGTCGCCCACTCGCAACCCTGGCGCCTCTGTCTCGTTGCCTTCGGACCTCTGCTTCGGGCTCGCCTGGGTTGCCTTCGGGGTCGCTACCCTTTGCACTGCGGCCGGCGCGGCCGCGCCGGACGCGGCCGAAGCGTTGGCCAGGCGCCGGAGCAGCGAGCCCAGGCGCAGGTGGGCCACCCCATGGTGAGGCCCTTGGTCTCGCAGCGCCTGCTCGTACCTCTCCGCGGCCTCTTTGGGGTCGCGTGACTCCAAGAAGGCGCCGAAGATCAACAGGCCCATCTGCCGGAGCTCCTGAGAGGCCGCCTCCTCAAAGCGCCGGAAGTGATGCTCTGCGGCTTTGGCATCGCTGTCCTGCAACATGACCGCCAGGTTCAGCCGAACCTTCGGAGCATCTGCCACGTCATCCAGGTGCTGCTGCTCGGCCAAACGCAGGGCCCGTTTGTAGTGCTTCACCGCTTGCGCGCGCTGGCCTGGGTTGGGAAAACATGGTTCAGCCAATCTTGTTCAAACAACCGGCTCTTGGCCCAAGGATGGTTAAACAAATGTTGCCCAACAGGACCCAACCCTCCCCCCCTCCCCCCCATTTTTGGGTCTGGTTGGTTACACAACCCTTGCCTGCCGCAGACTTCAGCTGCCCCAGGGAGGCGTGGGCGTGCCAGTAGAAGGGATTCAGAGCGATGGCTTGCTCCGCATGCCAGGTGGCCTCCTGCGGGGCGATGGGCGCTTCACCCATCCCAGTGCTTCCAGTTGCCAGCCACTTTTGTAGGCAGAAACCATCCATGGTAGAACCTAGAGGAAAAAATACTTGGTACTGTGGTAACTGGAACTGGGTGGCTGAAAGACAACACTGCTCGGCTTATGCAGGTCTTGCTCGTTTCCATTTCCCAAGTGTGTAGGGTACCACTTTGTGAGCCACCGCCACATGATTAAGCAGGTTAAGCCACTCTTCAACGAATCTTCTTCCCTTCGAAGGAGTTGGGCCAGGGTAACTACCAATTCGCCCACTGCCCAAACCATCTCCTGACTTCCCTAAACAACGTTTTGGTCGCCACCCGCACCTGCAGGTCTCCGCCGCTGTTCTGCAGGCGTGTGGCCAACAAGTCGTGGAGCTTCTCGTTCCGAGGGTTGGCCTCGGGGTTCGGGACCCTGTGGTGGACCTCATTTGGGTGGATTCATGTTCGCCAACCACTTTTGAGGCGGTTCCAACCTACTGAAATTCATGGCCATCTGACTAGACCCCCGGAAAAAAAAAAAAAAAAAAAAAAAAAAGGAAACCCACAGGAGTGTGGTCGTCGCAGCACCATGTGTTTTGCCACGTCGCCTGGAGGCCTGCGCGGTATAAGGCCTCCGCCGTCCACCAGGCACGGCTGTGCTGCAGGCAGCTGTAGGACCACAACGCCAGCACCACCCCTGCCACCCCCAGCCGCAGGCACCGCTGCCCGGTGGCACCGGTGCCACGGCCAAGCACATGACCCAAGATGCCGCAGAAGCCGAGGGAGGGGAGGTACAGGACCCTCTCTGCCACTGTAAAGCCCACGGAAAAGAGCAGGTTGGACGCTGGGAGCAGGGAGAGGAAGATCAGCAGACTGGAGAGGATGACGCCAGTGTGTGATCCTTCGCGGATCCCTTGGCAAGAGACGAAACCGCGCCGACGCGGCGACCCTGGTCGAAAAACAGAAGTGCGGGGTTCCAGGAACCCTGATCGGCTCTCTTAGTCATCTCTAGGTCCTGAACCCACCAAGGAACAAGGGGCTAAAGAAGGGGTACCGCTGAACTGGGCAGCGTTTTGGCCGGGCCGCTGCTCACTTTGAGGAGCCCCGCAGGCAGTGCATAGACCCAGAAGGCAGCTACCCGAAGGTCCGCAGGAGACTCCAGCAACGGAATAGAGCCGTGGCTCCAGTCGCAGCAGAGTGGGTGAGGCCAAACCAGCAGCTGCAAGTGCCTGAGGCTTGGGCAATACGCAAGCAGTTCACAGGTTCACAGATTCAACACAAGCACTCAGGAGGCAGCAAGGGGGGGTGGGAGGAGCGGCGGAGTCAGGAGTGGAATTGGTGGTGGCAGCGGCACACAAACCGCTGCATTAACTCTGTGGCCTGAACAAATAGTAGTGCAACGTCAGAATTCTCGACAGCCAATCCTCTGCAAAGGCTCCAGGATTTGACTCTCGGTGAAGGAATGGACGAGCCTGAGGACTTGGCGAGTCAAGGCCAGAACAGTTGGACAGCTTCACAAATTGCGCAATCCGGGTATCTCTTTTTGAGGGTGGTGTTTTCTATTGGTTTCAGCTAAAACAAAAGAACAACAACATCTTTTTCTCCGGGGATCGCCTATTTTGAGATAGACCCACAGCCTGCATCCCACCATGTAGCAGAAGCCGGAGTGGTATCAAGAGACACAGCCAAAGGATGGGAAGCAAAGCCTTGAGACGCGACTTCCTCAGCTGCAGGCAAGAGCACAGAGGCAAGGCGACCACTGCAGCGGTCTCCTGCCAGGGCTGGCAAACGCCACCTTTGAACATCTTTAAACCCCTGCTTGAACGACCTCCTTGCCAGGGTGTACTAAAGTTGTCTTGAAGGTTTTGCAACCGAAAAAATGGTCTCTAAGCAACCTCGATTGAAATTATGTCCAGCAAAGTGGCCAAAACGGCTTTGGCCGGATTCTTCTTTCCACGTGCTAAGCAACCGACTCCCGCAAAAAAAATGCAAAACGTCCTTGCAGAGCAAAGCCAGGCCGGCGAGAACCAGAGCGAGGGGCGTGCTGTGGGACAGCAAACTCAGGATGCTGAGCAGCGCCGCCAACAGCTCCGCCCGGCCCACCAAGCTGGCGACGGCTTCGATGTGCACCGGGTGGCAGGCAAAGAGCAAAGCCCCAAGCATGGACTCTCCGACACGGAAGCCGAAGGTCTGAAACAGAAAGACCAGAAGAGCGCTGTTCAGGCTATGCAAGAAGACATTCAAGCTGTGCATCATCTTCGCGGCAGAATCCGCACGGTCACCGGCATAGGACATTTGAAGGCGGAAGGTGAGCGTCGTCAGTGGTCGGTAGCTTTTGTGGCTTTTGTCCGACAGGAGCGGAAAGCCCCAGAAGTCATGCCAAAAGACCTGAAACCACGGGCTGGAGGAGTAAACATCTGGGTTCTGCACAATTGCATAGGCGTCGTCAAATACAAAGTCCCCTTCCAAGGCATTCCTCAGCCGAGTCTCCGCATGGTACCCGAAGGCCTGCTGAATTAAAATATTGGCCTCTGTGCCCCAACAGTGTCTTGTGTTTATGATACTCTCCCACCAATTAACATGGAACCTGACACCGGGGTCTTGGAAGACGATCTGCCTTTTAAAGGGACCCTCTGTCATAGGTTCCATGTTAATTGGCAGGAGGGTAAAACTCTTAAGCACGACATGTTTGCTGACTGTTCCCCGGGCAGAAATGGAAAGCGCTCAGTCGAAGGTCCGCAGATGTTTTCGCTGACCTTACCTGGCTCCTGCAAGCCCCGTTGTCTCAAGATGCCCGATTATTTCTTCCAGTGGGGGAATCCTTTTCCCTTTTAAGAAAGGTTCCCTCAAAATGAGTTGGGATATCCAAAATGGCATGGGTGTGCCTTTGGCTTTAACACCAACCAACAAGGGGTTCCCAAAGAAGAGACGCACCCAAGCATGATTTCCAAAACACCCAAAATGATTGGAACGAAGGGATTGAGTTCCATACACATTTCCTTTAAACAACAGGAAGCCAAAAGTGGAACATGAGGGGTTCCTCGAAAGAGTGGTGTAAAATTGCTATTGTCCCGTTTGGTTTCCAGCCACCCCAAGTTAATAAATTGTCAGGGTGCCTTCTTGTAAAGTCTGGCTTCTAGTTTCCCGAAAAAGAAGAAGAAGAAGAAGAAAAAGAGGAGAAAACAAAAAAGCTTTCCCGAAATCCGTTTCAAGAAACACAAGAGCCCGGTTCTTGCCCAGATTCAGAAAGACCCCGGAGGCAAACGCGCCGACCGCGACTGAGGCCAGGAGGCTCCGCTGCCATCTTCTCATGCCCTTTCCCGTCCCCTTCCCCCCCCGCCCCCCAACCCAAGGGCCCGTGCTTTAACATTTTTAACCAACCTCCTTCTGGTGTCCTTTCAAACTGTGGTCATCTTTGTTGTGGCTGTTGGAATCCAAAGCACAAGCCCAAGATACCCAACTTTAGATGTCAACACTGGAACAGCCCCTTACAAAGTTACAAAGCCACATGGGTGTCTTCTTGTGAGGCTACCCTTTTGGGTTGGTTTCTTTGCAGGGAAACCAACAAAAAATGAGGGTCTAATTCCTTTCAAATCAGACAAAAACAAATCGCTGGTGATCCGCCGGGTGATTTCTGTCCCTTTCGGGAAACTTTCGGGAACCGTCCGTTTGGCCCAACCGCCGCATCCCCCACCCCCCCTCCCCACGAGCCAAGAAGATCGGCGGGCGCGGTTCAACAGGCAGACCTCCAGACTTCCGGGCAAAATCCACGCTCGGCGCCAGTTGGGATGAGCCCTAGTCTCTTAGACGATAGGCCACCAGTTGTGGTGTGACCTGGAGTTTCTCTATGTTTCATTTCCCCGAACCCCTGGGGTCAAGTCTACGCATAGACCCTGCCGGCGAGGCAGGCTCGTGACTTAGTGAGTGGGAAACCAATCCGATGATCCAGTTTCCGAAATGCAGGAAACCACTCAGGGGACCACATGCTTACGTACAAAAGGGGGAAGAATTATAAGGATTGTCGTGTGCATGTTTCTGTGGAACCGCGTTTTGGTTGGTTTTTGAATGGGACCAAATCCTGTCGTAAAAAGGTGAAGGATTCAGAATTGTCGTGTACGCTTTTGCTATGGTTGGTGTTTGAATGGGAAACAACAATAGGCCAACCGGGCCCCTATAACAAGAGATTGGTTCAACTTTGCCACTACATCGCATTTTATTTCCGATTGAATGGGCTGTTGCCATCTGTGCAACACCGCGTGCTTTCCCTCTTCCAAAGCATCACACTGCCTTCTAGTAGCACTCAGAACTCATTTGAGTGAGTCATATCCCTCTGTCCAACAAGCATGACAGTGGACAGGAGGCTTGTTTTGCATGATTGGCCTCGCAACCCCTCCTGCACACGTCTATGATTGTTGGAAAGAGGGAAATCAAAACGTGCTACAGGATCGCTATTTCACCAAGGAAAGTCAGTTTTAATTTGGCCCAAAAAGTGATGCTTAAAAATGGCCAAAGGGGAGTATACGAAGCCCTGTGCTATCCAAGGAGCCTACCAAAAAGAATGGAACAATTGACGAATTCATCAACCTGAACTGGCTGCATCCTAAGATCGGCGATCATTCAAAATGGTTGTGTTGCCTCTGCTGCCGTTGAGAAGCCAGCCAAGAAGGCGGGCAGCAAAATTGAATTTCAGGAAACACCCTAGCAAGGGCCCACGCCAAAGGGATCCTCAGCATCGGTGAAGTTGCAAACTTCAAACCCCTCACTAAATAAGTAAATAAGTAAACAAATACGTACATATGTGTATATATATATAACTCAGGAAAATAAAGGCTGAGACCGCCACATGAGCCGGGGTCAAAATTACTTGTTCCCCATGTCGGGATTTTCGACGAAACCTGGGCAAGTGCTGCCTTTGGGACACTCTCGAACACAAGGATTCTCACGAAGTCCAAGATTCAACCGCCTGGTGCCACCTTTCCAGGGTAGGTGAATCAATCCAAGGCTCATTGGGCTGTCAAAATGCTGGCTCCCGGAGCGCTTCTAGGCTCTGTGAGGTGTTGATCCTTGATTGACACCCTGCCCACCCCCTTTACCGCCGAGCCCTTTTTGCCGAACCCCCACAACGGAGCCCTGGCGCAGGTGTCTTTTGCGGCAGTGCGCAGCTCAGCTGTTCCAAGCTGTGCCAGTGCCCAACAAGTTTTTGCCTGGCACCGACAAGCAATCCTGGCAATCTCAATTGAGATGGAAAAAGGCTCAAAAGGCACCCTCAAGAGTATTGGAAACTTTGCCCCAGAATGCTCAGTCTGCTCACCACTACTTTTGAAATTATATATACAAATATAGATACATATAATACCGCATGGCTTATATGTGTTAAGTCCGAAATGTTTGTTTGGATAGTGGACGTGCAAAAACGCTGAACCTACGTGTTTTCGCACGGGCTCGCTCTGGGGCCATCCCGCCAGCGGTGCTTCGACCGCGCGGCGCACCGCAGCACCGCATCCGCGCCTGGCGGGTGGCGTCAGCTCGGGTTCAAAGGGAAACCAAAAGGAAAACCACAGCTTGGTCGACGTTGGAAGGGCAAACATTTAGATTTTAGCAGTTAAGTGGGGATTGCCCGCTGAACCACAAGAAGCAAAAATGTAAATAGTTTCCCAACAACAACCATGATAGGGGGGGGGGGTCCAAAGAAGGACACACCCAGTTGGCTTGAGTCCCCTTGCCGTACCCACATGTTGGGACTCAGCCCTATTTTGACCACACAAACGAGTCGAAAAGCTTGCATCTCTTGGTGCCCATCCCAGTGCGAGCCTACGCCACAAAAGCGCTGCATCTCACTGATTCATACCTGAGACAGCCATGTTCAGTCCAGCTTCTGCTCTGATGATACAAGAGCCAGAGAAGAGATCTTGGAGCAACATGTTGCAGGACAAGTGGCTCTTCAGAACAAGGCTCTCATATTCCTCGAAGCTTAGCTTGGCATCCTTGTTGACATCGGCGCCTGCATAGGACGGCGTGCAATTGAGACCTAAAAAATCCTGCACTAGGGGACGATTGGCCCGAAAGCATTTTTCCACAGGCGCTCATCCAACCGCGGAGACACCTTTTTACATCGCTGCGGCGAGCGTGTCTGCGCGCGGCGATGCTCAGTGTGTATGGTCACATGAGAGCTCCATCTCATCATCCTACTTTCGAAGTGCGCCGCGCGATTTCTCACGAAAGTGGTCTGCGCAAGCTGCATTGTTCCAGGCTGCTGCGCGCAAGTTGCTCTCTGCAAGCTGCTGCACGCTGCTGCACGCAAGTGCCCTGTGCAAGTTGCTCTGCGCAAGTGCTCTGAGCAAGTTGCTCTGCGCAAGTGCTCTGCGCCAGTTGCTCCGCGCAAGCGCTTTGCGCATGTGCTCTGTTGCTGCGCAAGTTGGTCTGCAAGCAAGTGCTCTGCAAGTTGGTCTGTGCAAGTTGCTCTGCGCCAGTTGCTCCGTGCAAGCGCTTTGCGCATGTGCTCTGTGCAAGTTGCTCTGCGCAAGTGCTCTGAGCAAGTTGCTCTGCGCAAGTGCTCTGCGCCAGTTGCTCCGTGCAAGCGCTTTGCGCATGTGCTCTGTGCAAGTTGGTCTGTGCAAGTTGCTCTGCGCAAGTGCTTTGTGCAATTGCTCTGTGCAAGTTGCTCTGCGCAAGTTGCTCTGCGCAAGTGACTCTGCGCAAGTTGCTCTGCGCAAGTGCTGCCGGAGCTGTGGGAATGTACTTCGCATACTATTTTTGTACTTAAAAGTTGCGATTTTCCAGCCGGAGCTGCGGGGGTGTGCTCCGCGTACTACGTTTGTACTTAAAAGTTGCGCGGGAGCACGCTCCGCATACTACGTCTGTACTTAAAAGTTGCGATTTTCCAACCGGAGCTGCGGGAGCACGCTCCGCATACTACGTCTGTACTTAAAAGTTGCGATTTTCCAGCCGGAGCTGCAGGAGCACGCTCCGCGTACTACGTTTGTACTTAAAAGCTGCGATTTTCAAGCCGGAGCTGCCGCGGACCAGGGGGAAATCGAACCCGCGACCGCGGGATTGCGAAAGCAGGCGCGCGAGCCACGAGACAACTTCCAAAGGCCATTTCGCGAGCAACAAATACGCACGGCGCCACAGCGAGAGCGCTTCGACACGCACGATCCCCGCAGAGGGTCGCGCGCGGCTTGCAGAATAGTAAAAAGTCCTCAGCTTTTGAACCTCGACCACGCGAATCTCCGCAGAGGGTCGCGCGCGGCTTGCAGAAAGCGTAAAAAGTCCTCAGTTTTTGAACCTCGACCACGCGAATCTCCGCAGAGGGCCGCGCGCGGCTTGCAGAAATCGTAAAAAGTCCTCAGTTGTTGAACCTCGACCACGCGAATCTCCGCAGAGGGTCGCGCGCGGCTTGCAGAAATCGTAAAAAGCCCTCAGTTGTTGAACCTCGACCACGCGAATCTCCGCAGAGGGTCGCGCGCGCATGCTAAAGATCGTAAAAAGTCCTAAGTTGTTTAACCTCGACCACGCGAATCTCCGCAGAGGGTCGCGTGCGCATGCTAAAAATCGCAAAAAGTCCTCAGTTGTTTAACCTCGACCACGCGAATCTCCGCAGAGGGTCGCGCGCGCAGCGCAGAAATCGTAAAAAATCCTCAGTTTTTTGACCTCGACCACGCGAATCTCCGCAGAGGGTCGCAATCCCGAGCGACGATCAAACTCCCGCCCCGGCGCCTTAGAAACCTAAACTAAATTACATAGCTGCTAACGCCGAAGCTCTACGCAAGCTCTACCTAGCCTTGGCTCTGTGCCACCTGGCTCTGTGTCACTTGGCTCTGTGCCACTTCACTCCATGCAACTTGGCTCTATGTAACTTGGCTCTATGTAACTTAGCTCTATGTAACTTGGCTCTATGTAACTTGGCTCTATGTAACTTGGCTCTATGTAACTTGGCTCTATGTAACTTGGCTCTATGTAACTTGGCTCTATGTAACTTGGCTCTATGTAACTTGGCTCTATGTAACTTGGCTCTATGTAACTTGGCTCTATGTAACTTGGCTCTATGTAACTTGGCTCTATGTAACTTGGCTCTATGTAACTTGGCTCTATGTAACTTGGCTCTATGTAACTTGGCTCTATGTAACTTGGCTCTATGTAACTTGGCTCTATGTAACTTGGCTCTATGTAATGTAACTTGGCTCTATGTAACTTGGCTCTATGTAACTTGGCTCTATGTAACTTGGCTCTATGTAACTTGGCTCTATGTAACTTGGCTCTATGTAACTTGGCTCTATGTAACTTGGCTCTATGTAACTTGGCTCTATGTAACTTGGCTCTATGTAACTTGGCTCTATGTAACTTGGCTCTATGTAACTTGGCTCTATGTAACTTGACTCTATGTAACTTGGCTCTATGTATCTTGGCTCTGTGCAACTTGGCTCTGTGCAACTTGGCTCTGTGTAACTTGTCCAAGGGCTCCGCATGGAAGAACCCTTCGCGATGCTTTCGGGAACTGCAAAACATCTGGAAAAATAAGGCCGGCACGCTTGAAAACACCATCAATCTGCTCCTCCGAAAGCGGCACATTCATCTTGGCCATAACCTGAGGTTGCCACAGCAGGCGTCCAAATATCGCTCTAAAGTTAGACCCGGATAGAATGACTTCCCAGGGGACCGGAAAATGTGAGCTCTCCCCAACTCCCAGACCAGCAAACAATTGTGACACTTGCTCATATGGGTGTGTGTGTGCGCGTGTTCGGGTTGGGTACCTTGGGGGTGGTAGGGGAAGCCAGCAGTAAACGACCCATGAGGGTTCCCTATTTGGAAACAAACCCAACAAGCCAAGCGGCTGCTTTCAATTCATTTGCTTCGATCGCCCTAGACTTGTCCTTGTCAATCTCCTCGAATGCTGCCTTCAACATGTTGCGCTGCTCTTCGGAAAGCGTGGGACCCTTCTTCTCTGGTGCTGCCTCTTTGGGAGCATCCTGCTCGCCAACGTTGGCTAGAGCCGATGCGACCTTCTTCTTATCTTCGGCGCTGAGAGTGCCGAAGGTCTCAGCCACCTGTGCCGGGCTGGCATCCTTCAGGGAGTCGCTCAGAACGGATCCGCCGGAGCCCATTGCAAGAGTTGAGTCGGAGCCCCGACTACAGGGCTAGAATTGCAGGTCGCCGCCTCAAGAGTCTTGAGCCACCAGAAATCAACCAAAACGAGCGAAACGAGCGAAACGAGCACAACCACTTCCTGCACCCCCACCAGCATTAGAAGCATTTTGTGAGACCTTTCACCCTGTACTGACCCTGGTCACGGTCAATCCTCAAGCATAATAACCACGCTGTTCACCCTTTAAAAGTGTTCGGCCATCTGATTGCCCAAGATTTTGGGTAGATTTTCAGAGGGTGAGAAGGCAGCTCCAGGTTGTGAGACCCCTCAACACGCCATCACCTCAAGTCTAGAAAGGCCCTGAACAAATCCGGCTGTGTGGCAAGCAACGTATCAAACAGCAAGCAATGCGAAACCTGCAACGTGCCAATCAGCTTTCTGTCCTCGTGGCTGGATGATATTTAAGCACCACACACACACACACAATCCGTGTTCTCTGCTGAGTTATCGGATGTGGGTGTGTGCGTGTGGTTGTATTGTTGATGATTGGTCTATCTAAGCGGTATGGTGGAAATGAGTCCACCCCTCCCCTGCATGCGATCATCGACATCATGCCCGGGAAGGACACATCATCAACATCCTCTGCATAGGTCCAACACAGCATCTTGACACGATCAGGACATTGTAAAATCAAAACAACGGCAATCATCAGCAACATTGCATCATGCCAACATGCCATCATGCCATCACGCCAGTATGCAATCATGCCATTGTGCAATCATGCCATTAAGCAATCTTGCCACTATCATGCCATCGTCCTGATCATCATGATCGTCTTCTTATTAGTATTATTATTATTATCATTATTATTATTCCCCTTCTTCTTCTTCTTCTTCTTCTTCATCGTCATCATCATTGTGATGATCGTCATGCCATCATCCTGCCATCATCCTGCCATCATCATGCCATCATCATGCCATCATCATGCCATCATCATGCCATCATCATGCCATCATCATGCCATCATCATGCCACCATCATGCCATCATCATGCCATCATCATGCCATCATCATGCCATCATCATGCCATCATTATGCCATCATCATGCCATCATCATGCCATCATCATCAGAAGCAACACTTCAGAGACACATCTGCTTGTGCAAAAATGGGGATGCTCTGGTTTCCGCTTGGCTTCCGCTCAAAACCATAAAGTGGGCTCCCAAAACAACACACCCGCTCCCATCTCTGGAAGCAAACCTCGGCCGGAGGCCAAAGCCTTGCCCAACACTCATGGCGGCGCAAGAATTCGATGAGCCACACTTAATTTGGCGAAAGTGCTCTTTCATACAAATGAAGTTGGCACGTACGAATGCTTACTCCACCGCAAGTGCTTTGCTAACACAGGCGTGCAGGCTTTTTGGCAGTGCAGTGCTGGCTCAGCTCATGTTGCAAGCTTGGCCATAGTGCTTCTCAGGCATTGCCGGGAAGCCACTGTGGTGACAAATCTCCATGAGATCCAAAACAGGCGTCCGGCTCAACGGGAGTTGCCCACATCGCTCCACAGACATCAAAAAGGACTCATGAAAACAGATCGGTCCGACCAGATTTGTTTCCAACCGGGTATCCTTTTTGAGGCTCGGCACCCACTTCAACCGCCCAGTTTGAGAGCCCTCTAAATTGAACCCACCTCTCCAACTTCGGAACCGGCCCAACACTTCGCGCCAACTCCCAGCACGAGCAGACCTTCACCCGCCTTCAACGGAAAGCCGCGAATGTCCGCTCCTGGTCGAGGGGAAGAACCCAGAAGTTGAAGAGAACAAAGAGCCGTTGTACCCCTTCGTTTTGGGGCTGTTCCCTTTGCTGGTCGTGTACCCCTTGTTCTTTTGTATACCCCTTTTCTGTACCCCTTGTTTGGGCTTGCATTCCCCCTTGTTTTGCCGGTTTTGGAAAGGCGTCCGAAACGAAAGCAGACCTTCCTTCTGCTCTCGCATTTGGCTGCATGCCCATAAAGGCCACAGATTTCGCTTTGAAGTCTAATACTATGATTGCACCGTTCTCTCTTTGAACATCCTGCCTTCCGCACGCCAACACTCCGAGTCATGAGTAATCTCAAAGACCGCTGAGAAGCCCAAACTTCGCTGGGTGCCCCAAAATGGCTGGCTTCCTTTTGGTGTCCCTTCAAAACCACCTCCAAGAAGGGTACCAACTCCGAGAAAGACGAGCAAACAGCCACCCAACATGCCAAAAACAAACGCTGACTTTCTTGTTGAGCTAGCTGTTGCTCAAACAAGAGCGGACGATCCCTGTCCTGCGAGCCTCCGCTTCAAAGCTGATTCTTAGTGATTCATACCTGAGACAGCCATGGTCAGTCATTCTGCTCTGAACCAATTTCCCAAGAGATCTTGGAGCAACATGTGCAACGCGACAAGGACAAGTGGCTCTTCAGAACAAGGCCCTCATATTCCTCGAAGCTGAGCTTGGCATCCTTGTTGACATCGGCGCCTAGGACGGCTTGCAATTGAGCATTAAAAAAGATCCTGAGAAATCTAGACATATAAAAAATAAGGCCGGCACGCTTGAAAACACCATCAATCTGCTCCTCCGAAAGCGGCACATTCATCTTGGCCATTACCTGTCGACACGACAGCTGCTGAGCCCGGCATGAAATGACTTGCTCTCCCAAGAGTTTGGGAAGGCCCACTGGTTGTTGAGATAAATTCAGGAAAGCCCAAATGTCCTCACCAAACCACCGTAGACTAGCATTTTGTTACCAAGGAGCTGCTTTCAATTCAGATGCTTCAATTGCACCAGACTTGTCTGTGTCGATCTCCTCGAAAGCTGCCTTCAACATGTTGCGTTGCTCTTCAGAAAGCGCGGAATCCTTCTTCTCTGGTGCTGCCTCTTTGGGAGCATCCTTCTCGCCAACGTTGGCTAGAGCCGATGCGACCTTCTTCTGATCTTCGGCGCTGAGAGTGCCGAACGTCTCTGCCACCTGTGCCGGGCTGGCATCCTTCAAGGAGTCGGTCAGAACGGATCCACCGGAGCCCATAGGTGCAAGACGCAAGGAAGACGCAACCAAGCGACCAAGCGACCGAGTTCCAAGCTCACTCTTGACTCTTGAGCCACATGGCCAAATTCGGCAAAGATTGCCAAGCATCGGCATGACGCAACGCGAAACCCAGGACAAACCTGCGCAAAGCCCTCCTGCGCGACACGTGTCATGCTTCGTGCTCTCATAAGAGCCTCCCTTTTGGCATCCCCTTCAAAAGGCAGCACAAGGCGCCAGGGTCGAAAAGGAGGCCATTGTTGTACCCATTCCTGCCGTCCTGCGGAGCAGCGGGGACATGCTCTTGCGCCGGTTGCCCCCAACCGAGCTTTGAGCCGCACCTTCTGGAGAGCTGCGGCGAGTAGCCCCCTTGGTGGACACCACAGCCCAAACCACGACCCAAGGGATCATGGAATATACACCCTCAGATTGACAAATAGATTGATGGATAGATATATAAAATAATAAGTGTATGTGTATATATATATATATGTATCTCTATATATATATATATACATGTATGTGTATGTGACCCGGAAAGAAATTGGTACCGGCACGTAGAAAAACCGGATTTGCAAACTCAAGACCCAAGAAAGCCTGGAAGTGGTCAGCGGTTCTCAAACAAATTCATGGACCCCCGATACGGGCTATGGAGATCCCTTAACCCCTTCATAAGGCCTTATTAAGGGCTTCTCCTTGGCTTATCCTAGGCTTATCCAGGGATAGCCCCCGCCCATAGCCCCCCTAGTCCATGACAAATGAAGCACGCCTTGTTTCACGGAGCGAGGAAGGCTTGAAGGCAATGGCCACCATGCCGAATCATTAACGCGGTGAGAGCTTTGCACACCAAGCACTTTCGTCCGTGTCCGAAGCTTCGGACATCCCTTCAAACCATTTCCCAAGAGGGTACCCCCCCCTTTAACGCTTCAACTAAAAAGAAATATTTTGCACTTCCCTTTTGCAGCAACTTGACGAAAAACCCTCCCCAGGGAAAAACACCCATCATACAAGTGTGTCGTTTCTACAGGAATCCCAAAACTGGCGGTTGTCTTTTTGGCTTCCCTTTGGCTTCCATTGAAAAATGGGGTACCCTCCAAACAGACCAGAGCCACCCATGTAACGAGACACGGACATGGGCCGGCTCTCTCAAAAGAGACCAACCATCAGCCGGCAGGAGCCGGATTGCTCAGCCAGCTGGTTGCAACCTGGCAGCTTCTCCCCTTTTCCCCCCCCAAAAAAAAAAAAAACACGTCCTAAAAAAAGAAGAGAAAAAGAACGCGGGAGTTCGTGAAAAAACTTGCTAAAACAACTCACCAAGCAAAACAAAACCAAAACGCGAGAATTCATTGGGAACATGCCCGAACTTTGTCCCAAACCACCCCAGAAGGTGTTTGCCATGTTCTTGTTTACCAGTCTTCTGGTGGATGATGAGAACCTGGATGGAGGGTTCAGACTAATTCACATCTGCACAACAATGGAGCATTCCAATTCGAAGGGACCCGTCAACGAGCTCTACTAAACGAGCTCTGGTTCCGATCGATGGCACCGAAGCACAATCACGCGTGGAGCATCTGTATGGTTCAAAATCAAACCACCAGGGCACCACTCATTTTATTCGATGTCTTCACTTACCAGGGTTCCATTTTGAGGTTGCCCTGTCCGGCCAGTTGTTTTAAGCAATTCCTTGTGAAGCCCAGGTGGTATCAGGACCCAGCAGTGGAACCCTGAATCCTCCTGCAGGCCACACCTTGGGATCGACCACATCTCGATCTTTCAGGGAAGAACAAATCCAAGGGCCTAAAAAAGGACACCCCAGTTGAACCAACTAAGAAGCCCAAACACATCTCAGGCCACCCGGCAAATCTTGGAACCAAGTTTGAGGCGGTTCCGAACTCCGAGCCCATGGGGCGTCACCGCATCACCGGCGGCCTCCCGAAGCTCCTCGCTGGCCGAGGCGCACGCGGCGCCCAAGTCGCCTTGGCCTGGGACCGCTGTTGCCAGGCGCGAGCTTTGCGCCCACCGGCCCCAGAAAAGAGCCGCCGGAACAGCGGCAGCGAGGCAAGTCATACCCTGAAATGCGCATGTAAAGTATGAGAAGATGGATGGTTTCCTTTTGGTCTCCCATTGGAACTATGCTCTTTGGTTGAGCTGGGCCAACCCCCTCGCCAACCATGTTCAAACCACTATTGTGCTGGCCAGGGTATGGTTCAAACGTTGCCCGAGCCTCAAGTTAAAGACCCATTTGGTCCCCAGCTTTGGGACAAGCTACACCCCCATGAATGATTTCCTCTTCCTCTTGGTTTCCCCCAAAGAAAAGGATCCCCCAAACAGGAACCCACGTTCGTCGAAGCCAGCCAGCCCCAACTTGTCTGGGACGCAGGCCATCTGCACCCTCGCACCCGCTTTGCGAACCTTGGAGTTTCGTCCATCCCAACTGCAGGATGTGTTTCCATCCACAGTAGCTTGTTGAACCCAAGCAGTCGCTCAGTCGATGGGCCGGTGGAAGAGCACGGCTGATGGATTTTACCAATCAAGGCTCAAGGCTGCATCGCTATAGGGAGGCAATGATTCGCCAACTGCGTGGAGGGGGCCTGGTTTTGACACATCATAGCAGGGCCACGTGTCTTTTACACATTCTTCTCATATCATCATGTCTTAATCTGGATTTTAAGTAGCCCACAACCGACATTCCACTTGTTTGGGCCCGGGCCCTCATGGATCTAGACACCTGCCATGCGGGGTACCCCTTGGGGTCCGCACTCCGTATCTTGGCCATGAGCTCCTTCCTTCGACCTCAGCTGGCGCCCTAAAGAAACATAGGCCACGTTGAAACAACCCCACTCAGTCCTTTTGAGCACTTTGAAAGCAATTCTGTCACCCGGGTTGGGCAACTCTTCCAAAAAGCGGGAGTGGTAACCCATATCATCAAAGCGCGCCGGGGCCACCGTTTTCAGGGCATGCCCTTTTCGAAGTGCGTCAACTGATTCCCCATGTGAGCTGCATTCCTCTTTTGGAGTCCGCACCCTCTCATTTTGAAGGGAAACCAAAGTCAGAGCCAACCCCATTTCGTGGATGCCTGCGACAAGTCCAACCTCTTTTGCACAGGGCTCCCTTTGATCGAAATCCAAAAACCACCTGCTTTCCAACAAAACCCTCGAACTCAGCCGGAAAAAAATGAAACCCAGAAGCCTGGTGATTTTTGTTAACTCCTGCAGTCCATCTCCTGGTGTTTTTTCCTTGCAACAACATCCTCGAGCTCAGCCGGTAAGATGTGTTTTTTCTTTCTGCCTGGCCAGCTCTTTCAAGGGACCCGAACCGCACCCATCCAGCTCAGTGCGCGAACCTGCCAAGACCTTGCCCAGGTCAGCGTTGCCGGCAGCAGCGCCGGTCACCAAGGCCTAGGAGACCACGCCCAAATCAATCGGCCAATGAGTGATCAAACCTGATATATAAAGATATATATATATATATACATTATATATATATATATATGTATGTATATATATATATGTATATATACATATATATATATATATATACATATTACATGTATATATATATATATATATACACATTACATGTGTATATATATATATAGAGGCACACTCGAAATTACTTACTTACGGCCGTTTCGCTACCTAGCTTGAGAGTCCCCTATCGTTTTCCTGCGTGTCCATCCCTTTTCCAGGTGTATCGCATTTTTGAGAGTCCCCTATCGTTTGCCATGGTTTTGTGCATTTTCACAATATCAATGAAAAACAGCGGTAATTTTGACGGTACTTGATGTGTATATATAATATTTGATGTGGAGGTCCACCCGCAACACGGAAAACTATCCAAACTGGGAGTGTACCTGCCCAAGCTTCATCACCTCTTCAGCTTTGCCAGAGGACTGAAACTGGAAGATGCTTTCCTTGTGGTTTCCCTAAGCCAACCAAGAGGGAGTCCCCCCGTCTTGTACCCAACCCCCAAAATCCAGCCGCTTGGAACTTTAGCTTTCTGATCCTTCCTGGTGGAGCGATTTGGCTCGAATCCCATGAACAAACACAAGCCTCGCCAGAACGCGCAAGCCCGGCCACTGGTGAAACCACAAAAGAAGCCAGAGCTTAAGGGTTTCCGTCAACAAAACCAAGCGTTTGGGTATAAAAAAGAATATGGGAAAACTCTTGTCTGCCCAAAAGGTTGTATATGGGTGTCTTTTTTTGGGACGCCCCCAAAAATAATGGTGTTCCTCTTGGTTCCCCTTCAAACCCAACCAAAAAGGGGTTCCCGCAAAAACAGACGCAGCCCTTCGCACCCAAAACCCTCTGCCTTGACCACCTTCCGGAGCTCGAGGTCCACCTCGTGCAGAGTGAAGGCCTCAAATGTGTGGGTCGCTTTGTCGGGACGAGGGGGACTCGGCTTCCCGGTTTGGGGCCCGGTGGCTTTCAGCGGCAAAAGACCGCCAACCGTTTTGGGGGTCCCCTCATTGTGAGAAAAACCCACATGCTGCGAGGTTCCCCAAATTACTTGTGGGGGCCTTTCCCTTCAAACCACTGTAGAGGCTTTAGAGGGTCATTTTGAGGATGTCACGCTTCTGGACGCGATGAGTGCTTTGAGCTTTTCATGCCCCGGAATCCGGTGAACCACAATCAAGGAGTAGCCCCAGTTCTCGCCGTACTGTCCATGGCAAGGGTACGGTCCACAATTGCAAGCTTTGTCCACCCGTTTGGTTCCTTGTTTGTGGCTAGGGCAGGGCGAAGCCGATATTTCTCAGAGTAGTAAAAATACATGGAAAAACGACTCGTGAGAAATGAGTAGAACCGACTCGTGAGAAACGAGGGAATTCGACGTGTGTGATTTCGGTACGCTTCCTGGCAGAAACACCCAAACTCAGGAACTCCCCCTAGAAGATGAACCTGGCCGTAAGTCCCTGGAAAATCGGGAAAAATGCGAAACCCGGGACTCATATGAGTTGTGTCTTAAAATAGGATATGAACAGGGACCCAATATCGCTTCGGATGTCCTTTTGTTTTTGTTGTTTTTTTGTTTTTTTTGTTTTTTTAAATAAGCAATTTCAAGAATAGTACTCCGAAAAAAGACAGATCCATGTTCTGATTCAGAGGCCGTTGCAGCCTGGTGACGAATTGTAACTCTTAGGTCGTTAAGGACGAATGGTCGTGACCTTCCCATGGCTCCCCTTGCGTCGTTCTGAATCAGTGAATCAGTATTGAAACTCAGGTGAGCAGTGTCCAAAACCCATTGGCTCTACTAAGACGTTAAGAGGGGTGTATAGTACAGGTTACACAGACCTCACTGCCCCCACTAAACCAACTACTAGAAGCCACTAGAGTGGCTCATGAGGGCGTTGGGCGCTCAGGTGTGCGCATCCTCCCATCAAAAGGACCCGCCTGCACCTCGCTCGGGCAAGAAGCACCTCAGATTCCCAAAGGCCGGCGACGCCTTTGGTCGTCACAACTGACAGATCAGAGATATCCGGGCGTCTCCTTTTTCCCGAAAGCATGGCGAAGGGTTCTTCCGCTGGGTTCACTTGAGTTGTTCTCATGAGAGTCATTACAAGGTGTCATTGCAAGGAATCATCATCATGAAAGCCGGTGCAAGGAGTCATTGCAAGGAGTCATTGCAAGGAGTCATTGCAAGGAGTCATTGCAAGGAGTCATTGCAAGGAGTCATGAGAGTCATTGCGAGCTGCGCATGGAGTCAAGTGCAAGTTGCAAGTGCAAGGAGTCAAGTGCAAGTTGCAAGTGCAAGGAGTCAGGCGCAAGTTGCAAGTGCATGGAGTCAAGTGCAAGTTGCAAGCGCAAGGAGTCAAGTGCAAGTTGCAAGTGCAAGGAGTCAAGTGCAATTGACTTGCGAGGAGTTCAAATCTCTTCTTAGGGCGGCGGGGTAGCGCCAACGACACTACACGAAAACCGACCCTCTGCGGGGATCGGCGTGGTCGAGGTGCAAAAACTCATGGTGTTTTTTGCGATTTCTGCGGTGCTCGCGCGACCCTCTGGGGATCAGCGTGGTCGAGGTGCAAAAACCCATGGTTTGTTTTTGCGATTTCTGCGGTGCCCGCGCAACCCTCTGCGGGGATCGGCGTGGTCGAGGTGCAAAAACTCTAGGTTTTTTGCGACTTCTGCGGTGCTCGCGCAACCCTCTGCGGGAATCGGCGTGGTCGAGGTTCGAACTGGTCCTCGGGAGTTGTCTCGTGGTTCGCGCGCCTGCTCCCGGAACCGGGGGGTCGCGGGTTCGATTCCTCCCTGGTCCGCGGGCGGGCGTCGCAAGATGCAACTTGCATTTTAAAGCAACTTGCGCAGAGCAACTTGCGCAGAGCAACTTGCGCAGAGCAAGTTGCACAGAGCAACTTGCGCAGACCAACTTGCACCGACCAGTTTGCGCAGAGCGCCTTGCCTAGAGCAACTTGCGCAGAGCAACTTACGCAGAGCAACTTGCACAGAGCAACTTGCGCAGAGCAGCTTGCAGGGAGCAACTTGCAATTTTTGCACAGAGCAACTTGCAGGGAGCCACTTGCAGGGACCAACTTGCCGGAGCAACTTGCGCGGAGCAACTTGCGCAGAGCAACTTGCACAGTGCAACTTGCGTAGAGCAACTTGCGCAGACCAACTGTCTCGCGCTTGCTTCACAAATGCTGCGTGGAGGGAAAAAGAACGCATCCTGCAGCGTTGGGCCGACCTCGCTTGCGATGTTATGCTTTCGGGCCAACCGTGGTCTAGTTTTGGAGTGTACTGCAATCAGAGCCAGGTCCAGGGGCCCCAGGGGTGTCTTTCCCATCCTTAAAGAAACCAAAAGGAATTCGCCCAGCTTCAGAGGTAGTTTGAGACAACCTCGCAAAAATTCGCGTGACAAGCCCAAGCCAGGCGGAAGCCAATTTGAGGGAGCGGCTTAAGGTCTAGGCCCAAGTTTGTTCAACCAGTTTAAGAGTCTGAAGAGGCAACTCAGTCTTGAGAAGCGCAATTCAAGCCCTCTACTGTTGACGCAGGATGTTGCGCAGAGTGATTTTGTTTGGAGTGTCCTACGTCAGAGGGGAAAGAATCCGCCTTTGCGGCGCCCATCTTCATCCGGCGAGCTGTGCTCTTCCGAGATCCCTGCAGCACTGCACTTCAGGGCCGCTCGGTGTGCAGAAACCTCGGAGAGGTGCAAGTCGTCTGGGTAATGGGGTCCTCCCATTGTCCACCAGCTCCCCAAGGGAAAAACCATAGCCATGTGTGAAACACACCCATTTGCGGGTGTGTGCTTTTTTAATACCCCAGACGTGGCGCGGTGCTTTCCTTTTCTGGGTTTCCCTGAACCACCAAAAAGGTGGTACCAACAAAAAGACGAGCCACCCATGTGCGTCTGGTCAACAGAGAGCCCCAAGAGCCTGAAGAGGCGCCCGGCGGCCCCTCCGGCCCGGCCTTCCCACGGCATCGTGGAGGAGCGGGTCTCACCTCGGGTCCAGGATCCTCGTGGTTCCCCCCCCTTTTTTTTGGATTTCAGAGATCTCCCGAAGATGGTTCTGAGACTAAAACGGGGGTTCCTTAAAACGGGCTACCCTGAAAACGTGTTCCCAAAAAGGGGACACGTTTTCGCTCTGGTGCCTGCAAAGACTTGAACCCAGGGCGGGGTATTCCAGCATATGGCAGATCGCATTGGGTTTGTCGCGCATAGGGGAGCCCTGGAACGCCCCATAGAACCACGCGAACATGCACAACCTCAGAAAAGGACACCCAATGTTTTACCCGCTGTCAAGGCGGCAGTTTCGGTCGTGAGTAGAGCTTCGGTCAACTTGGGAGCGACATGCCGGGTCTGTCACGAACGGTTCAACATCGGCCGTACGCGATAAGCTGCACAAGAATCTCAGTCTGTTGCCAGGACAGGGCCATGAGGCACCCTCGCTAGATTCCCTAAATGAAAGCAGAGGTCGACGACCATCCCTACTGTGGATGGACGAAATCCTGCACCACCTGAGAAACCCTGGAATCATGATTCCCCTGTAAATACCAACAAGCAATAGTTTCCCATGGTTTCAAAGTGGTGCAGGATTTCGTCCATCCACAGTATCAACCCTTATTCCAGAGTTGTTTCAGGGGGTCTTTCAACCATGGCAGATGTAGGGCGGGGTCAAAAAGACCCTTGACATTCTCATGGTGTTCTCCGTGTTGGTCACACGCGTGAGAACCCAAAAAAACATCTTGACGTTTGGTTCGACCAAAATGGTTACAATGATCTATGTCAGAGTGGTTTTGTTAGGGGTCCCAAACATTGCGGTTGTGTTGGTTTCCATTTCAAACCGCAAGAAAGGGGTACCCTCGAAAACAGACACACCCATAAATTGGCCGTACTACAACCTTGATGAAACCCAGTAGTATAGCTGCCTGCTACAATTGTCCAGCAGCCCAAAGGCAGAAGTTTAGCTTGGGCTCTTGTGCCATGGTAAAAAAGTCCTTGTGTGGGTCAGGGGTCCAAACCTTCAGCTGGATTGTCTACAGACCCTGATGAGAGGTCGATGACCATTCCTACCAACTTAAGTACAAGAGCCTTTTTGGCCATGGCAAATGTATTTAGGACCCCCGTTTGGTTGGTATTTAAAGGGACGCCCACAAGGAAACAACCCATCTTGAGGCGCCCAAATTTACGCATGACTTTGAATTGGGGGCCCTCTGGACATCATCTACACACAGATTTCGGACAACCATTCTTGAGGGGCTGACTAAAACTCATGCCAATTCGAAGGTTCCCTTTGAGAGCCATTGGCTTCCCTTCAAGAACGCCACAACAACCAACCCATGTTGATTTCGGTTCCCTACACCACCACAGCCGTTCCCCACGAGCTGAGCTGCCGGGCCCACCAGGCCCAGAATCCGGTCGATGAGCTTCCGGCCCACCTGCTCGCTGATCACCTGCGCGAGGTCGTCGACTCGTGCGAGCCGAGGTCACGAAGTCTGTGAGGCAAAAGTGGGGGAGGGGGGGGAGGGGAGGTGAAGGAGGGGGAGGGGAGGGGGTTTGTTTCAAAGGCGGACCCCTCCAAAAGGGTGCCAAAAAGAACAAAGCTGGCATGGGTGTCCTTGTAAGGCCACCTCCACCCACCCGAAGAAAACAAACAAAAAAGAAAAAAAACAGAGCTCCTGGCGTCCGAATTGTGTTTACACAAAAAAGAAAGAAACACCGATCCGTTGGAGCTGATGATTGGCCAACTACATGGGAAGGTGCCAAGAACAAAAAAATGACGTGGGCGTCCCCGTTTCGTTTCCAGGTAGAAAGACACACCCCAAGAGGGAATCGGGGCCCCGCAAAGAGTGGTTTTCCTTTGGCTTCCTTTTGAAAACAACCCCAGAAGAAACACGGCCAAAACAAACATGCCCATTTAGGTCTGTGTAGCGGCACACCACGTATGAGTAGTTCACATATTGAATACTACGAGATTTCATCTAAATTTGAGGTGTGTCTTGAGGGTACCCTTTTTCAATCAGACCATACAGCGCTGCCGCCCGAAGCGGCCTGCAAGAAGGCCTTTGCAAGCACTGGGGGGGTCCCTCTATTTTGACACATACCCCTTCCCCCCCCCCTCAACCCCTCCCATGTAGCCCAAGAAGACATTTGCCGAGCTGGGGCAGGCCATCTTGGGTTTGTTGTATTCCACGGCAGGATTCCCAGTCCAAACAAAAGCGGCCTTGCGATCTAAACAAGCCTAGAAATCATCCAAATTCACGAGTCCTTCGCAAGGAGGACCTCCGTTCCCCAAGGGTCCAACATTCGGAGATTCGCCATGGCCGTTTTCCAGTTTGGACTCGCGGTTTGGAGGTGATAAACCCCAGGTACCCCACACATGCCGGGGGCTTCGGGCTTCGAGTCCAAACCCCCGGAACCAACCGACTGGGCCTTGCCGAGCCGACCATCAGATCCAATACGAGGCCTCCGGATGCCACTGGATGCCGTAGACGTGGTCCCGCTCGTGCTCCATCGCCATGACCTGAGCGCAAGCCCCTGGTCGACATGCACTGGCCGAGCCCTGTGGATGTCGCCGCCTTTTTTGGGGGGGAAAGGCGCCAATCCCTGCAAAACACTGCCTTTTTGGCGAACCCCTGGTAGCTTTGGCGTGAACGCTCCAACACTCCTGAAGCGTCCAAAGTGACTCTGGAGAGTCCCCCGAAGCAAAACCCGAAAAATGTGCCAAGAACAGTTGCCCTTTCTACAGTGTCTGTTTTTTTGCGATTGTGTACCCCCGTGATCCCCTCGAACCTCCCCCTGCCCCCATGTTTTTCCCTTAAGGACACTTTAGATGGCCTAGGACTTAGCGTAATTAGCTTTATCCTAATTATAACCGTCGTAACCCAATTATGGTAAAGTAAAGTAAGTCCCCGCGAAAGCCAGGACCGAGCTAATGTCGCCATTCGTCCCACGAAGTCGAGGTTTCTTTGTACCCTTGAGCCCCAGGCCCGGTCCAGGGGGTCCCAAGCCGTCCTGAGACCGGAGAAGACAAACAAAAAAAAACGGCGCGCCTTTTTTGTGAGCCCAAAACGAGCAGCGGAAAAGGAAAATGTGAGGAGAGCCGCCTAACTGTCCCTGCGCGGGAAACAAACACAATCGCCTTTTGAGGGCCTATGCCAGGCTTCTGCTCTGCACGTACCCGCTGAGGCTGAAATCATGTTTGCTTTCTTGGATTTGGCTCATCCTCCTGGCTCTTTTCACCTACGGGCAGTGTTGCCTGAAAAATTGGAAACTAGCGCCAGAGCACACGCCTGGAGTGGCACGTTTCAGCTTGCAAAACGGCGGCAAACTTGCTGAGCCCGGAAACATGTTTTGTGACCGCTATTGAAGCCCCACAAACTAAGGGTTAAAACGATTCAAACCCTGTCACCCTTGCCATTGTCGAGGCTGTGCAAAACTGTTGCGCTGGTGGGAGTTTGCCATGGGCTAACAGTAGCACTGAAAGCGTAGGTGGTTATAACAAGCAGTGCCAGAACCTTGTGTTGGCCCATGACCAAGTAGGGGGGCACAGGGGGGCTCT